TTAAATTTCTATTAATTTAATAGTAAAGCTATTTATATTAGTAGATACAGCTTATACTAATAATAAAGGCTTTAGAAAATTAACATAAGGCCTTTTAATTTAACTATTTAAGGCCTTTATTATTTAGTTAGCAACTAAATAAGCTACTATAATAACTTCTTTTATAGAAGCTGAATTACTAGCTATTTTAGCTATTGCAAAAGAAACTATAGCTTTTTTAAGGCTTATATCTTAACTAGGCTTAAAATTAAAGGCTAAAAAACCTACTATTTATTGTAATAACTTTTAAACTATAAGGCTAGTTACCCTAGACCTTCCTAGAGTTAAAACAGCCCTAAGGCATATTAATATATATAATGCCTAGATAAGGCAGGCTTATAAAGAAGGAAAATTTAATATAAAATATCTAAAAACCTTAGAAATGCTTACTAACAGCCTTACAAAACTCCCTGAATTACTAGCTATTTTAGCTATTGCAAAAGAAACTATAGCTTTTTTAAGGCTTATATCTTAACTAGGCTTAAAATTAAAGGCTAAAAAACCTACTATTTATTGTAATAACTTTTAAACTATAAGGCTAGTTACCCTAGACCTTCCTAGAGTTAAAACAGCCCTAAGGCATATTAATATATATAATGCCTAGATAAGGCAGGCTTATAAAGAAGGAAAATTTAATATAAAATATCTAAAAACCTTAGAAATGCTTACTAACAGCCTTACAAAACTCCTTATAAAGCAAAAATTCTATAATTTTAGACAACAGCTAGGCCTATTTAATATTAAAGGCCTTATTTTAGCTAAAGAAGCTATTAAAAATTTAACAAATTAGCTATATAAGCTATATCTACTCTTTTATCTATTTATATCTATTTATTATCTATCTTTTTACTTATTTATCTTTACTATTTATTTATCTTTATTCTATTATTTATCTATATTTTCTACCTATTATAACTTACCTAGCTATATTTAACATATAGCTAAGGGGGTATATTAGCGGCAGATACTGCCTACTATAAAAAACACCTATAAAAACAAGAGAAACAGCTATAATATATAAATTGCCTACAAGAAACATTTGCATACATTTTATATGCAAGAATTTAATATACTTTACGCCTATATTTCTTTGCATATATAAATAAGGTTAAAAGAGGAATACTAGCTGGAATTTAACAAAAAGACTAATAAGCTATAAAGGCTAAACTACTCTATAGAAGGAAATAGCTATAAGAGTTATTTTAAGCTACTAAAGCTTCTATATTTGCTTAATTTAGCAGCTCTACTATAGAATTTACCTATAAATAACCCTCCTTCCCCCTAACTAGATAGAGAGGAAATTAAGCCTCTACAACTACACTCTTTAATACATACTATTATATATAATTTTATACTATATCTAAAGTTACTTCTATTATACCTTAAGAATCCCTTTAAGAATCCCTAATGCTTAGTAATCAACTAGATTACATAAGCTCTATCTATTATCTATTATATTATAAAGAGTCCCTCAATTGGCCGATAAGAAGTCTTAGCTCTTAGCTTGCTTATCTTAAAAATAAAGTTAGTAGAAAGAGATAAATTAATAGTTGCCTACTTAAAGAGCTTAATTTGCTTTAGCTAGCTGTAAAGGCTTTCTTTATAGAGATTTTAGTAGCTCTAGGCTTATAACTTATTAAAATTATATATATTACACGCTTGTATAGTATATTAAGTACAGAATACTTAGGTACATATTGTAGGCGGTACAAGCCCTAAAGTACTATCCACCTTCCTACCCAGCCGAAGTGACTGTGATTAGCTGTGGAAATCTAACAACTAGGACCCAGAATTCCCGCACTAGTCCTCGAGGAAGCTAGGGTCTTCGTACGGATTCCATTCTTGACCAGGATAGCTCGTTGCGCTCATTTGCGGCTGATAATTGGGGTCGTCTTGGGGGTCGAGCCAAATCTTTTCTTCCTGAGATGCCAGGCGGACACGACGCTCGTGGGCACCTGCAGTGTCTTCCAACTCGGCTGTGAATCGAGTCGTCGTCCGTGAGACTCCTTGGCTATTCGTCTGCTCTTCTGGACTGTCCGGAGATGCCTTTCGGCCTACGCCGGGAGCCTCGTATCCTTCACCGTTGTAATCTTGAGCCAACCTGGGAGTGGAATCGTGCATGCCAGCATCGCGGTGTTGCTCAGTTTTGGTTGTCTCAACTCCAAGGTTGATGTTCCTGGCCGTGGCCTTGTCCTCCCCTGTCTCGGTTGCAGGTTCGGTTTGTAATGCCGACTCGACCTGCGGGGTGGGGGACTGGGACTGCGGCGAAACCGACCTGGTATCCGTTGCAGAGTGGTTGCTCGGCTCCGGTTGCCGTTGCGTAGAATCGCTTGCCTGGTTCTGCAGTACAGCTCCTGACGACGAGCCTCCCGACGGCACCTGTGGCGTAATGCTGCCCGGGTTGCTCTCCACATCGTCCAACCGCCGGCTTGTCGATTGCGCGTCAGGAGATGGCAGGGAGGGCGCAAGGGGCGACTGAACTATTCCAACGTAAGAATCCGAATCTTGGCGTGGGGAACAATATTGAGAGTCAAGAGGTGAAGCCGGCTGCTGCTGCTGCTGCTGTGGCTGCTGCTGCTGTTCTGGCAGGCGAGGAGTTTGTTCCCGAGGCTGTTGTTGCACCTGCATCGGATTCGCCGGAGGAAAATGTCGCCCAAGGTGGTAGGCTGTTGGAACGACCATTCCTTCTCCATGAACCGCTGCGTAACCCTTCGGAATCGGAACATGATCGTGTTGAGGCTCGGGTTCAGACTGCGACGCCCGAGGTTGCTGAGCCGGATTCTCGGCGATAGTCATCGTTGAAGGTGCTTGATAATCGTATACCTGGCCAGGATGCAGCGGGGTGTTGCTTGGGGTCGAGTGATGGTACTGCCGGGGCTGTTCGTTGTTTCTTAAATAATGATGACCTGGGTACTCTTGATGTGGTTGTCGGTGCGTGTGGTGCCATGAATCCATTGTGAGATTTGTTGCACCCACGTGAGCTGGTCTGGGCTCCTGAGTGTTGCCTTGCTTAGAGTTCCTCTTAAAAGCCCCCAGGAGCTTGTTTGCAGTGGAAGTTTCAGCTCTGTCAAGTCTCTCCGGGGCAGTTCTTTGTTGTCCAAGTTGTGACAATTGCCCTGACATACGCTTGGTCAGGCCTTTCCATCTGGCCCCCGGACTTTCCTTTGGTGAAAGTTGCGTCTGCTGTGACTGTGGGGGCGGCGCAGGACCCCGAGGACTCGTTGGTGTTTTAGCTTGTGACGGTATCTCCGGGTCCGGTTGCTGTATCTTCTGAGGCCACTGCGGTTGATCGAGTTGCGTCGGCTGTATATGCTGGGGATGCGCGGAGAAGTCACGATACGGCAGCCTGGCTTCTTGTGCGGGCTGCAGCATCTGACAGGAAAAGCCATGGTCAAGTTCAGCCTTTGTGTCTTGTTGAGAAGAAAGGCTGTTTTCCTTGACGTGGCCCTGCGTAGTATGAACCCTTTGGGGTTCCTTAGATAAAGCCATTGTCTCTCTAGCAACTCGTGACTGCTGAGGACTGGTTGTGTTCGCAGGCGGCTTATGCTGTGGCATCTCTTCCAAGGGCCGTTGCTTGTTTTGTGGCACAACAATAAAGTCGCGCTCATCCGAAAGATCAATGGCGCCATTCCTGCGAGTCTCACTTGTGTACGCATCCTCGTCATGTTCTGTAGTCTTCCAATCCGATGCAATGGAAGAATCGGGGGAGACGGTGCATGTTCGAATGAGCTCTCCGTCAGTATGGCCGCTGCCGTGCGCTTCGCGATCAGATGCAGCTTGCGGTTTCACGGAGACAGCTTGCGGCCAGTCCGGCGATGCGCCAGCCGGAGGTGGCACTCGAGACTCTTCCTGTTGCTGGGCGAGGATCTGATCGATCCGTTGACGGGGCTCCGAAGCGGGAGCAGAATCCCCCTGTTGGTGTAGCTCTTGAGGGATCAGGCCTAGAGGAGAGGGGTGAGGCGGCTTCACCAAGCGAATCGCCGCATCAACGTTCATGCCGGGAGGCTGCATCTCGTCCCTTTGCCCCACGAGACCGAAGGGTTGTTGGGAGCCGGACTGCCCAGTAGGAACAGAGGATGGGCGCCCAACACTAGCAAGATAGCGCCGACCTTGTGGCTGATCGCTTCCAGAAACTCTTCGTCGGTGGTCTTTACCAATACCTGGAGGTTGCGGTTGAGAGTGGCCCGCCGCGGGCAAGTGCTGCAGTTGAAGCTGGAAAGATTGGTGCATTCCAGGCCGTTGCAAACTCACCGGAGACTGAGGCTGTGCGTTAGCTTGCTCTCCAGCTGGCGAGGATGGTGTGCGGAATTCACCAGTTCGGAGGAGGCCCTGCCCATCTTCGAGTCGAGGCGGCATGTTGACCTGATCCGGACTGTGTGGATATCGTCGTTCAGGCTGCTCGGATTGCGATATTCGCTGCCTTGGAATGTCTCCGATATTTTGGAACTGCATGCTTATTGGTGACACGCGTGAATCCAAAGGCTTATCAGGTACTCCGGCTTTTGAACCCGAAGCTTTTCCCAGCATTCCTGATATCAAGTCGGACATGGAAAGCCGTCGCCGGTGGCGGGCAGGCCTCTCATCTGCCCTGCGCCCTTGAGAGCTAGCTGTAGAAGTGACTGTGCTTGGCCGCCCCGAAAGCTTGAATGCAGGCAGAGGAGGTCCCAAAGGCTCCGCCGCTAGCTGAGGCTCAGGAGAGCCTGGTCTGTCCTCATGTTTGGTGCGACTGAGCAAGTTTGAAACCTTTGACATGCCGGAAAACCTCTTCTTCTGAGGAGTGGCGTCGTCGAGGTCCTCGGGCGGGTGGACAGCCCGGCCGGAAGCCTGGACTCCTTCCAAGTTGGACGAGGGTGACTTTGAAAAACTGCTTGGAACTAGCTTGCCGCCGAAAGACCGCCTTTTACGCCCTTGGGGGGGAGTCTTGGGGGGCTGCTCCTCCTGTGAGGTTTGTTCTTTTCCGGCCCAGGAATGCTGTACTGGGCCAGCGTCTAAAGATGAGCGACCAGAGCGGCCAAACAGAAAGTTTGGTCGCCGTGTGCCTCGCTCCGGCGCTTCGCTTCCAGTGCCAACGCTCACCTCTGACGCTTCGTCCGCAAGGACATCTTTGGTGACCGTCCGCTGGTCCACGGAGCTTCGACGCTCCCTGGATGCGGCCCCGGCGATTCGTTGCCCCAAATCCTTGAACATGCCGGAATTTCTATTCCTGCGACCGCGCTCTTCACCGGCAGGACCAGCACCACGGATGGAAGACTCATTGTCTTGCGTTCTAGTCGTCACAGCATCATTACGAGCAAGGAATGGTTGATAGGGGGGCTGGTATGGCTGTCCGCCGTTGCTTGTGTTTGATGCTAGACGTTGATCTGGGGGGTGAGCAAACAGTTCAGGCCATCTCTGTGCTGATGATGGCGGTACGTCAGAACGTTGACGGGGGGGTGGTGCCGTGGGATTGGGGATGGGATGCTGCAGGGGTTGATGAATCTGGTCTTGGCCGGGACGCGGCAGGGCGAGGTCCGGAAGTGCGACTCCGGTCTCTTTGTCGAAGCCATACATGACGTGTTGCTGACAACCACCAGCTCCAGGCCGATTCCTCGAGACGGGATTCAGAGGCTCCGACAACCGGCTTTCCTCCAATTTCCATTGGCCGCAGAAGGGCAGCCTCTGGGCAGGGAGCATCCACGGCTGAGAGCTTCGGGGACCTTGAGAGTGTGGTATTGGTGTTCTGGCTGGGAATTGCTCCTTCGGGGTCATGGTGGGCGGTGCTTGAAGCTGCGGTGTCTGTCTCGCCGCTTCTGCATGAGGGATATGAGTGGCAGCTTTCTCATCCTTGGTGGGTTGTGGATGGGCAGCGCGGTCAGTGTCGACCTGAGGGCGAGGCGCTGCGGCCAGCAGAGACCTGGGCTGCTCATGCGAGGAATTAGCCGGGGCGTCGGCATTCGGCGCCAGGCTCGACGGTGCACCATCGCCATCGTCATCGTCGTCGTCGTCGTCGTCGTCGAGAGGGAATCGATCAGTGGCCCTCCGAGCCTTGGCTTTGGGAGAGAGCCCGAACGTTGAGCTGCGTCTTATGGGCGGCAGCCCAATGAAGGAAGACGCTCGCTTGGGTGACGCTTCGCGCTCGCTCAGTGCCGCCCGTCCATCACCAGGGACATGCGCCGTGGATGACTGCGATTGGTGAAGATCGGGATCGGATTGCTGGTCGGATTGCCGACGGACACGGTCCTGAGACTCTGGGATTTCCAGCCCGCTCAACCCGGCAGTGACTCGCGGCAAAGGGCTGGACTGTGCCTGAGCGGGCGGGACGGGATGGCGTGGCGTCACGACCGGCCGGGCCGTTGCAGACTCAGCTGGCACCTCTCTCCACCCGGGAATATCCTCCGACTGCGCCGCCGGATTGAGCGGCGACAGCGGCGCCGCAGGGGCCAAGGGGGGGATCTGAGGTGCCATCGACGGTGATGCGCGTTGTTGCGTGGCAGTGGCATGCGCATTGGAGTTGCTCGCGCCGGCGGCCGTGGCATTTCCCGGTGGGGCGGCCACCTCAGGGCGCCATTTCGACCCAAGCATCAGGCCCCACGACAGTCGCCCATCGGCCTTGGCCTTGTCGTGCTCAGCGCCCGGGTCAGAAAAGGATTCGTCCTATCCAGCAGCAAGAAACATTAATAAGACCTCTTTCAAATGGCATTGTAAATTCGTGGGCGGCTAGTACATGCTCCGGACTCGGACAAACGAGACGGAAAAATAGAAAAAGTAAAATATAAAGGGGAAAAAGGTGCCGCGTCTTCATCCCATCTCGTGACTTCCATCTCTTCATTCAAAACGTTGCTGATTGTACCACACTGGCTCACTGCAGCCTCACGCAATTTGCCCGCTTGCAGTACGGATTAGACTACCAGAAAATCCCAGAACCCAGTCCATGCCCCGTCCTCACCATAATAGCGCACGCACTAGAGTGAAATGCAATGTAACGAGTGAGGGGGGCTGCCCGTGTAGACGCCGTGGATCGAGCAAGGAAGAAAAAAATGCAATTAGTGAAATACCTTGTCCCCGGTTCCACGCAATTTGCTCCGCCCCTTGTTCAGCAAGCCTTTGCCCATCTTTCCGGCCGAGTGCATGAATTCTTTGCCTTTGCTTCCGATCTGGTTGCCGGAGTGTCCAAATGTACTACCGGGCGCTTGCGTTGCCAGTGGCAGCCCGCCAAGACGAGAGCGGCTAGGAGGAGAGCCGGAGGCTGTCGGCGAGCCGGCACCAAGGTATTGTTGGTAGTACGCTTGCTGGGCAGGGCTGCCGGCCTGCCCTGCTGCCGTGCTAGTCGCCGCATTAGCCCCCGGCGAGGCTTGCCGAGAAGCTGACGTGCCAAACAATGGCCCAGACGGTGACACGTCCGGATGCTGAGCTTTGACGTGAGTGAGCCAACCAGTGAGCCCAGAGTTTGTCCATGAAAATATGTTTCGCGTCTCATTGAACTTGGCAATGCGTTCGCTAGGACTTTTCAGGCTCATGATTTCCCGGAAGCTCATCGTCTGCGGCTGGGCCTGTTGTGAAACTGGGGATACTGAGGGCGGCGTGGCGGAGGGAGATGGCTGAATGGTGACAACAGGCTGATCTTCAGCTCCCCTTGCGGCCAAATGGAGGCCCGAAGCAGTCTTCTCAGATTCCGTGTCCTCGCTAAGCGAAGGCCCAGTATCAGTACGAGCTCCAGCAGTAGTGTCATCGCCAACTGGAGAAGGAAGGCTCGATTCTTCACACGCAGTCTGTTGGCCGGGAGGCTCAAGGCCCTTGCTGCCGCTAGAGAGTTGGGGGAGAACGCCGACGGCATCAAGCGACAGATCCTTTGGTTGCTTGCTATCGACCTGGGACTGCACGCCCGGTCCCAGCGACTCAACCACCAGCCCGTGCGGTTGCGCCGTGGAAATGTCGAGACTTTGCTGCGTTGGCGCCGAGCTCAACTCCTCGGCTTCCCAAGAGAATCGACGGCGGATTGACGGAGGTTGAGGGGACATGGGTGGCTCGGCTGCTTTGTCAACAGCGATGACGGTACCTTGGCTAGCGGGCTCGCTTTGGGCATCTGGAACTTCCGCGATTGTGGCCATAGACGCAGATGCCTCTAGCGTTTTGGCCTTGGCCTCGGTGTCCGCCCAATAACTGCGATAGTCCCGAAGGGTATAGCTGCTGTCCCTGCCGGTTTGAACGCTCGACAGTTGAGAACTATGGCTGGGAGCTCGGTTGAATTCCTGAGCAGAGCCGCTGGTGGGGCTTAACGACTTGATGATCTCATCACTCAGCATATCGTTGTCCTTGACAGATTCCACACTGAAAGTAGTCTCACGCCTGACAGGGCTGGGTTCGAAGTCTGCCTCAGACCGACGCTCTATTGGGTTGGTGCCTGCTGATGGAGTGCTATCAGCAGCATCTGGAGAACTCTCCCAAGTATCCGGAGCTGGCCGGGAGGGACCGCGAGGGCTAGGAGTCCGTAGTGGAGCAATTACAGCCGTCTCAGAGTCAGGCTGCAATGCAGAACTGGCTATCTCGGACAGCGGGGGAGACGCCGAGCCTGTTGTAGGCAACGCAAGCGTCTTGATCTCGGTCCCTTTTGCACTGTCTCCATTTTCACCCCCGGATGAAGCTACGTCTGGCAGTGATTTGACGTGATATGGGTCTCTTGTAGTCGTGTCCTTATCGTCATGCCCTCCCGTTGGAGTTTCAACTGTAGCAGTCTTCTCCGTTGACGGGAGAACTTCCTCCAGCTGAAAAGCGTGTGGGATCACTTCAGCCTTGGTAGTTGAAAGATTCGTGAGAGACGCCGACTCTCCGTCTAGCCCGGTAATAGATTCGGTTGTGGACGAGCCCACACCGTCCGTAGAGAAGAAATCTTCCCCAAAGGCCGACATTCTGGCCAGATCGGGCAATTTGGGGCTAGCTGAGGTCTGCCGGTCGTCGCCAACACTCTGATTCGCCATTTCAGGCCTGTTTCCAAGAGCAAAAGCCTCTTCTCTGCCCCTGGAGTCGGGTCGGGCATCAGCTGAACTAGGTGAATTTGGCTCGAGGCGACTGTAGACATCTGAAGATGAGACGGAAGACGGCGGTTTTAGCTGCTCGGAAACTACTGAGCCAGGAGCTAGAGAAGTAACTGCCCTCTCTGACTGGTTGGGTGAATTGCGGACATCATGTGCAGAGTCGACGATATGTGGCGACACCATCTTGGCTTCAATGCGAGAAACGCCGGTGTCCGACGGGCCGGCCACGATGGGTGAAGCCAGAGGTGTCAATGTCGGTTGACTTATGGGCGTCGTCGGCGATGGGAATGTCTCTTCTCTCGACCCGGAAGGGTGTGTAGGTGGTTTGAGCCAAGAGGCCGGGAGCTCTTCCTCTGGTTCTGCATCGCCATATTCATCCGCGCCCCAATCATCCCCGTCGTAGCTCTGTACCTTGGCCTCGACCCATTTTTTCGTCTTTGTTCGATTCACGTTAACCTGGTAGGCGCTGCTACCACTTGGTGCTTGGGAGGACCTAGATGTCGAAGCGACAAACGTCAGTTATCCTTCTCTGTGGGTTGGGGTCGGGGATGGAGGCGATGAAGATGCAAGGTGCACGAACATTGAATTGGCCGCGTCCGGAGCCCCCGAGCTGAACGACCGAGTCACTGCCACTCAGAATGTACCGACACTTTCCAAAAGTCAGCCTCCTCGAACACTCATTCTACAATATTCAATGGCGGAGAGATCGAGGCAGGGTCGTGACGTCGTAAATGCCAGCTCGGCTCTGTGGCCTTGTCAGCGGGCGTAGGGGCTTGCTCCTGGCGTGAGCAAGTGCACTACAGCCGTCAAGGAAATGATATTGATACAGGAAAGCAATGCGAAAGAGAACAAACGATCAAAGACCCAGACGAAAAGCAAGCTGCGGTTTGCGATAATAAAGACTACGGAGCAGATGTGGGCAGTCGCCGGGGAATACGGGTGACAGACCAGGGGCGGTAGACATTGCTAACAGTGGGTCCCATGACGAAAGTATCTTTCGGTGAGAATCTACACTGAAGGAGGACGTGATTCGATAGGGGCTCTTGCTTGGAACTCTTGAGCAAATAGCCAGGCGGCTGACGCATCACGACCCCACCAGACACGACATGGCCGAGGTGGACGGTTGTGGGCCGTGGCGTCCTGCCAGCTGAGGTGGCAGCAGCAATCAATAGTATATTTTTATTTTGTTTTTATTTTTGGCTCATTTCCGGGCCATGCAGGGCCTGTTGGGCAACGGCTTAGACAGCCAACCAACATCCAGCACCCCGGCGCCTTGTTGGTTCGGTCTCCCAGAGAAATTGTCGTAATAAGCAGAGGGTGGCTCGGAATGCAAAGCCGTGCGCATTGGCGCAGCAACGTTTCATGTCAAGACGCACAAAGGGTTTCGTCTCTGCAGCTGGGTAATATCCGAGTCTATATGAGTCGTGGTTCGTTTTCCTTCCTCCCACCGAGTCGTCACTGCAGCAGACCGATGGTTCCCTGGAGCCTCTTTGCTCTTTCTGGTGGCACTTCAACGTGGCCATCCATGTCTTCACATGTGTCATGGTTTGGTTTCGTTCATCGGCCCAAGTGTGGCGCAGTCCGCAGTGCCGGTCTGCTCTGTGGCGCCGCAGCTCAAGCCTCAATCAATACCAAAATCAACCACGTGTTGTCGTAACTCATTGACCACTTCGCCCGTTGCCAAACCGCAAACCGGTTGCGCATCATCACCATTTCGCCTCACCACGCTCGCGGGACACCCTGCCACTTGCTAGAATCGTGCCTGCCTTCTGTTCCCTGTCCGCCTAGTCCAGTTGTTCCGATATTCTCGACCTGTTTCCGCCCTAAAACGTCGCCACCCGCTGAGCCGCCCAAACCATCGACGCAGGAATTCCAATCGCGACGAAACACGATCAGGGACTGGTCCGATCCACATCGAGACCGGCCAGCAACGCGCTCACAGTCTCTGGACTACCGTATCTTCGCTTGCCCTGATTCCGGGCATCATCTCCGTTGCGAAGCCGCGCTGGCCGCCGTCCTCCTGCGATTCCTTGTCCACGGTAGAACGTGGTCGAGATGGCTGTCGCGTCAATCCAGGACCGGACTCTGGAGTTCAAGTCGGTTCTGGCGCAAGCGCAGAAGCGCCAGAATGCGAACAAAGTCGGGTCGCAGAGGCGTTCGCTTCTGACTGATGCACAGAAGGCCGCCGCAGATGGGTCCGCACACCCCAAGAGGTCGGATTTTGCGAGGAAGGCTGCCGACATTGGTCGAGGCATCTCTGCCACCATGGGGAGACTTGAGAAGCTAGCACAACGTGAGCTTTCCTTGACCGAGTTCTACTGAGCCGTGACATTGCTGACATTGCACGTAGTCGCCAAGCGACGGACCATGTTCGACGACCGGCCGGTGGAAATCAACGAGCTCACTTTTGTCATCAAGCAAGACCTTTCGGCCCTGAATCAGCAGATTGGACACTTGCAAACCTTGTCGAAACAGCAGCATCCCAAAGCGGACCAAGAAGGCGAGCACAACAAGAACGTCGTGTACCTGCTGCAAGGCAAGCTCACCGACGTCTCGGCCAACTTCAAGGACGTGCTGGAGGAGCGGACCAAGAACATCCAAGCATCAAGGTCGCGAACCGAAAACTTCATCTCGTCCGTCTCGCAGCATGCGCAGCCCTCTATCCAAAAGTCGGCGTCACCGCTGTACGGCACGCCCAATAGGTCCTCGCCGGCCCCCGCGTCCGACACGCTCTCGCTGAACCCAGTCGGCGACCAGCAACTCTTGATGATGGAAGAGGCGCAGCCTGCAAATGTGTACATTCAACAGAGAGGAGAGGCCATTGAGACGATTGAGTCGACGATCAACGAACTCGGGAGCATCTTTGGGCAGCTGGCAACCATGGTGTCGGAACAAAGCGAGATGATTGAGCGAATCGACGCCAACACAGAAGACGTCGTGGACAACGTCGAGGGGGCTCAGAGGGAACTTTTAAAGTATTGGTCCCGTGTGTCGAGCAACCGATGGTTAATAGCCAAGATGTTTGGCGTGCTGATGATTTTCTTCCTGTAAGTCGGCCGCCCACGCTGCCATTACACGGACACACCTGAACTAATATGCCTGCAGTCTCTGGGTTTTGGTCTCGGGCTGAGCAAGCACAATGCTCGCGGCGAGGGGGGCAAGACAAGACAAGACAGACGAGACGACGTGTTGCGGCGCAATGCTAGTGTGGATACCATTGTGGGACACAAATCTCGTCGTGTGTCTGCATGACTCGGGAGTTTTTCTCTTTATTTATTTTATTTATTTTTTTTTTTCCTTTCCTCCTCTGTTTTGTATCCTTGCATTCTTGTTGTAGAGGCGTCAAGAGTAGCGGGCTAGATACGATGCATTAATACCAACTGCACTGCAGCCCAGGCTGCGCAGCACAACACGCCCACGGACAAGATTTCCTTCCCACTCTAGGCTACCGGCTCGCTTGCTGGTCCGTTGCTCGCCCCCGGGCCGCAGCAGCGCCTGCGGGATCGTGAGCAGAGACCTCGATTTCCACCCTCATGTCGTCCTCGGCAAGCCGCGCCACGCCGACGCACGTCCACAACGGCTGGTGGTTGGGCATCCACTTCTTGAAGTTGCGCACCATGGCCTCCTCGGCCTCGCGGTTCAGCGGGAGGTGATACGAGTTGATTCGGTAGACCTGGTCCCAGCCCTTGCCCCCGGCGTCCCTCAAGGCTCGGTCGACGTTGCAAAAGGCCAGGTCGATCTGGGCGTTGATCTCCTTTTCGAAGACGCCCGTGTCGGGGTCCCAGCCGCCTGCGCAGCAAAAAGCCAGCAGACTGGCGTTAGAACAAGCAAAAGCAGAGGATGCCCGAGCAGGTTTCGCCATTTGCTGGCGTGCATGGGCTCAGGGGGGGGCCGACAACATACCTTGTCCCGCGACCTCGATGCGATCTCCCACCCGCACGGCCTGGCTGTAGCCCGCGACTTCCCGCTGGCGGACTCCGAACTTCTCGTAGGCGAAGTACTGGAGGTGAGACATTTTTTTGAAATTTTATTTTTTTCCTCCCTTGGTGTGCGGAGCCCAGGCGTACAGCGTGGCGGGTCGTGTCGCAATAAGTTCAGAAACTCGAGAGCGCGAGGTTGGAGATGGGTTTGTTTGGGGACGGGGGGCAGAGGGATATTATAGCCGCGAGGACCACGGCGGCCCGGGGAGGGGGGGAGGGGGCGCGGTACTAGTCAGAGCATCGACGGTCGCGAATCTTGGTGTACGGAGCACAAGGCGTTTTATTGTCACGCGCCAAAGGTGTCGACGCCGTGCCGTCGACACAACCCCCTCCGGGCCCTCGAAGGCGGTCACGTTATCGAGCCCAGATGTAGGCGCGGCGGGCCAGTGCAGCGTAATGGTGCGATAGGCCGACGCGGGCCAGACGCAGGTCAGGCTTGGCGATGGCGTAACCAGACAGCCAGTACGGAGTAGACGAGGTCACGACTCACGACGGCGCGATGGGCATGTATGTAACGGTGGGTTGCTTCGAAGGTTGCCCAGGGCTGGCGCCGACTGCAGGGTCGCGAAACCACGGGCTTTTCTTGGCCCGGAATTGATCCGGAACCTGGCCGAAAGCCGAGACCTGGCCGGAACCACTGCCGACGCACCCCGCACGACGAGAGCCGGCCGGAGTCGTCGTGGGCAAGGGCCGTGTGCGACCAGTTTGCGTCTGTCCCATCCAGCTCGGTGCTTTGGACCTTGTTCGTGAATGTGCTGCATCAATCAGCTCGGGGCTCGATTTCAAAATGCTTCCCCTGTTGCCGTTGCCTGTCACGTCACCCTTTGAGCCTTGTCGATGCCCCAAACCTTGTTTCGGCCTTTTGCTGCGCTGGCTGTGAAAGGGGCTGAGACAACGCATGGCTTGGGCAGCCTTTGCGGAGACGGCTACGTGGTTCGTTCGAGCACAAGTCGCATGGCATCGTGGTCATGGACTGACTCATGGGTAACCTTTGTGATGGTGCCCCATGTGGCCCGCCGTACGATCATGATCACGGGGATCACGGGGCGTCTTGGACATGCGTCATGTCTAGGAAATGCAGACGTGAAAAAAGCGACTCGACGCCTGAACGACTTGCCCGGAAGGCGCATCGCATACAAGGCTGAATACGTCGTCACGTCCCACTTAGTGTGATGGCTTATTTACAATCTCTAAATGCGCCATCTCGTGGCGTCGCGTGCCGTGTACCCAGGCAGACCGTCACTGCTTCGCACACCAATTCGTCGAAAATCTCGATTGGATCATCTGAAAACTAGGATAGGAACGTTCATGGTCACTTCTCAAGAGGGCATATAGTGCTTTTGGGTGCTGAATTCAAACACTGACACTCTTCATGGCTAATAGTCCTGCACAGTTGACCCTCTCATACCCTGCGCCCCTGAAAACCGCAGTTTGTCGCTCAACCGTGCCCCTGTTAATACCCCAGAAAAGCACTCTCGTGATGCACAGTCTCCAGATGTTACTCCTTCAAACCATCTCAGCGGCATAAGCGGATATATGAGACCGTCTTAGCAATGCCAACTAACGACGTAATCTCTGACTGCGGCATTCTTCAAAATGCTGGCCACCTCGATGCTACAGTCCAAGTACCACGTGGATGGTGTTTTAAGCCGTGGGCGCGCGGCTGAAGTCGCAGATCTTGCCGCCACCAAGTATGCGGTCGTCTCTCACGCCAATGTGCATGATGCCGAGTTGGTGGAGTCGGATGATGCTTCGAAGAAGTCTACGCATACCGCCTGTTTTTAAATTTGAAACCGTCCGGACCGGAACTGAATTCTGTGACGATACCCCTGATGGGCGGCGGCCTGCCGCTCTTTCCTGGAAAGAGCGAGCGCATCTCTCTGAAGGCATTTTCATTTCTGTCAAGCTGCAGCATGACATTGGTGTGCTTTTCCCTCAGGAGACGTTCGTGATCCTCGTCGAGAGAAGCAGGTAGCCGAAGCACTTGACGGCAACATCTTCATGGCCTGCTTCCTGGAGGCGGCCGAAGCCTCGGCATTCACAGTTGAATGCTTCGCCGTAGTTGCATAGGGCAGTTAATGCAGTGCGTTTGACTCTGATCAACATAAGCTCCAACGCAGATCCATTCCGAGGGAAAGTCAAACCTGAACTATACTTATAGTTTGTGTCGTTGCGTCGTGCCTTGTACGAATGTACATGTAACTCGCTACCTACAAGTTGTAGCACGTAAGTAGTCCCTCGGATTTTCACTATAAATACAAATGAGTGTCGGACCTCTCGTATGTATTCGAGGAAGTCGATCTTTTGCGGACCCTGAAAGTCAAAGGGCTTCAGCTTAGGCCGTAGACATTGCGGGAGCGGCACTAAATCAGCATCAGAGCTTGGCCAGTCTCGATACAACAAGAAGCAACGAGTTCTTTTAAAAAAAAAAAAAAAATACTCCGACCGAAAGCCTCGCGGTACTGAAATAACATGACGGCAAGTTGGTCGCTGTGATGGCTAGGGCATGGTTAAATAATTCGCATAGAGAGTTGTTTCCATCATGTTTTGTCGCACAGCGTACAAGGTGGTCCGCCACACACAAAAGTGTGACGTAGGCCACGTCTATTCTTTAGTACCTATCGAAAGGGGGGGAAGAACCAGGGGCAACGCGCTTCCGATGTTTCCCTTGGCCATGTGCACAAAAGTTCAAAACGACCACCTAGATATTTGGCTGCGCACACAGTCAACCGAACTGAAACTCCCGTGGACAACCACATGCAACGACTACGAGACCAACAGACCAGGACTGCCCTGCCCTCTCCCACATCCACGGCCATCCTCTCCGCGGCGGCCGATTGAAGGCATTTGCATCGTTTTTTTACGTACTCGGTACTCGGCACGCAGGAGCGCGATCCGTCATCTGTAGCACGGCGAGCAACGGCGAGCCCTGCCCCTGCGGTTCCGAGCAACACGAAGCATACGCCGGGCTGGTGAAATACAAAATGACACATCAGGCTACGGGGCGGCCCGAATGCGGGAGTGGCGAGTTTCCGAGACACGAGAAGCATAGCATACAAGGTGGTCTTCAGACTACCACACACGAAAAGTGTGCCGTTTTTCGGTGTGACGGAAGGGTGGGGACTTGCTCCGTACTGTACGAGCAAGTATCCGTACTGTATCGGGCAAATCAAGAGTCAGGACTCGAGACGGTGACCATTTCGTCTCGTCCAAGTCGTCTGCTTGCCCTGTCCTTTCCTTGTCCAACGTCGCACGCAGTTGGCTGTCAAGTTGCCTTGCAGCTTGGCTGTTGTTTCATTCTCGTCCACCCCGCGGCCATGTCAAGACCATCGCGAACGGCAGAGTGTGGCCGGGTTCGACAATGAACAGTCTCACGGTCCAGTCACACCATGGCCATTCTCCTAACAACAAGTAGCCTTGCGACATGAGCCCGTTCCTAATCTGCTCGTCGCGTTCGATTTGTACCCTTTATACTTCGCAATGCTCGGATCCTCTTGGCGTCACAAATAGAGCCGAAAATTCCACCAGAAATGTACCGAAATCTCGTGGTTTGCAGTCTGGCGTCTTTCTACCAAGACTACGCAGACGACAGAAGGATATCTTTCTTGGCCGCGCCACGCCGCGGTCCGTCTGTCACTTGCCATGGACGCAGCTGCCATGGAGCACGGCTTTTGATTCAGCCACCCTCTCTCCGCGAGGAACCAGGCCCGGGCTGTCCGCCTGGTTGTGCCAAAAGTCCCCAACCACGGCCAGCCACATGACGTGAAGCTCTACGACTTGGTTGTGGAGTACCTGTCGAGCTATGAGAGCGCTTCTACCGAGTACCGGGAGAGAAAATCGAGGCCGGGCGGTTTTCGTGACCACGTTCAGTGTTTTCAAAACGACAAGTCGTACGTGGGTAGTCCTAGGTTCTGGCCGTGCCGAATTCCCACCCGTTGCCATCGCGGAACCCGCGTCCCAGAACTGCCGACGACACGTCCGTCCGGCGTCAACTGCCAAGCCTCGACCCTCTCGAACGTGTCTCCGTGTATGTCTGTCCATCGGCTGATTTTCTCCCCGTTTCCCATTTTCCCATCCGTGCCTGCGGGACGGTGGCCTGACCGTCGGCCCATCAAGAACATTCGTCTTCTTGAACCCAAATATCCGGTGGCTTGCAAGTGACTTACTTCATCTGCTTTCCGGGGACGGCGACGAGGGATGTGTCTGGGTCTGTTATAAGTTTCGCAACTCGTCGTCGTTCCGGCACACTCCAGCACGCCGTTTGGCTGGCGGCAGGAAAGAAGCACGCGCCCCGTCCAAGCGGCAACTTCAACATCCCGTTGTGTACAGTTCCAAATCAAGAGTGCCTTGGGACCATTTTCCCGCAAAGAAAGGCTTTGTTAGCCCTGCTGGCCGCGAGGAAAAGACGACGCCAGGGAGAGAGTCGGGGACTCGTCGCTCGACATGGGCCATGACAAGGCCGACGACGACAGCCGCGAGCGGCAACTCATACTCGAGTTGGACCAAGTGCGCCGCGAAGACGGCGGAGCGCGCGAGACATGGACAGCTTCGTGGACAACTCCATCCTGGTCACCGGCACGACAGACCCCGACTGGGTGCCCGTCATGAGGCGCGCCGCGGCCATCATAACGGACCACGGCGGAGCGACGTCGCATGCTGCCATCGTGAGCCGCGAGCTGGGACTTCCGGCCGTCGTCGGCACCGGCAACGCCACTTTTGTGCTGCACGGCGGCCAAGATGTCACCGTGTCGTGCGCCGAAGGCACGTCCGGCTTCGTGTACGACGGCGCGGCAGACATCACGGCCGAGACCCTCGACGTGTCCGAGCTGCCGCCTACCAAGACCAAGATCATGCTCAGCCGCCTTTCGTTGGTGGCGCCTCCCGAGCGACGGCATCGGCCTCGCACGCATGGAGTTTGTCGTCAGCAACGCGATCCAGGTTCACCCCATGGCGCTCATCCGCTTCAACAGCCTCAGGGACGAAACGGCAAGGGAGAGAATCGCCGCCCCGACGGCAGGTTACAGCGAGAAGCCAGACTACTTCGTCGACAAGCTGTCCCAGGGCTTTGCGACCCTCTGCGCCGCCGTCTACCCCCGACCAGCCATTATTCGCATGAGTGACTTCAAAACCAACGAGTACGCCGGGCTCGTCGGCGGCGCAGACTTCGAGCCCAAGGAGCAGAATCCAATGCTCGGCTTCCGAGGCGCCTCGCAATACTACTCCCCACGGTACAGGGAGGGTTTCGGACTCGATTGCCGCACCATCAAGCGGCTACGCGACCACATGGGCTTCACCAACGCCGTCGTCATGATACCCTTCTGCCGGACCGTCAACGAGGCCAGGGAGGTCACCGCCGTCATGGGGGGGGGGGGGGGGGGGTGGGTGCTCGTCTACGGCATGTGCGAGATCCCTCCAACGTGATCCTCGCCGCCAGCTTTGCCGACCACTTTGACGGCTTCTCCATCGGGTCCAACGATCTGACTCAGCTGACGCTGGGCGTTGACCGCGACTCTGGCGAGCTGGCGCATTTGTTTGACGAGCAAGACGAAGCCGTCAAGTGGATGCTCGGCCGTGTCATCTCGGTGGCGCGTGAAAAGGGGCGCAAGATTGGCATATGCGGACAGGCACCGAGCGACCATCCATAGCTGGCAAGGTTCCTGGTCGAATCGGGCATCGATTCCATCTCCATCAGCCCGGATAGTTTTCCTGCGGTGAAGGAGCACGTGGTTGATAGCGAGCAGGCTTCGTTGCCCTTGCGCTCCTAGGCCAGATGTAGTTGATGGCACATTGAACGTTGCCTGCAAGGGAGGGATTTGTGCTGCTCCAAGTGTGTACTGGACAAGCCTGATGGTTGATGGAAGTGCTTGGGTGTTGATGGATGACTCCTTCTTCATACATGGACAAGGGGCTATTTTGTGCATTGACAGACTACTTAATACCAAACCCGTTTCTGACCGCACTGCAAGCCGTTCACGTACACACTAGATTTCTTCTCAAAAAAGGAGTGTGCCTCTCTTGAAGAACAAACAGCGCCAACTTGCCGCCTCCAAAGACAACAATCATTCATCCCCAAACTAGTAGAAGCATCGAAAGAGACTGTCCGCATCATGAGTATTAGGTTAGAGGCAAGTAGAAGCGGCGGCCAGGGAACTCGAGCTACCACCAGCCGCGAATTCAATAATCAAACGTAATACAACCCCCCAAAGAGCGCACACCTTCCAGCAGTACACTTCAAGTTCTGGTTCCAGATGCTGACAAGAAGGAGCGAGGAAGTGTAAAAAGGGAAAAAGAAAAAAATACCGCCGCCGTTTTCCCATAGTCCACGACTGGCAATCGGCGACAACACGAGTCACCAAGTCCTTCAGCCTCTTTGCCGCCTCGTCTATTTCGGCCCTCTCCGTGCTGTTCAGCGGCACATCGGTGGCTCTGACAATGCCCCTTCTCCCCAGAGCAACAGGCCAGCTGAAGCAGCATCCGTACCCCGGGCGGAAGCAGCTAATGGGACGAACGTTGCGCTTGTCCAGCAGTATCGACGAGCAAATGCTGCAGACGATGGAGCTGATGCCAAACGGGTTGGCGCCCTTGGCCCGAATTGCGCTTTCCGACCTGTCCTTGCATTCCTGCGCCACCTTTCCACGGTCAATCTGATTGCTGTGCCGGAGCGACTTGTCGAGAGCAACGCCGCCGACTGTCGCCGTCGACCACGCCGCTACCTGGGCGCTCCCATGCACTCCCAGCACATAGACATCCAGCGACTTGGCGGCGACTTGGCTTTTTTCTTAGCGTAGCTCAAGTCAATCATGGTTCTTGCGAATGGCACACGCACCCCGATCTCGTCGGCAATCATGCCCCGGATGCGCACAGAGTCGAGAAAGGTGCCGGTGCCTAGGACCTGAGACTGGGGCAGCTTGGACAGCTCGAGGACGAGCGTGGTGGCCAGGTCGACGGGGTTGGAGACGACGACTACAGTGGCGTCCTGTCCGGTCGGCCTCATGACGGAGACAACGTTTCTTATGATGGAAACGTTGCGGTATACGCGTTCGAGGTTCGGCTGGCCTGTCACGAGCCCGAGTCAACACCGTGTTGTGTCAGCCACAAAGCTATGGGGTGTTTTTCAGAGGTGAGGCTGGTACCCAATACCCTCTTTGAGGCGGCAGTGATGATGGCGATGTCGCACTGCCCTGCCTTGTGGTGCGTGGCCGCTCGCACACGCGTCGCGCCGTTGGAACTGTACGCCACGTCGGACAGATGACGAACCTGGGCGTCTCTCAGCGTTGTGTTGATATCGACGAGGAGCAGCTCGCGGGCTATGGAGGAAATGACGAGCGCAAATGCAGCTGCGCCGCTGACTGCTCCTACGCCCACGATGGCGATTTGGGAAAATGGTTTGCTGTCTATGGTCGACGTTTGTTTTGGATGCTGTGTGTTGATTAGTTTTGGCACTCTTCAGAATGTGATTTTCCAGGACTGAGATTGCGTCCACGGTATCTGGAAGAGGTGGCAAGCATAATTGTACAATGGTTTGGCACGGCGGCAAGCGTTCAGAGGTGGGATGGTGTTGATTAGGCATACGCCACAAAGCAACCACTCACGGCAGAGCGGCGGGGGTGCGAAGATAGAACTCTCATCGAGTGGCATGACATTGACGGTGTAGACATGGGGCCAGTGCCGTTTGCTAGGCATCCGCGTCATCCCGCAAGCGTCATCGTCCCGTATTCCCCAAGAACGTGCCATTACACATTTCACCGGCCCTGTGCACGCCCACATGCTTCTCTTCGTCCTCCACATGCAGCCCCGTGACCATGCCCGTGGCCATGTGCACGAGCATATGGCAATGCATCATCCACACGCCTGGATTATCTGCTCTCACTCGAATAACCGCATGTCCTCTTCTCGGCACGCTGACAGTGTCTTTTCGAACGGGGTTCACGAGATTGAGCGGCACAGGGGGCCTCGACTCAAAGGGGTTGTAGCTGCCCCAGCCGTCTCGGCCCTCTGCCCTATACGACGATAGGACGTAGAAGGAGTATCCGTGGAGATGGATGGGGTGTGCCCCATCATCCAGATTGTTTATCACTATGTCGACATCCCTCGTGCTGGAAGAGTTGATAAAGGGGATGAATTGGTTTGCGTCCCAGAGGCTGCGGTCTGTTGCCAAAAGCGGCGGATTCTGGGGTTCCCAAGAGGTGTTGTTGACAAATCCCATGGGCTTATTCTGGAAGCGGGAAAGCATCTGCGTTTTCAAGTACAAGACCATTGTTTCCTGGGCCTTGAGGGGCAGTTGATCAGTCGAGGTCGCCGAGGCGGCCGTGAGATTGGCGAGAAGGCGGTCTTGACAGTCGGGTGAGAGGATAGCAGGACTGTTTTCCTGCCTGGTTCGCGGGCTGGGAGGGAAGACGCGGAAGCTGTGATTTGGGTCCAGGGCTGGGTTTGGGAACCCGCCAAAGTTCCTTTGCAACGTCTCAGCAAAAAACGAGTCTTGTTTCGAATTTCTCTTCAAAGGCAGCTTACTCGTCATCCAGCTCAACATGAAACTGGTGGTTCTGTTCGTCAACGCCATCCCAGCTCACCAGAAGATCTACCCTTTCGCCGGGATACAAAACGCCCACCGAGCGACCGGGTTGTCCCTCAACCGCGAAGCCGCCGTCAACGGCTATGGGCTGCATCGTCGCTCCGTCCGCCTTGAGGCTCAGACCGGCGACGGTCCCGGTATTCACCACCCTCAGCTTGACTGCGTCCTTGGGTTTTCGGTGCAGCAACGGCAGCAGCTGCTCGCTGGATAGCTCTGCGCAGACTACCGGGCGTGCTGGAACGGCCATGGAGCAATTGTACCTGCCGCGGCCATTGACGAGTAGAGAGTCGGGGACTGGCTCGTTTCCCACACTTCCCCAGTCAAAGTACCAGTTGAAGACGTCGGTCTGCTTGCGATGGAACCAGTCGCCTACGAGGAGGAGGGCCTCCTTGTGCTTGGGTCGAAGACCAGGCTGGTGAACGATGAATCCCCCGTACAAGCCATCACCCCTCTGGACGTCAGCGTGGCTGTGCCACCAAAAGGTGCCGTGCTCATGATCGCCAAGCTTGAAGTCGTACTTGAAGTCACGGCCCGCGGCAATGGGGCACTGCGTGAATCCGATTGCGCCGTCCATGGAGTTGAAACCCTTCATTTGCAGGCCATGCCAGTGTATCGCAAGGCCTTGGTCTGCGAGGTTGTTGTGCACGTGGACAACAATCCTGTCCCCAGAGCGGGCTTCGATAGTCGGGCCCGGAAACGCACCTGTCGACCAGGTTAAATTCAAATGCAGAAACAGGCGTGGAAAACAAAGCAAGCCAGATGAGATAGACAAACCATTCACGAGATAGACTTGCTTCTCAACGCCGTCTGGCGCCATGGCTCCCAGAGTCACATTCCAATGAAACTCGCGTGTCGCTGCGCTTCGCGATACATGCTTCTCGGGGTCCAGTGCGATAGCAAGCTGCTTCACGGACGGACGGGGGGGTGAGGCCGACGCCAGATGACGCACGTACCCCAGCAACGGCATCGCCAGAAGCATGACAACGAGGACAAACCCTAGCGTAGTCCATATCGAGGAGGCTGCTGGTCGGCCAGGCGGACTCTTTGTTTCGACGTCGTATTCGTGAGATGGGGAGGGCTCATCCAAGAGACGGCGGTCTTCCTCGTCCCCGTGGTCGCTCATTGTCGGCTCCGGTGACGAGCAGCATGGAGAGACAGTCACGAAGCGTCGGGGTTACAATCAAACAAGGACTTTCTGTTGAAATACGTTTGGTGGTACACAAACATCGTCGTCTCGAACCCATGCCACGTCCGCGTCCCGTCATGCATGCGCAGAACATCGTCTCCATCGACTTGATCCAATCAGAACGGCAGAAACCTAGCCCGTGGGGCGTGGTTGTTCCTTCCCCAGCTTCGTACTCTGTACTCCGTACTCACCCTGCACCTTCCGTGCGTTTCATGCCCGGCCATTTCATCATCCCCTGCGTTCACCAGTGCCGCAGTCGTCGGCCTTCCGAAATGACGTGCATATCGTCTAGACGACTCTATGTCATGGACTCTTGTACATCAAATGAACCCCGTGGCATCAAAATCACTAATATTGAAACTCATGGCAAACACGTCCTCTCCAAGAAAGTCTTCCGCCCTCATACCCGTCATAAGCTCGTCCACGCTGCTGTTCCATACCATGCCGCCAGCGGCAGACATGTCTTCAGGGGTCAGACCATAAGGCCAAGGTCTGGTAGTCTCCGAGTGTGAGACCACAGAAGCATCGAGGCTAATCTGGCTCTGCACCTCCCCATCTGTTATCCATTGTAAGCAACATCTTCTGTGGCACCATACAGGCTATGCACGTACCTCTGGTGAAGGAGTCAAGGTATCGCTGCAAGCAGCGGTGAGCCTTCCGGCTCATGATGCTGGTCCCTCCCACCAATCGTAGCGTATCCAAAGCTCGCCGCATTAGATTTTCGATTTCTGGGCTCGTCATCCCTAGCGACGGCAACAAGTCCAGTTTGTTGGATGAAATCAGCCACAGGGCAAACAGGTGAAGATTTATTGACACCACTTGTGCACCGATTAGCACGGCAGGTCAAACGGACGGACTTCAAACCTTACTCATGTAGTTGCACAGCCACCATACGGCATTGCGCCTCAGAAACGACGGCTGGATCCTCAGGATGGAGCAAAGAAGGTTGTGAAAGTCGTTGATCTTCTGCAAGTACGCCTGTAGAATGGACACGGCAACCTGGACGTAGAGATCCGAGTCGCTTGGATCGTCCGTAGTTGAGACATGCCGTAGGACCGCTAATAGCAGCGGGGCATTGACGAGCATGTCGACGCGGTAACGATGCAACGAGCTCAGTATTGTATACCTCTGTTCATCGAGGTCAGTGGCCAGCCATGTGTCAGCAGTCTGGTTCGACACTAATGTGTAGCGTGATGCATCTTTTCCCAGGTTCTCTAGCTGCCGCAGCGATTCCATGACACGTGGTACAAGCTCACTCAAGGTGAGGTCGTGAGTCGACGTAATGTTTGAGTTGTGCATGGCGTCCACTACACTGCCGATAATCTCATGAAGTTTTCTGTCAACCGCCCGTCAGAAAAAGAGCATACCAATGTGGATTCCAACGTACGTTGAATGTAGAAAGTAATGGAGACTCGACCGTCCGAATGCAAAATGGTCCCCCGGTCGTTGGTGTCCGTTACTCATCAGATCCTTCAGCTTCGTCTGGATATGTTGGGCAGGTACGAGAAATGGGCGGCCGAGACCAGACCCAATTAATCTGGAAGCAGTTAGGCCCCGTGACTTCGTTGCCGCGGCAGCAAGTTAACCATACCGGTCTTCATTTACAACTGCAAACCAAAGTACGGATCGCAGCTCCTTGTCCTTGCTTCCAAACCGACCGTACGAAGACGGCGAGTGAACACCAAGCTGATATGCGGCTTTTACGGCACGAAAGTGAGTAGTGATGCTCTCTTGTGCCCGTTGACTGTTTTGCTGAAAACTCGCCAGCAATAGCAGCGCCTGGACTAAGAACTCTCAGAATTCCTATAGAAAAAGAATTGACAAGGGGGCCTAAGGCTCAAGGTACTTACGGGCCTCAGTAGTCGGCAAACAGAGACCTTTCTCGTCCAACAGGTCCAAAGCCCGGCGATAAAACGGCTCCGCCGTTCCGTCTTCGGATATCGCCAGTGCATGGGCAAAGACAATGCTCATCAAAGCCTGGGTGTTGGAAGGGCAAGATTGCCAAGTACCGGTCCGCGAATCAACAAGGTCGATTTCCCGAACCAACATTAACTTGTCGACAAAGGGGAGAGCGGGCGCCACTGTGTCAAAGAATATGTTAACCCAGCCAATGGCAGTTTTGCGTCCAGGGAATGAGTCCTGCTGAGGCCGCGGTTGTTGTTCCGCCGTCACCATTTTAAGGGGTGGCAACGGTAGCCGTCTTGGCCCTTCACTTGCGCCGACCTGTCGAGGAGGAAGATTCTGTCGCCCAGGCTGCTTCCTACTGAGCTCGTCCAAGGACGATGTCAAGGACCAAAAGAATGCGTGATTTGAGCTGGCACCTGGAGCATTGCAAAAGGTCAGGTCTGGCCCGACAACGCTCGTTCCTCTTCCATATCAATCTTACCAAAGTAGCCAATGTCGGTATTCCCAGGTTGATCATCAAAGAGGCCGGTAGCTATGGCATCAGCCGTTGACTCAGCCGCACCGTCCGAGTTCAGACCTCCGCCATTAGCATGCAATGGCTGAGCAATGGCGTGGGCTGGGGAAGACGGGCCGCCGCCATGGCTGCTGGGGGAGATGGCTTCGTGTGCTTGGGGCTGCCTTGCCGAGGCCAATTGGGCCTCCAACTCTCGGACTCGATTTGCTAATGCGAGATGCGCTCTATGTATTCACAATATCAGCACGTGCGCAGAAATGTGGAGGGCAACTGACGGGAAACGCCTTGCAGCCGAAAGCATGAGACTGCCTACCGTCTCTCCTCCTGCCGATCCATGCGCCTATCTCGACTGTTCTGCGTGTACTCGCAAGTAATGCTACATCTAACACATCGCTCACAGGACGGGTGCCTGCCATCGCACTATGTAATGTAAGCGTCTCGCCCTGATGATGCAGGCAGCCAGCATCAGCCTTGGCCCTTGAGAAGAGGTGATTGATAATTAACCTTGGACTTGGTCTGCCTACATGCGTTGCACGCCTGAACGGCCCTGGGTCGTCTTGTCAACGACCGCGTGGCATGCTCCATGGCGACTCCGACTCCTTGCCCCAGACATTTGTGATGCCTTTCGGTCAATGACAAAGGATCGACTGAGGTTCCAATGAGGCATGTCATCAAACTGACCGGTCAGTTGGCCAGTCGGCGATTGGAGGACAAGGATTGTGACCCCACTTTCACCGACGGTGCGGTCGACGCCCCGCCTTCTTGTTGCTCCCCCATTGTCACCCCTAGCTCTAGCTAACCTGAATGCTAGAGCTATTTGTAGAGCATAGATCCTGGGCAAGGCATACTGCTGCCACGATGTGCTGCCACTATGTGCTGCCACTATCTGCTGCCACTATCTGCTGGATCTATCTGCTGGCTCTATCTGCTAGGCATCTTACAACTCTACTTGCTTTACCTCCTCTCTGATTAGAGAGAGGCCGCCCTTATAGAGTTAATGTACTTCTAAGGTATAGAAGTAGCCTTTTTAGAGTGCTTCTACTAATAGGATTCGAACGTCGTAGCAAGGTGGTTGCGCTATAGTGGGAAGTTACAGGGTGTAACCCTCCCGGGCTCATAACTGTCACACACCAAAAGTTGGGCGTGGCCCACGCCCACACTTTTGTGTGTAGTAGACCACCTTATATGCTATGCGACACCCATGCCATGTTTCGCGTCACCTCGCAGCTTTCGTCATTGCATTTATTGACACAATAAAAATCATGCTTGGGGCGTCTGCAGCTCGATCTCAGCTCCGCAAACACGTGGATCTCACGTAACAGTCACCACAGCCTCCCTCAGAGAGAACGATCGACTTGCAAGTACTGAGTGGCTGAAACCAAGGTTGGGTTCGTTGTACAGCAGTCGAACGAAAAGCCAGCAACGATATCCTAGCCACCATCTCCCACAAACTAAATCAGGAAATAATGATTTCGATAATATGACATGGAGGAACTCGTTGGAGCTAGTAACACCTCGAGAGTCTGTTGAGAAGTCCCACCAGGGCAAGTATGGCTACCCTCCGTCTTCCGGCGTTGGGAACAATGCAGGAAAAGCCGCTCTGGTTTCGTGTCATTCCGCACGATTTACCCAGTTCCTGTAGGTATTTGTGGTCCAGACGTGACCAGACTTGTCCTTCCTGCGTCGGCAAGCAAGGCCAATGGTGTGAGTCCGTCAACTGGATACATCATACTAGCTCCGGCGTGCTATTCTGTCGCCACATTGTCGTTGGATCAACCATTTCGTTTCCGGTCGACGAGAACAAGGGCACTACTTGAACGTCATGTACGCGAGCATTTGCTCTTCAGCCCTACACAAGGGGGGCCGGGGAGGGCGGCGGCGCCTGGAGGGCGTGGAGGATAATAATCACATCGCCTTCGTCCGTTACACTTACCCTTTCCCGGAAATACGTGGACAGTCAGGGCTTGGGCCTCACACGACGAGGTGACAGCAGTAGGGACAGAAACTGCCATCCCGTGTCTTTCACGTCAACCTTGGCATTTTTCCAACCATGTCAACATGCTTGGACGGAAAAAGGGAAAAGTACAGATCATGTGACGACGTGAGTCTCGCCGGCCATCACAACTATCGACCATGATACCGTAACGGCGTATTCCCACATCCGCAACAGACGGCACTTCTCGGCGATGAACATAAACCGTCGAAAGCAACGGCGCCCATGTTCTTCTCGCTGGACGTTTCACCCAAGCTTTGTGTGTCACTTCGTCCCCCGCCAACAGTCTCAAAACGCCAACTCCAACTCCGCCCGTGCAGCTCGAGAGATGCGCTTGGTGTGACTTTTTCTGATAAGCAACTCGGTCCCTCCAAGGGTATTCCCGGGCCCAGCACTGCCCAGGCCTCACGTGAAGCTGTTGCCATGCATGTGTCGACGCGTTCCCTGCATACCGCCTCACGACGTGCCCTCTCTCGGCCTGGAGAAGCGCTCTAGACTACCCGGACATTACCAACACAGCCAAGTAAACCAGGGCGTTCAACCGACACGGACTCTGTACGATTCGAGATTGGGTGCATCATGGTGGTTCTCGTACTGTTCCCAACATGGCATTTTGCCAATGTGGAACCGGCAAGACCGCTGGATGTATTCAACCATCCACTCTACACTATGCTTTGCAACGCTGTACCTATCCTGGTTTCTTGATATGACAGCATGGGACATGGCCGGGGCGTCTCGCTACGCTCGCTTACCTATCCCAACAGTGTAACGCGGGATATAGCCAGGTCACACCGTCATCCCAGCCATCCCTCGATAACGACGCCCAAGGACGACGTATACACCAAGCCCCCAGACACGACATGGCCAAAACTCACCCCGTCCCCCCCTACTCGCCCGACTTTCCATCGGCGCAAACGCAAGCTACGCCCTATCAAGCACTCCAAGCAAACCGCTGAATTCAAATCACGGCAGCCCCTCTCCATTGAGGGGGAAAAGGAACGCAAAAATGGGCTTCACGGCGGTCCGCTCGAACCAGATTTTCAGAACGGTCCCAAACAGTACCTCGAGGCGTTTTCAAAGGCAATACAACAAAATCCCAACGGCCCGCCTTCTTTATAAATTCCATCCTTGACCACATCCACTCTTAAGGGGGGTGTATTAGAACCTCCCCGTCCCATCTGGCCCGGCTTGTCCGTCACAGCAACATCCAACATCACAAGTCACCGCGCCGTCTGCCAACGTTGGAAAATGAAACACGCAGGTGCGTCCCTCGAGAACGGCGCAGCAGGACCAGGCCGGCCAACAAGCAATCCCGCAGACGTGGAAGGCCAGGACGCCAAAGACGCCTACCCCGACGGCGGCCGAGAGGCGTGGACAACCATCCTCGGTTGCTGGTGCGGCATGCTCGCCCCCATGGGCTGGCTCAACGCCCTCGCCGTCCTGCAGGCCCACGTCTCGCAGAAACAACTATCGAGCTTGCCAGAGTCGACGACGGGCTGGATCTTTAGCACGTACGCGTTCCTCATGTTCTCATGCGGCGTGAAGGTCGGTGCGTTGTGTGTGCCTTCGCCCCTCACTCCTCGCCCCTCGCCCCTCGCCCCTTGTCCATTGTCCACTGAGTGTGTCCAGAGTCCTGACTATGCAGGCCCAATGTTCGACGCATATAATGTCAAGCTCCTCATTGTACCGGGGAGCATGGGCATGGTCGTCATGACCATGCTTCTCAGTGTGTGCAAGGGTTCGTCGGCTCTAGCCCCTCCATCCGGGACGGCAAAAACCAAAAACCAAAAACCAAAAAAAACACCACTAACATTGATGCCTTGCGCCGTACTTGAGAATTCTACCAATTCTTTCTGACATTCTCCCTACTCGGGGGGCTCTCCTCGTCGCTCCTGTTCACGCCCTGCATCGCCACCACAGGCCAGTGGTTCAGCAAGCGTCGCGCCCTGGCAACGGGCGTCGTTTGCACCGCCGGCGGCACAGGCGGCATCGTCTTCCCCCTCACCATCCTGTACGCCGAGCCGTGCGTCGGGTTCGACTGGTCCGTCCGCATCATCGGCCTCGTCTGCGCCGTCTCCTCCCTCCTCGCCTGCCTCCTCGTCAGGAAGCGCCTGCCGCACAACAGGACGGCCGGCGCACAGATGGACTTTGGGGCGCTGCTCGACCCCAGGTACGCCCTGACCACGCTGGCCGTCGTCCTCGCCGAGTTGGCCGTCTTCATTCCGTACACGTACATTTCTTCGTACGCGCTGCACGTCGGCTTCGAGATGCAGACGGCGCTGCTGATGAACTCGCTGCTCAACGTGGGCGCCATTCCGGGGAGAGGGCTGGCCGGCTTCGTGGCCGATCGCTTCGGCGCGTTCAACAGCTTCCTGGCGACGACTGCGGCCTGCGCAACCATCATATTCTCGTTGTGGTACACCGCTCCTGGCGGTCGCGCGGCCGTGATCTCCTTCACGGCCCTCTTCGGCTTCTGGTCCGGGGCCACGATTGCACTCACACCCGTGTGCGTGAGCAGGGTGTGCAGGATCGAGGACTATGGGAAGAGGAGTGGGACGACGTACTTGATTGCCAGTATTGGCGTCCTCGTCGGTGCCCCCGTCGCCGGTGCAATGATCAAGGCGAGTGGCGGCTCGTATGGGGGAATCATGGTCTTTTCGGGGGCAATATACGCCGCGTCTACGGCTACCTTGTACTGGGCGAGAGGCGTTGCTGCTGGCTGGGGGCCAAAGGTGATTTTCTAGATTGAGCGTACCGCGACCATGACATGTATATGGGAAACACAAATATATCGGAAACATGTGAACTTGCAGACACGTGGCCTGTTGCAATTAGTTATCCCCTTCCCGGAACCCAAAACGCCAATGCTCATTTCTCCATGAGCGTTTCCCAATTCTCGACTGTGTATCTCATCTGTCGCTTCTTCTGGGTATTGTACAAGGTGGAGTGTGCCAATGGTTATAGAAAACATATATCCGAAACCGAAGATATAGACTTGCGCCAGACATCTAGCCTTGCGAGCGGATGAGCAGAGATTAACTGATATTGATACCAGAAAGTATGCGCTCCTTCGCGAAAAGGAAAAAAAAAGGGGGGGGGAGTATCCACTCCTCTTGTTTTTTTTGTTTATTGGAAATGGTGGGCATGGCGGTCGTGTAAGTCGCGGTTCGTCTACGCAGGAGTATGAAAAAGTCGGAGGATGCCCTCGTACATGCCAAACATGATGGCTGCGCTCGGAACAGTTCGCATCAGATGAGGTGTGAGACCGCCGTACAGACCAATCATGCCCTCTTCTCTCCAAACCAGTTTGAAGCACTGGATCAAGCCCGTGTACTTGGGACGGCCGTTGTCCATGGGCGCCTGTCGAAGTCGGGTTCGAGCAACCTGGGAACATTCGTCAGCAACCCCTGCTCGGCATTGAGAACACCGACACCGTCAACGCAACACGGTACCTCGTGGGGATAGGCCAAAACGGCGGCAATTAGCTTTGCGCCGCCAGCAGCACCAGCCTTGCCGGTCCAGTCCACCGAGTTATCCCACCAAGTCTTCCTCCTCCCGCTGCGCTGGATGCGCTCCTCCCGTCTGGCCAACGATGCCTTCATCTGCTCGTACAGCATCCACTGTAAGGTCGACTCGGCCACGCCCAGGTAGCTTGCGCTCATTCCCTTGTACAGGCCGCGAATGCCTTCGTCGCGAACGATTTGTCGGACGCAGTCGTAGCTATTACGGTACCGCCGCTGCATGACGCCCCCGCTGCGCTCGGAAACATTCTTGTCCAGCTGCAGCCGCGTCTTGACCATCCAGATGGGATTCGTCGCTGTCGACGTCGCTACGCCAGCGGCCACACCAGCCAAGAGATGCACCCAGGGGGCCTCCTCGCCCCGATTCCAGTGCTCGGAGATGATTCGCTTGCCGTTGCCGTAGACAAAGAAGTTTATGCTCCTTGCGGGCACAATACCCACCAGATTGGGTCCCAGGCCTTTGAAGAGAGCTCTGGAGCCCTCGATGCGATAAACTGCGCCGAGAATCTCCAGAGTGTCAGTCAGATGATACAGGGCAGCTCTGGCAGGGTTCAATCCCGCCAAGGCCTGCCCTTTGGCCATTCTGGCTGCTCGGAGTTGCGCCTGGTAAATGTCGGATTGCAATCGGGTTTTGAGCACATCGAGCGGCGCGGTAACTGTCGCAGCCGTCATTCCCCCAATACTATAGCCGAGCCATCATTAGCAAACCGTCCGTCTCGCCAACGGGAGCGCAGCGCGGACGAACCCTCCTGCCATCATGTGCACCCAGGACTTTGCAAACGGCAAAGCCTTGACTTTCCCCGCCAGCGCATCGTCTGGGATCACGTCTCCCGTCTCCCGGGACTGGATAAGAGCAGCATGTTCGGCAGGGACATGTGAGTGTTGAAAAGGTTTTCGATCGTCTTGGCCTACCGCGAATGCGGCAGGCTGCCGTTGGGCCATTAGGTGCGTTTCGCGCGATATGACTTGACGGCCGGTTTTTCGGTCTCTATGTTGCGCAAGTGAGAAGTCTGTGCGTCAAACGGACGGATTGATCGTTCCGAGCCGTCAGTGAAAGTGCGTGGCAGAAAGAAACGAATCCGTCGCGGCAGCCAGGAGGCGTCCCGTCAAATGAGGCAGGATCCAACTTTTCTTTTTCCCTGCTCTGTCATCAAATTTAGCGTGAAGCAGGTATCGTGTGGCCGAAGAGACTCGATAGCGACTTCAGAAAAACTTGGTTGCATCTTCGACTGCCACGTTAGTTGGCAGTGAGCCACTTACCTCTGCAAGTAGTTGGCTGGTATTTTGTGGGTACTTGGTGGGTCCCTCCAGCCCGCCCCGATTCAACGCGACAATCAATGGTTTGCGCAACTAGAACAGCAAAACTGCTAACTACTTAAGTAGTGATTCAGGCTTATCGTCTCAAAGACTTGAGTAGCTACGCCTTCTCCATTCAAAGCTCCTCGTCCCCCCCATCTTCTGATATAGGCCTCACAGCCGGCCTGCCGGAATCATGTCGTAACAAGCCACAGTCTTACTAAAAAATCAGTCTTACTCCAGGCTCAATATCATATATATTAGATTCTTCACATCAGTCATATCTAAGGTTCAAGCCCTCATCTTGATGGTGGGTTGAATGAATCATTTCTATCCATCTCATCTCATCAGACATAGGTCAAGATGCCTCCGTGAATCTGTTCTCCCATGTGAGGCCATCTGCCCCAGCCAAGCGGCGAGTTTGGCGTCCTTGGCGCTAGTTGCGGCTTGCCTCTGGTTACGAAATAGATGTTGGGATGGTTGTTTCAGGGCCTTGACTCTCGACCTCATGGCGTAGGCGTGCCTTGAGCGACAAATACACAATTTCGGGATTCCGTGGATGCTCAAAAGTGTCGAGGCTCTCTTAGGGCATCGTCTTTGTCAGCCCTCATCTCCACCTCTGTCCCTAATTCATACTTGACTCTCGCCGCCTCGTCATCTGTAACTGATCTCCAGCTACACTTGGCGTGCTTTTTTGTACATCCCTGGCAGGCGGTCAGATGCTTGATACACGGCAATCGCAGGCGGCGACATCGGTCACACGGCGGGTTTATGACATCGCCTTTCGAAAGTCTGTCAGTGCTAAGACAAATAAAAGACCGCAACACATCTCCTCTATCACCGGCAGAATTCGTCTTCTGAGTGTCCAGCGTGGTTCCTCCCGGAGAATGCAAGGATTGCCTGGATAGGCGATGTTGACGATTGTGTGGCGAATGAAGGGACGGCGACAACGGGCCATGGCTGCTGGCTGACAGTCCGGCGCCCGATTCAGATCGCGACTCTGTGCCGGAGGGTGATGCCGCCAAAAATTGCTGCAGCAGGTCCGCATGCAAGTCGTATGAGGGGCTGAAACTGTGCTGTCGTCCAGCAGCATTGGCGGGTTGGAATCTCGAGCCCCCACTGCCTTGATTTCGTCTACGAAACAAATCATTTTTTCTGTGGCCGAGCCTATGATGAAGAATGCGGGCTCGGGCAGCTACTTCGTCCGCCCTCTTGTAAAGAATTGAAGCTCGTTGATGTAGTATATCCAATGTCGCCAACTCAACAGTTTCATCTTCTTCAAAGGGGTGTTCAAGTCGGAAGCGATCCAGGGCTCCAGACGCTATCAGTCTCCAATCATCCTCTGTGATTTCAACATGAACACCTTTATAGAAAAATCGACAGCAACGGCTACCTTCAGGCATTTCTGTGAGGCCGAAATCGCCTGGGCTAGCTTTTGCGAACGCAACCACGTCCAGCCAGCTTATTGGCGCCGAGACATGTTGCGAAGAACTTGTTTTGATGGGTCCATCGAAGAACTTTTCGATACCTTTGAGTAGCCGTGGCCCAGTAAGTTTTGCCCCCAAGCTTGCTGCCAGACTCTCGTGACGATCCAAGACGCCTGCGGATAACCATCTGTCAGTCGTGCCGAGCTTGGTGGCAGCGAGTGTGCAATGAATGAAGAGCATGCCTTCGTATTCTCCGATTAAGTGAACAATATGGGCAAAGGTGTCGGCATCCCCCTCGATAAGGCTAAGGCGCTCGGCATTAGCCCGTGGTACGTAATTGATGTAGGGTCCTGCATTTTGTGAATTTGTCAGCTCGAGAATTGGCAAGACGGGACGAATGATGTATTGAAAGTAGTTATACCAGCAGCTCCCACCCCTGAGATTCGAAAAAGCCCTCGACAATATGACAGTTTCTTGAAACCGTGACGTCCGTGGGGGCCATTATTCCAGCAAACACGCAAGCTTACCGGGTTGGTTGAATTCACCTGGCCTAGTGACTGGCGATGTTCGTGCAAGACAGTCTCCTCGTTGAGGCCCAGTTTCTTCGGGATCTCGATGTCGTTGATGAAAGTCTGAGTCCGGAACATGTGCCATGACAAAACACCACTCAGCCTAGCTGCTCACCGTTATGGTTCGGTTTGAGAGTTTAAGGCGTGGCACGAGGCACGGGCAGGGCCGTGTATGGAGACGCTGACCTCTACAACGTGTTTAGCAAGAAATGGTCGTTTGGCTCCCGGCTACGGGTCTTGATACTTGGCGACCCAACCTATTTCTCAGGACCAGAAAACGGTGTGTGGGATATTCGAGCGGTCAATTTGGAGGAGGGCGCGGCACACTTGTATGTACGGAGTAATCGTGTATGAAACTCGCTTGGCCAGCACACCTGGCCAAGGATGGCTGGTGGGTCTGCAAGGGAAAGGAACAGATTTTTTGACCAGGGCAAGGTGCCGTGAAAGCTCAGGCCGGTGTATTAAACTCAAGTGGTGAGAATTCAAGAGATTGGCTGATGCGGACGACGGCCCAGATCTGCTCACAGAACGAAGTCCAAGCCCAAAAAGGCCCGCCACGATTGGTGTACGAGGCTCGTGGTGTATAGCCCGCAGAGACGAAGACGTGATTTGGAGGTTGCAAGGGTTGTATGGTTGTCAACTGGAGATATTGCATATATTAACGACTGGGTTCCGAATTAGCCCACTTGGCTTTGATAGGCGCTGCCCTCAACAAACACAAGTTAGATATCATCCCGCCTGCTCCGTTTTGTTCAGTGAAAACATTTCAGGCTTCACTGACCTCACAATAACAAAATCAACGGGTCCCTGAGCCGACCATTTCAATCTTGGAACAAGCGAGCAATATGCGAGGGGGGCCGCGCGTGTGATTTTGGCTGGTCAGTCTCCTTAAACCTGGACCGGTGATGGGAGGCGATGGGTAACGTTAATTCGCAGACCGAAATCTCCAACGAGCTTGTCAGAAGGGCATTTCCCACTTTGAAGTATCACTAAAGTGTATATACTCCGTACGGAATATCAGCCCAGCCCAATGTGCTCGCCATTATTGTCCGCCTCCCGCCACCGCCTCTTGTCTGTTGATTGCTTTGGCTGGAGCGGGAGGGCATTGCTACTTCCCCGGCCGACGACGCTCCTAGCATGGCAAGTCAGAGCGACGATCCGATCCCACTCCAGCCGACTCTATTATGGTGTCGGCCTCCAGGGTACCCATGATGAAAGGGGTTCTTTTTGATGTGCGTACGGAGTACGGTATGTGTGGGCCAACGCTGGCCCTTTGTTGAGAGAGGATATGACAAGTGCCGGCCGTAGTTAGAAAAATGCGCAGGGATTCCAAACGTCAAACGTCTGGCATTCAAGGCTGCTAATGGGAGGCATCGTCTGCCGCCACAAATTGCTCGACCAACACACGCCGGATGCCTCCTTTGATGTTGGGTAAAAAGTTCCTTGGGATCGTTTGGGTGACACGCGGGTGGCTCAAAATCGACAAGATGCACAATGACAGCATGGTGATGACAATTGGCCCAGCCGACTGCGCGGGCGAGCGGGAAAGCTTTTCCTTACCCGCCAAGCCCTTCCTTCCTTGGTGCATGTTGCTCGGCGCCGGCATCGTACCTTCCCGGCTTGCTCACCATCGCCACTTCGCGGTCGGAAGGCAGCTTAGTATTTCCCTGTCCAACGCAAACGCTCGACGCGCTGTTCAGATGCACGCATTGACGGGCAATGCAAAACCTGTCACTAATTCTACTTCGTACTTGGTGTGCGGAATAATGAATAACGGTCTGAAAGCGCGGATGCTACAAGTTGTGAGGCATCGAGAGACGCTAAACCCAAACAGGAACTTCACTCCTCCACCGCTCGGTACGTACACTTCCCCTGCCCCCGCGAAAACCAACTCACGTCTGAAGCCGCGACAGGGCGGCAGCTTTTTCTGCCATCCCCATGCCACCGGTGACAAGCAAACACACGCACACACGCACATACGCAAATGCGACATGTCCGATAGACCCACGCACCGAGGCGGAAGAGGAGCAGCAGGCGGAGGAAGCGGTCCCCGCGGCGGACGAGGTGGCGGCCGCGGTGGCCGTGACGCCGGTCGCGACGCCGGCGACAAGGGCGAGAAGCCCAAGAAGGAGAATATCCTCGACCTGGCAAAATACATGGACAAGGAGATCATGGTTAAATTCAATGGCGGACGAGAGGTCACGGGCACCCTGAAGGGCTACGATGCCCTCATGAACCTGGTCTTGGACGAGGTGAAGGAAACGGTTCGAGGTATGCTTCCTTTCTGCGGCGAATAGCCTTGAACCCCCCCCCCCAAAAAAAAAAAAAAAAAAAAAAAGAAAGAAAGAAAGAAAGAAAGAAAGAAACAAGCGTCCAGGGACGGGGTGAGACGATACGAGACGAGACGAGCTGACATTTGCTGCAGACGAAGAAGGACACGAGTCCACACGACCTCTGGGCCTCGTTGTTGCTCGCGGTACGCTGCTCGTGGTCATAACTCCCGTCGATGGGAGCGAAGAAATCGCCAATCCCTTTGCAGCGGCGGAGGAGTAAGCTGGTATTGGCGCAGGGTCTCGATACCTCAACATACAAGGCGCGCGGAACTGGCATAGATATGCGACAATCCGGTAGCCCTGAGCTCACCATGCCGTCCCAGGGCTTCGGACACAATCCGCTGATAGGGCGCTCACGACAGCTCAAAGCTGTCGTTTTACCGGGACCGAAGACAGGTCACATCATGCGCGTCGCCATGATGGATCATCACTGGAACGTCGCTGCCACTGCCACGTCATGAGTGTCTCTTGGTGAACAATACAGATATGACATTTTTTTCGGCTTAGTTCTACGCAATTGTTCTACTCGCTTGGTATCCTCTGTCCATCGCTGGTTCCAGTCAGTAATGGTTCTCACATCACCTGCTGTGCCCTGCCAGCCAATCCTACTGATTTCCGTCCATCATGCCGTCCAATCGGGCCCGGGGCAACCGGAAACCCGTCCTTTCTTGCCCATTCTCACCATCCAAATGCCATACATCCAAGCCATCTTCACCCCCTTTGTCGGTGCTCAAGAACAATCCAAGCAAACGAGGAATAGAGAATACTACTCTGACCGCTCATCCCAACTAGCTAGCGAGCTAGTTCTACACCTATGCACTCTTGGTCCGGCAGGGTGGCGTCGTGCTGGGGATCCTCTAAAACCCCCTGCTATGTTTGCCGGTCTTCTGGAGCTCACCAAATGCATTGTTCAATTGCTTCTTCAGCTCCTTGAAGCTGACGATGAAGCTAGTCTGGTCATCACGGCTGGTAAGGCAGATCCTCTCGTCTGTCCCTGCATCCAATCTATTCAGACACCGAAGCATGTGGCCCATGTCAAGTATGGGGTTCCCGTTGCCGTCAACTTGGTGGAACACGTAGTCCCGAAACAGCTTGAGCATGTACCGCTCTCCGTTTTCCGACCAGGTCCGGTCTCCCTCGAATTCTTGCCGTTCGTTGATGCAAGCTAGTTTGAGGAGGAGGCGGGCGATCCGGCCGTTTTCCAATTCCCGGTACAGTTCGGAATTGAGTTCGTCAGACTGATGCTGGGATTGGTCGAGGGTAGTCACGATGTACCCAACGATTCCACGGATGAATTCTTCGATAGTCTTTTGTGAGGGTGATGGCGCGGGCGTGAGGAGCCATATGATTGTGTCGCGGAGCTCGACGGAATACGAGCGGGTCATTAATTCGATGGAGGCTGTGAGGTTGGTGAGTTGTGATGGGGGCGTGTTGGTGGCTAGGGAGAGGATCGTGCGGCCAAATTGCACAAAGTCGTCTTGTTGAAGTTCGGCAATGGGGCGGCGCAAATCAAATTGGACCACATCGAGGATGGAGCAGGCATTGAGGCGTATGCGGTTCTTGCCGGTGAGGAGGATTTTGGTGACGTCGATGCAGCGCGCGGCCAGGTTGATGGAGTGAATGGACTTGAGTGCATTTGCGATTTGAGATATGTAACCCCATAAAACAGCTTCAGAAACCGGTGGCTTTGCCTGGAAATGGGTCCCCGGTGGCGGTGGGCCAAAACCAAAGTGGACTTCGGCCAGGGTTTTGGCCAGAGGGTGGTAGTCCTGTACAAATATGAGGGAGCTGTCACCAAACGCTCTTGTCGTAAATGCGTCGTGTACCGTGACTACATTTGCATTGTCAATCTTCCTCCAGTCCTTGACAGATCTGATGGCGTGTTCGTTTGTGAGTCTGAAGCCCTCCAGTCTTCGCAGGCAGTACAGGTTGCCTGTCTTGGATGAAATCGCCTTATATACCCAGCTAGAGTAAGAAAAGGTGTTTATAGTCTTTCGATGGTTGATGTCGAGCGGGACTAGAGTATGATAGTTCTCCATCTGAGGCAACTGGGAGTTGGGCATGACCTGGAGTGAGGCCTCTGCTCTCTTCTGCATGTCCTCTCGCAGTTTTTCGGTTATGAAGAAGTCGTGTGTCATTCGGTGATAGGGCATTAGATCTTCCCTATGAGGCCCTACCGGCGCATAAAGATGATGCTGCAAGAGCTGAGGAGCAGCATACGCGGCATTTGGCGGGAAAAAACCTGCAGCAGCACCGGTCATTGCACCATGATCGTCGGCGTAAGGGTTGTAGTGTGCGCTGGGGAGGCTTTGGCCCACCGAGGCCATGGCAAAGGGATCGTAGTTGACGGGGCCATCCTGACTAGATCCATTCGGAACACCCTGGGTAGGAGCGTTAATCTGTCGTTGCTCCGGACGTGACGAGTGAAGGGTGTCTGCCGCCAAGACATACCTGTGAGTTGTTCAACTCAAAGCTCGGAGTGAATTCGCGAATGGCTGCTGGGTTGAATATGGCACTTTCTGAGTCGGCGGGCGTGGCCGGCAGGGCTGGAGATGCTATCAAGCGTGTCATGTCAGTGCTGCGGTCCGCTGAGTTGTGTGCACATTGAAACCCTGCAACTACCTCCTAGCCCTCTCGGTGTGAATGCTGGCGCATTGGCGGCTTGTGTAGAAAAAGTTGGCTTCTTGGCGACGGACGGTAGATTTGCGGGAGTAAAGGAAGGGGACTCGACATTGAGGGGTTTGCGAGACCTGAACAGGCGTGTCAGCGTACGTTTGGGCTGTGCGGCACGGATGCGCAAAGAGGCGGGCGCCGAGGTCGACCGGGCATGCGGCATGGGTGATGGGTGTCGAGGACTCGGACATACATTTCCGACTGGTTCGAGTTGGTTTTGTTTTGATCGTGGGAAAAGGTACATCCTTGGTCTTCGTATCGGCAGTGACCATAGATTAAGACGTTCCGACAGAGCGTGTCCTTGTTCTCCGCTACGTGCTCGGGGTCAGCTCGACGAACTTTGCACATGGCCGCTGCCATTGCTCTTCGGGGCGCAACTTGACGGCTCAGCATGCACGCGGGTGGTGTTGTCGTACCGCGTCCCTTTGGTTTGGGAGAGGAGGCTGACGAAGCGGCTGGGCGCCTAAGATCTGAGTTCGCGAACCGCGACGCCGCCATGGTCTACTTCAGTTGGATGGATGACGAGGAGAAAATTCCGGCTCCCTTGGTCGCTTCTACGACGTCTGTACCGTGTCAATGAGGGCTCGCGACGGGCAAGAGCGACGCGGTTGAGAGGCATGATCAGGCGCGAGGCCATGACCATTCGATGACGGCGGCCGGGGGCATCGCGACAGTGAGTGGAGAAGGCGGCATTGCTCGAACGCGAATGCACGATAGTAGCGTGGAAGCGAGGAAACGAGGCGCGCGTCAAGGCCAACTCACCTTGGTGAAGCAGTCATCAGCCATGGCTCAATTGGCGGCGGAGGCCTTGTGCCCATTTACAAACGATGGACGGCGACGGCGACGGAGATGGGTGTGTTCAATGTGCAGCGCAGCGTCGAGAGGGTGCGTGTGGGAGCGAGGGTGCGGCAACCTTGGAGATGAATAATGATGGAATGATGGGTGGTCAGCAACTCGGATCGCCCACATGACTCAGGAGGCTGCCCCGAACCGGCGCCAGCGGCCGGGCTGAAGCAGCAGCTGTTGACGACGACCAGTTAGCGGCTGTCTCAGCACAGAGCGAGCAGCAGGCGGCAGGCGGCGGACGGCAGACGGCAGACGGCTTTGGGGTTTCATTTGTCGGCGTGCCCTTCTCGGCGCCAGCTTTCCTCACAAGGCTACTCTGACTTAAGTACTTTACTTAAGCGTGCATTCATCAACACGGCGGTAGAATTCATACCACTCGCTACTCGCCGTCGCCGGCACTTCACTCTGATGAGAATGCCTGCTTGCCTACGGAGTACCTACAGGTACTTAAGTAGGTACTTGAGTACTTAGTAAGCAGGTGCCTGACCTGCCCACCGATCGCGGTTCGGTGCCTGGCCCAGTAGACTGTAGCACCGTACGGAGTACGGAGTACGGAGTAGTTAACTTATTTACTCGGCACCTCCGCACACCTCGCACCTTCCTTTGCCCCGCCAAAGCTGCTCTCCCTCTCCTCAAACACCGCCAGCCTGTCTCGACTCTCGGCACGCAGCTCCCAGTTGGCACACAACACCAATATTTGCTCACCACAGCCCTTAGCATACGTCCCAAGTTTCCGATTGAGCCTCCGCCACTCTCCCCTCGCATGGTCACGGCAACAGACACATCAAGTCCTCTTCCCGCATCGGAGGCCGCATAGCCAGTCCGTCACCCGCCATGGCTGACATCCCCGATGACGCCGAACAACTGTCCCTAACGCAGCAGGAAGCTCTCCAGCAGTACGTCCAGGTCACCAACAAAGAGCCGAAGGAGGCGATTCCTTTGCTGCAAAGGTCACAATGGAACGTTCAGGTAAGCATTCAACCGCTGTAGGCATGCATTCGGTGGAAGCCTTGGACTTTGTTCTCTGTGCCTAACATGCCTCCCCAGATCGCCATTGCCAAGTTCTTTGACGGCGAGGGGCCTGACCCCGTGGCCGAGGCTATGGCCGCCCAGAACGTTCCCCGGATGACAGCAAGGCACGAGAACCTGCAAGAAAGCCTCGTGGCTGGGGCCTTCTCCTCCCCATCGCAGCCAAAACAGCGGACAGACGCCGCGCCGAGAATCGTACCCCAGCCGCCGATGGCACATCGCACACCATGGCTTTTGGGCCTTCTCCTCGCCCCATTCGGCTGGGGATGGCGCGCAGCTTCGACGCTGTTCAGGACGTTTTGGTACATTCTGTCCTTCCTGCCGGCGTCAATCCGCCCCCGTGCAGTGACGAGCCGCATGTCGTCCGGGTTCAAGGACACGAGCGGTCGTCGAATGCTGATGCCACAGGATACGGCCGCACGGTTCAAGCGCGAGTTCGACGAAGAGTATGGGCCTAGCGATCTCCCCTTCTTCGAGGGCGGACTGGCCCAGGCGCATGATCTAGCCAAGAAGGAGCTCAAGTTTCTGCTCGTCCTTCTCTTGTCTCCGGAGCACGATGACACCGCGTCCTTCATTCGCGAAACGCTTCTTGCGCAACAGGTCGTAGACTACATCAAAGACCCCGCAAACAACATCATTCTTTGGGGAGGCAACGTGCTGGACTCGGAAGCATACCAAGTAGCCACCGAGTACACGTGTACCAAGTTCCCCTTCTCGGCACTCGTCTGTCTCACGCCCAAGGAGGGTAGTGCCCGGATGGGAATCGTCAAGCGGCTTGTCGGCCCCATGCCCGCAAGCACCTACCTGTCGGAGCTGCAAAACTCGGTTGAAAAATACGGCGCCGACCTCGACGGCGTCCGGGCAGAGCGCACCGCCCAACAAGTATCCAGGAACCTCCGCACCGAGCAAGACTCGGCGTATGAGCGCTCCCTGGCCATCGACAGAGAACGCGCCCGCCAGCGAAGAGAGGCAGCCGCAGCCGCAGAAGCCGCCGAGTCGCTGGCGCGGGAAGAGGCGCACGAGGCCGCGTTGCTTGAGAGCAAGCGCAGCCAATGGAAGAGGTGGCGCGCGGCCAGGCTGCTCCCCGAACCAGCGGCAGGCGATAGCAAGGTGGTACGCGTGGCCCTCAAGATGCCCCAAGGATCGGGGGCGGGTCGCATTGTCAGGAGATTTGCACAGGACGCGCCGGTGGAGGAGCTGTATGCCTTTGTGGAATGCTACGATAGGCTACGTGCCCGTGAGGAAGGAGCTGACGACGACGCCGTTGCCAACGACGGCCAAGACTGCTCTACGGTGGAGGCGCCCGAGGCGTACGAGCACAAGTACATGTTCAGAATAGCCTCGACGCTGCCGAGGGTGGTCCATGAGCCTAGCACTTCGGCTACGCTGTGGGAGAGGATTGGCAAGTCGGGCAATTTGATAGTCGAGGAGGTGACGGGTGGCGACGACGAGAGCGGCGAGTGAAGCACCGTGGAATGGTTACGTGGCTAATAAAAGATGATGACGTGTGCAGGGGCACACGAGCATAGAGTATGTGTGAACACTCTTCAACTGCGGCAACCACAAGAATCTCAAAATATAGATTGATTCTGTCTACGACTTCCAAGCGTCCCTCCATGGTGAAATAGCCAGCTTGCAACAAGACGCTCATGGCCGTGCATCAGCGGGAAGCTCTTCTCAATCTTTCTTCATCAATTAATTCCCCGATGGGCGGCTATGCGCTCCTCATACAACTTCAAGCCCTCGAAACATTGGTCCAAGCATTGCCGGCAGTGGTCGCACCTCGGCTCGTCATTGCCAACACAAGGGTGACAACTTTTGCGAACGCCGCTGCACGGTCGTACATGTGATTGTGAGTTGCCCGATGCGACCATGATAGTCTTGCCATCCTTGAATTGTGGATGTCGGGGATATATGTATTCGCAATCCAAAGACATGGTGAAGTTGGCGGTGCGAGCAACAATCCTCCCCCCGTTCTTGTCTTTAAAGTACATCGTCGCCATCAGATTTCCCGTCTTTCTTTTTCTTTGAGAGGCGGGTAGGACTTCATCAGTGTGGAAGACGACTTCTCCCTTGCCAGGGGCGACACGTGTCGATGCAATGGGTTTGGAGTGGTAAGCGTCCGCCTCGTGGATCGTGATCAGGACATTTCGGGGGGAACCATCTTCGCCAGTGAAGTAGACTTTGTCGACGGAATAAGCAACCCTCACTTCCTCCCATGTGAGCCTCGTGAGCCACATGCGAGGTAAGTCCCAGCTGGAGCCACGTATTGGCTGCAAGGCGCCGAGTAGAAGCAAGACCGCGGCTTGGAAAAACATCAGGTCCGAAAGGGCAAAGCAGGTTGCTTGCTTGGTGGATCGTCTTTAGTTGGCTGTTGGAAATCTGAGAATTTCTGGTGAGCGGACCAGGAGCGAAGGTGCAGATGTGGTCCTATTTATATTAAGCAGCCCCGGGTTGGCTTGTCAAATATGTGCCAAGGGCTCTCGTCTCACAGTCGTATACTTTGGTAGCTTCTGTTTAGGTAGCCAGCAACCTTCCGTCCTAGGTCTTGTCGCCATGGCCCTTGTATCACGAACATCCGGGTGGGTGAAGGTCCATGGGGGCCTGTCGACATGCAAGGGGGGAGGCAAGAGCATTCATCGATGAGCGGACAATTCTAATGGGCACGTAGCATGAAGTGACTGCCACGACCTGGGCCACAACGCGAGAGCCGCCTTGGCATTCGTGGCCTCTGTGCAGCATGATGAGCTGAGTAACGAGTCATGAGTCATGACGCATGATTGAGTGGCCTCGTCTTGACTTGACGGCTGCACAGACAAGAGTTGATCAGGCAGAGCCCAGCAAGCAGAATGTGACGTTTCACAAGGCACAACTATGCTGAGTTGAGGAGATGTTGCTGTAGTCTATTGCTTATCAGATCTGAAAAGACATTTGAGCCCAGAGTGCCCAAGTACCGGAGCCTAGCTAAGAAAAATTACATGACTTGCTTGCCAAGGAAACTTGGCGCCGTCAAAACCCTTCCATAATCCCAGAGATGCCGAGACTGAGGCTTCCACAGCCCCCAAGGGACTGGAGTATAGTCCTGCTGGGAGGACGGAACATAGCACGGTCAGTATTGTGCATGAGCAACGGCATCCATCACCCCCGCTTCTGCAGGCCGTCGTTGCCAACTCACGAAAGTCTCGCGAGAGCATCTCCCACGATGCCATTGCAGCAGCAGGCTGGGGCTGGGACCTTCACAGCCCCCGTTCCAACTTACAACCAAAAAGTCAGGCGGTGGAGTGTCTTGGGACGTCGTAATTTTCAAAATCAAGCCCCCAGGTGCTCCGTAATTTGCGATATTCCAATCTCATCGTGTAATTTACACTAGGGTTTCAAAAGTACCATGGCCCGCTCGTAATCAGAGAAGTACGACGAGGCCAGCTAGCAAGCGGTCTGGCATTTGCCAAGGGAGCTTCCATTAATCTCCCTTTCTGGTTTAACAGGACCACAGACTTTAATTGCGTGACTATCCAAAAGTCAAATATATTGCATAAACAATTATCATACCTGCATTCTCAGCATAATACGTACATGACCTAACGCCTTGTACACGTGGCTCGAGTAACGCCTGATGCAGCAATGTGCCGCAACAAGGGCTGGCCATTTGGATCAGGCCTTGGAACATACCAGGCTTCTTCGCTCAGATGCCCGGGCCCGCATGCGGCCAATGAAGGCATCGTGATAGCCGCATGCAGCCTTTTGCGCGTTGCAGCAAGTCATGTGGGTTGGGGCTCTGTTGACCGCAAGTTCCGCGCAACACGTGGACTGAGGTCTCAACTTTGCTAGACAAATGGTCCAACCGACGACGTCAAGTCCACTATTCAGTTCCGTTCTATGGCTTTCATTGGCCGTGCCTCAGGTTCAGGCTCAGGGGTGGCAGTTCTTATTCGCCTCCATTATGCATGGTATAATAGCTGCGGTCATATTATATGCGAGCCGGGAGCCACTGACCTGTCCCATCCGGTCGCTCGACCGACGTAGAGCTCGGCTCCTACGTGAAGAAGATGTCTGGACGCTGCTCCATTCCTGATGCGGCTCCGCTGAGCTTGGGGCTTCTATGCCGATTTTGATGCAGCCATGGCGCGTGATGGGAGTGAGCCTGACCCCGTGTCGGCAAGTCTCTTATGGATGGAACTATCCGAGGACGTACAAAAGAGCGGGAGGTTCCGCTCTCCCCTCGAGGCTCTGGGCCGCACAGCAATTCTTGTCCGTATTGGTATTGATACTCAACACTTGTAGACTGGGCATCGCATCCCAAGACGCCGCTGGCTGAGGCACGCACGAGGCCAAACGGGCGGGTTGTTCGTTTAGCCACCGACACTGCGTCTTCTGCCGTGAACACTGTTGCAGAATTCGTTCTTTCCGGGGCGCGTGTCACGTCACCGAATCGGTACTCGCCGAGCACCTTGAATCATTGTCTTGAGCGTCTGGCAAGCTTTCCACCTCGTACTCCTCGTGATGAACACAGATGGGCGTCAAGCCGGAAGTGTGCCCCTTGAGGGCTAGCGAGCTGGCCCGCGTCCCGGCGCTGACGGTTGGACCTACGGCCTCGGGATCGGCGTCTCCGGACGGGTTGCTGGGCCGTCTGAGACCCTCGCCGGCCTGGAGGGCATTGCTCGAGCGGGTCGGGCGGCTGGCGGCCTTGCTGGCCTGGGAGGCCAGACCGGGGATGAACTTGATAAATATTGGCCGCAGAAGGATGAGGGAGCCTGCATGGACTGGTGAGCGGGACGGGAGCGACGTTCGTTTTGCGTTTGAAATACCTATGAAGACGGCCAGATGGAGCTCGACGCCGCCCCAGACCATGCACAGCGCCAGGTCATACGGCAGCTCGTGGGGATCGTAGCGCTGAGACTCGACGATTTGGAAGACGGAGGCAATGCCGACGCTGGGACGCGGAGATGAGCAGGCGGCGAGGTTGCGAGGTTTTGAGGCGAGCGCATTTGTCACACAAGACTTACAGGGATCCGGCGGCGAAGAGGCCGGTGACGGCAATCTTTTGGGCGGTCGGGAGCTTCATCCGCACGACTTCGTAGATGGGCAGAGCCAGGATGATGAAGTCCATGGAGGAGTGGGTGGCATCGGTGCCGAGATAAAAGGCCCGGACGTTGGTGATGCATTTGGGGCTCGGGATGGTCTTGTCCCAGAAGGCCTGCGTCGGCACACAGTGGAATATGGTGAAGAAGGTGCGTATCGCGATCCAGATGCAGCATGCGGTCATGAGCATGACGATGGGAATCCGGATCGAGGAGAATCGGAAGACGCGGCGGTAGAAGCAGAGGACGGCGAGCTTGGCGCAGACGATGGACCAGGAGTACAGGAACTCGCTCGTCCACAGGATCAGCGTCGACTTTTCCGTGATGTACGCGATGGCCTGCTCGCTGTAGGATCCGATGGGCTGGCCGAGCTTGAAGCACGATGCCCCTGCCCTCGTGTCAGCATGACGTGGCCACCGAGCAGATGATGTCCATCCGGGCCAGCTCAAGACGTACACACAACGAGGTCAATCGTGTAGCCGACGGCCAGGATCTGCATCGCAACCAATCCGTCAGTACGGACTGTGCAAGGCGCTTGTCGACAACTGCAAAGCCTCATCTTACCCAGGCCGCGACGGCGAAACAGTCATCACGCCCCATGCCCATCCTCGTCATCCGCCTCGCCTTGAGCCGCAGGGCGAGGGCCACCGTGGACGCCGGCACGGGAACGACGATGGCAGCCCAGACATTGGGAACCAAGCTCGCCATGGTTCAGGTTTGGCCGACGAGCAGGACGGCGGCGCGGAAGGCATCGCGGCTACGGCATGATCTAAATAGCCGCGTTGGCCGAGGAGGCAAAAGAAGCCAAGGCAAGGAAGGACGAGAGACTGGCCGGCGGCTGCCTCGCCTCCCAGCCCGCTGGCGTATTTGCCTTGCCGTGTATCGCCCGCCTCGTCCGCCTCGGCCGCCCCCCATGGTTGGGGCCCTTGATTGGCGTGCTGATGGATGGGAGAAAGGCTGCGGAGTACTCGTACTCCGTACTTGCTGACATGGTCAAACAGTTGGGCCGACGGGGAAGCATGCTGACGACAATGTGATAAAAACCGAGGAAGCGTGGCGTCCAACGGGGCGGGAACGCCGTGATTGATGAATGCTTTTGAGGGTTTGTGGCTTTGGGGACTCTACGGATACAGGTGGCCATGGGCAAGCTCATCTAGGCCAGGAACGCCATGGTGCTTTTGCTTTTTCAAGCCCAAGAATGGGTTTGTCCTCCATATTCAGGAGCGGTGGGATACTGACATCAGACGGAGTAAGGGTAAGGGTAAGGGTAGGGGTTACGTCTACGGGCTGTCAGCAACAGCGGTCATTCAAGTAGCGGGAATGCGCAAAGGAAAGGGGATTTTGGATCAGATTACCGGGAATGGCCTACTAAATGCCTTGCCGTTTCAGTCATGTGTCACTAGAGACGTGAGCGGCGCGCCATCCGATAAACGAGCGCCGGCGCCCGACGGCCTCATGCTGATGGCCAACTCTAATTGACCTGTCAACGGAGGACACCCCAGTCTGCTCCGCAGTTAATGTGTCGTGGCTGTTGAGCCCTGACTAGCTCTTGGCTATTCTTGGAGAGGTGGTGTGTATTGTCCGGCGCTTGACGGGGTTTCTTAGTCCGGCTCTTTCGGGTATTGAGTCCAGCCACATTTTGCACGAACAATAATCACAATGGTGGGGGATGCAGGCAGCGTGTTCCATTGTCAGTCTCCTCAATGCGGTTTTAAATGAACCGCTAGCAGAAAAAGCACAAGAGTTGGGAAGAAAAGCATGGAAAGGAAAGAAAACGTGGGCTCAGGCTGATAATACCAGCTGCCGCCGCAAGGCGACGTGTCATTGGCCGTCAGCGACCAGAGTAATCCCTCAGCCTGTCAGAGGTGGGGGACGGACTTGTTTTCATTTCTCAGTGTAGACTTGCGTTCTGTTGCTTTGACAAGTTCGTCCAGCGAGAACAGGGCTGGGGAACCAGGGCCATCGATTCCACGCGTCGCAGGCTTGTCGTGCAATACAAGACTATGAACTCGCGAACACTGTCGAGACACTCTATACAAATGTACCCATCTTTACCAAGGAAAATGGGAGGACAGCTTTGTTAGCTTGCATTTTTCCAGAAAGGCCCGTCCCTGTCAACGCGCAAAGGTGTCCCAAGTATATAAAACAACGTGACTGATGTAAAGAACTGTCAGGGCACCAAAGCTGACGGTAGTAACTGCCTTAACGAACTGCCCCGAGTCATGTAAGCAGATGCGGACGTGGTCTAGTCCTGTTAGTCCTTTGCTCAATCATTCATAGGTGATGGTCAGGCCAATCCTACACCATCAACAGAAGGCCGAGGATCGCAGTCAGACCATCACATTCTAGCATTTACTTTCTCGGAAGAGAAAATGGTTGCAAAGCTCAGCGGGGCACCTTGTTTGGAAACTCGTCCGCCTTTCAGAAGGTGTTTGTTCCCTGTCCAAGTCTCCGCCGAATCTACAGATTTGCACACGACCAAATGTCAACTGATGTTTATATCCACAATGTCTCCTCAAGAGTCAGAGCTCGACGCCATGAACCTTTCTGCAGTGCCAATCTTCCCAGGTGAAGCGATACTCTCCTTCTCGAATCCCTTTCGTCACCGCTAGAAAGGCCCATTCCACTACAATCGCGGAACTTGGTTCTAATCCATACTACGGGTACGAATCCCGCTATTTTCCAATCAATGACGCCGACGGACTTGTCGGCCAGGTCAATCATGATGTTTGTTGGGCCAAGGTCACAGTGGTGGAATACGAGCTTCGAGCAGTCCATACATTGTCTATGGTTTCGCCGGGAACCCGGCTCAGAACTGTAGTATCGACCATCATGTTCGGCGTGATAGAGAACAGTAGGGGTCGCAAACTCCAAGATCGTCGGTGCATCCACGATGGGGTGACGTGCTCTTTCTTTTTCTCTGCTGAGCCCTCGTCACAATTCGAGTCCAACTTCATTTTTGTAAACAAATGTACAAGCGTAGGCCGTACAACACGTTACTTCGCTATCGTATGTCTTTCAATCAGTATACCTTCATCTTAGACGCAGCACGGGCCGAATTAAACAACACCATGGTATAAACCCTTGGATAGGTGCGCAGCAATGATCCCTAACGGAAACAACGGAGTGAACGTCCTCCAAATCCGTCCAAGTAAATGCAAGTCCCGAACCACAGAGGCCGCTGCCTCGAGTATATCTCGGTCGATAGCCATGGGCATAGTAACGCCATGTCACGAGTATATACTCCACGAAGCGCCCACGCTGGCTTTAGCAGCTGCATCCGCATCCGTCGCATTTGCCCCAGGCGCAAGCCATCGTCGGGTCGCTGCAATGCTCGTCACTCGAGCAACGAATCCAATCCCCGAAGCCCAGATCGTCAGCAGCCCAGCACCAATAGTTCTTGGACGGCGTGTCACAGCTTCTCCAGCAGTAACCGCTCCTGCTGCATCCGCGGGACCTTATCTTCCTGTCCCAGCAGGCGCGCTCAAATAGCTTCTCCCCTTCGTATCCGTAGCCTGGCCCCTCTGGATGGTCAAGGCACTTGCGAACTCTGCTGGGGTCCACGCCCTCGGGGAGCATGGCAGGATCAACCTTCATGACGCCGAGAGAGCCGCATTCCTGCTCAAGGTCCGTTGGCGCAGACCGCGCTCCCTGGGCGTAGACGATGGCGAGAGCCACTGCCTTGAGGAGTCTCATGCTGACCAGAAGTGAGTGACGTTGGCTGGAGGCCCACGGAATAGCAAGTGCAAAAAAGGACAAAAAGGTTGAGGTGGGTGCTTAACCAGGGGAGATACTCGGTAGATTGTGAGGCTCTGTTCGAACCTCCAGCTTCGCGTGGCGTGAAGGAGCATATTTATATCTTATTTCAAGCTTGACGGCTTGAGTTCCGAAAACAGAAGCCCGAGTCAGAGGAAGCTTCATGCATTGGGGACCATGGCCGGCGGAACAAAATTCGAGACAAGTCAAGGGGCTTGGTCAAGGACAAGACTCCTGTCAAAAGAGGAGTACGGCAACCGGTGAAGCAGCCATGGCCACCAAGAAGGCTTTGGACAATCCAATATTACCTGACCGTGCACCACGTCTCTCTCTCCGGCTCTGTTGCATGCAGCTACCACGTAATCAAACTCGCAAGAGCTTGAAAATTTCGATGCAGCGACCTTTTTTTTTTTTTGTGGCTCGTGGCAATTACTCGTGTACGCTAGCTCAAGGTGATAGCTAGCCATGTGTTTGCTCGTTATCCATCCTACATGTTTACAAGTAAATACAAGGTGGTGAGTTGGCCTATTTGCGGCGGTTGAGTTGATCGGTTGGCCACGCGGTCTTTGTTTGTTTGTTACTGCCCGCTCCACTCATCGAATTTCCTATTCTTTTGTTAGTCGGAGAGCAAAACGCTACCTTGCCGTGTACAAATTGCTAGCCGCCTTGAAGTCTGTGATGCGAATGGCGCGTGCGTCGCACACGTGCAGTCTTTGTTCAGCATCGATGGGCGTTGGGCCGCATTAGGAAATGTCGAGACTCGTTTACCCCGACCACTTCGCATCAACACGACGAGGGACAGGCGGTTGTGGCGTGGCGGATTCCCAAGGGCTCGGCATCAGCCTCTCTGGCGATGCTGATGCTCCCTCGTCGGGACCCGGTTAGATACAGTGCTATCTGAGCTGCGTCAAGAATGATTCGTGAGGACTTCGCGGGAGAGAGAACTACGTGCCCATTCCTAACCGTGCGGCCGGGTCTGAATACTCTCCCAGCCCTGAGCATAAACAGTACCTACTGTTGGAAATGATGCTGTCTCGGGCCCACGACAAACAATAGGCCAGCCTGCATGACGGTCGACCCAAGGTGAGACAGACGGTGTGGACCACCTGTCGTCCGATGTTCATCTGTCAAATTCCGTCCAGTCTGTCGGCGCGTATTTACAAATTGATATCCTGTCTTGCCGATTGACTCCTTTCTCCGCCACGTCGGCAATCGCGTAAAAGAGCCCAAAACGGGACTGTCGTCAAGCCTTAACCCCACTCGGCACATCTTTCAGACTGGCATTTCATGGATCACGAGCTCTCGGACTGCGAAATTGCGTCTCATCTTCTGGGATGTGGCCCGTGATACTGTTATGACGTGGTTTGCCGGTGCCCTCGTCCAAAACCATCGCCATTGGGAGCATCCATGATGCCCTGACAACAACTGGAAACAGAAAATGGCACTGTTTCCCCGCCTAAAAGCGGCTCCAAATAAGAAGCCGGGTTGACAAGCATCCCATGTGTAAATGGAGCATCCGTTTTGTGCACGGAGCGAGATAGGGTTGGGGTTGTTTATGGGATATTTCCGCGGAATTTGTAGAGCCCTACCCTAGAGCAACGCAAATAGATTTTGGCATTGTGTAAATGGCGCTTGTCGTGTGTTTGAAATACAACTCTTGATGCAAGTCTGGGCTGGAAGTAGAGATAGCCCAGGAGCATAATTGGACATCCCCGTAGAACAGAGTATCAGCGATCGCTGCTTCGCGCTTCTCTCTGTCCAATGTGCACATTGCGATCTACTGTTGAACGGTCCTTATCAGTCCAGCTATGCAAAGATATACACACATATACATGTCAAAAACATGATGTTGCTTGCTTATTGAACCAGCACTCTTCTCCGTTCCCAGTAGCTCGACTGGGGCGCATTGCTTTGACGTATTGACCCCATCTCAACTGAATTGGCATTCTGCTCAGTCACATCAAGCAACAAAAATAACGTGCAAGGGGCCTGCGCATCGAACTCGACTTCATCCATGGGCACAAACTCCGTGAAAAGTGCTATGAGGAACCATGGTAAATTCTCTACACAAGAATTCTACTCGTGGTATTCAAGTAGACTTCGATTGGACAACCATCAACACGTGCTCGGTCGACATGGGTGACATTTCTCTTCACATTTGCGGACGTCCGATGATTCGTCAAACTTGACCGCTCTCAGTCGCGCCCGAAGCGTTCACAGCTCTAGACCGGGATTCACGCCTGGGCGAGTTGCTGGGAGCTGGCTTGTCGCATCGTGGAATCGACGGCAGTTGTTTTGGACCGGCATACAGTACTACAAGCGGAGTGCGGCCCAATTCGTGCAATGCGAGGGCCGGCCATGATTCTGAATGTTGGTTCCGTACAGCCCACAGATATCAGCCAATCCGGAGTAAAGTAAAGCCAGCAACGCTTCTTTCTGGGGCGACACGTCATTGGGACACCGAAGTGTGAAGGATCGACTCGCCATCAGAGTTGGGCGGCACAAACAAGCATGTCTCGTCGGAGGAAGCGGTGGGAGTGACTTTTCACAGCGATTCGAAATTCTTTTTCTCCCCTGTGCTAGCTGGACCCAATTTACCGCTACGCCGCAATTTTTCGTAATTAGCGCCGGAAAACCATCCTGCAATACCCCCTCGAAACCGTATCTATTGGTCACACTCGGCCAGCCCAAGATGTATGCTGCATGTCGTGAACGGGAAATGAAAAATGCTCGGTACACAAAACATTTATCGGAACTGTTCCACGGGTCAATATTCGCGAGTCCCGTCACCATTCGAGGTTCGTCCGGTGCGAAAAATACCTTCTGGAAACCGATCTGAGCAGCACGTTCACGGAAACACTGACGGCAGAGGTTCAGTCCGTACTTGCGGATCAAACCGGCCTGGTGGGCGCAGACACGGCTAAACACCATCTTTTGTGAGCATATTTGACTTATCGCCGAGGGGCAAATGACCAACCATTGGCGGGAGCCCTTGCCGAACTCGCGGGGGCGGCTGTACCAAACAGACTCGTGCGACATGATGGCGGTTTAAAGGGTGTATCGTTTGCTGTCGCAAGTTGCCGATGACTTTGCTGGACGTGAGGTCGAGGTCACGATCGGTTGGCGTGGTGTGCTGGATGGCGAACGAGAAAAGATGCACGTAAATGTCGGATCTGTTGGAGCGCCCCACAGTGCCCCCGGTTGTGATTGCCCTAGCCCTAGACTTCCGGATAAAAGGTTTTTCCAGCGTGTTCTGTATTCGAGCGCACTTTTGTGCGCCGAATCGATGCATTTGAGGCTGTGGGGCAGAATAACCCACTTGCCGACGGTCACGGGCTGCTGCGACTTCATTTTCCCTCGAGTTACGCCAAATGGTCGGCCAGACGAATTGACGCGAGCGACGAAATTCTGCTTGGATGCAGAACGAGTCCATTCTGACCGGAGCCCAGCCGACAAACATTCTCCTCTATACCAGCTTACAGAAACATTCTCAATCGCTTTGACCATCAACTAAAGGGAAATACAGCCTCGACGAGGCTGTGAACTCCCCCCCATCTCCGACAAGTTGGCGCGACAGTTCAGGCTGCCACAAAAACCAAAAGTGCATTCTTACTATAGGCTGGCTGGCGGGAGATACTCGGCGCGAACCGCTTATTGCTGGATCCTTTGAATCTATGGCCCAATGAGCCAACACCCTGCTGGCGACCATGTTGAACCCTAGACGACCCACGGACTGAGTCCTTCCATGTGCCTGTGCTGAGGAATCGCCGAATAGGTGGACTTGAGAGTCAGCCGAGGCTTTTGAAGTGCTCGCAATCATGTAGAATGTTTCATTTTGTTTTGCAGGCCATATGCAATCTGGTCCAATGCCTGCCTTGGGGAAGTCAGTTGTTGCACAAGCATTCAACAATTACCACCCTACGGGCCGCAGGACACTTCCGCGACAAAAGTTTTCTCAAAGAAGCTTGCACGCAAGAAGCTTCGTCATACCAAGGAGTCAAAACTTGGTCCTGAAGCTACCTAGCGAGCTGACCTAGCGTTGTAGACTCCGGTTGTCTCCAAACGGATGTGATACCGTTGCGAACGGCTTCTCCCGGAGGTATAGCTTCATCGTGCATAGCGGAGAGCGGTAGCTGTGCTTGATGCCATAATTCACCGTCGTGCGTTTGTATGACCCCGGCTTGACACCCTAATCTGCCAAATATTGATTCAAGGCCGGGTCAGACTGGTCCCTCGCCGGGTCGACCTTCGATCAAGCGCTTATGGGAACACCGACACTGGTGACATGATAATGACCCGTATTGTCAAATAAGTGGCAGTTTCATCAGTGCTGTCCAAGTGGCTTTCGATCGACTCTGCCTCCAATGACACGTCTCAGCCCACAGTTTCAGCACCGCAGCGGCCAGGCCTCTACGGCCGGGGAATCGGTCGCTCAATCGTAAGGAGCAGACGCCTCTACTCAGGCCTGAGACCTCCTAGCCCGTCGACGTTGGAAGAAGTCAAGTGAAACATGTTCCCGAGCCAATGGTTCAAGAGCAGATTCAATGGCGGAGTTCCAGCAGGATTGCATTGCGGCAAAGGCTGCGTCCCAAAGCGAGATGGTGGCTGTCGACAGGCTTGAAGATTGGCTTGCGAAACTAGATGCGGCCCGGCGTTCAAAGTTGATTTGCACCTGTAGGCTTTCAACGATTATATAGTTACCGAATTTCGATGCCGGCGCCGGCTTCTCGAGAGGATTCCCAGACAGGAGCCGTTCGAGGCAGTGTGCGAACAGGGGCGGCGATGATGCCCTTTCTGCAGCCGACGCCGTTGAGTTGAGGGCTTTGAACTCTACCCCCGAGCACAGAAGTGGCAGGTTCATCTCTGGGAAGGTGATTTGAGGAGGCACACTGAAGCAGATCGTGTGAACGTTCAGGACGAAGTGGGCAGAAAGTATGGCTCGGTGCCGCTCTTTCTCACGAGCCTAGTTCGTCCAGTTGTCGTTATTGTCTGTCCAAGGCAGAGAAACCGAGCTTTCACGAGTGAGTGCGGCAAGCTGGCTACTCATTCACGTACGGTAGGTTTTGTGCCGGCTTATATCATCGCTTTGGAACTGGTCCCTGTGGACAGAACTGATGCTTCATGCTCAGGAGAGTAGCAGATAGATGATGTATGTTCCTGACTTGTATAAGAGGCCAGCTGTCCATTGCCATGTGCATCTGAGTACGATTTGAGCACTGCGAGAGTCGTGACGAGGACGATTGAGCAAGTCTCTACAGACATGCGGTAACAAATAAGCGCAATAGTCGTTGACACAAGTGTAAACTACCTTGCAGAAATGGCCTACTGCCTTGAGTACATGCGCGCCCACAAGAACACGCAAACGACACGCAAAGGACGTTGTCGAGTGTTACAAGTCAGCACAACAATGTAGGAACCAATGGCACCAAGTCAATGCATACGGGTGCGCAGATGCCGGACCAAGTGTTCTTTCCGCTTGAAATTCGCATTGCAGAACTTGCAGGGAGCGACTTGGAGCTGCGGCCGACCGCTCATGCTGCAAGAGTGAAGTCGAATTGGTGTCCTGGACCCTGTAGGGGAGCCAACTGGTCATGGTGAGATTGCGTCACACTGTAATTTTCAGGCAGGCAGAACATGAAAAGCAAAAAAACGAGACAACAGGGACGCCCAAACCCGTAGTATGCGCAGAGGAGATGTGCACAACTAACGACTACTTGCGTGGCCAGCCATGATGAGGAAGAGGTTTTACTGTCTGTATCCTGCAAACTGCCGCCGATGTGGCGCCTCTCTAAGCAACCTGGCTCAATCAAGTCTCTTTTCTACAGATCTTTGAACTGTAATTGTTCCAGTACTCGAGCGTTGGTCATTGGTCAAGATAGTAGTGAAACGAGTGCATGACGAGAGAGGAGAGAACAAGCGTTGACGTTGACATTGACATTGACGTCAGGGGCTCCACGTGGCGCAGTGTGGGGGTGGGAGGCGGGGATGGGCCCTGACTGAGGAAGGGGGGGCGTGCTTGAAGACCACGTGTGCGGCATCTAGCTTAGGGTTAGGGTTAGGGCCACGGACACTGGAGCGGAGAAAGATACAACTTGCGACGTGATGCCCTTATTTCCATACCTCTGCTATGTCCAACGTCATCATATTCATTCTGGCCTTTTGGCTCGCAAGATCACGGACCCAGGCCTTACAATTCTTCCCGGCGGCTGGCTTATCTTGGTCACCACGGCGCCTGCCTGCTCGTCGCTCACAACCACGTTGATTTCCATCTTCATGGCTTCGAGAATAGCCACAGTCTGCCCCTTCTCTAGAATATCACCCTGCTTGACTAGGACTTTCCATACGTTTGCATCGACTGGGGATTCAACGCAGACGGCCTGGCCAGAATCGACTTGGTCATCTTCAGATGCCGCACCATCTTGACCTGCCCCCTTGGTCATTGTCCACTCCTCGAAAAGCTTCTGTTCCAGCTCTCCCATCTCCTGCGATGCCGCGTCTCGACGTTGTGTCCAGCTTTGAAACTCGGGATTCTCGGCGGCCTCTTCAAATTTCGCAATGTATGTATCCATCTCGATGGTCGTCTCGGTGATGTCAAAGGTATAGCAGCCAGCCTCAAAAGCCTGCTCTGTCTTGGCATACTTATCCTGCGACACCTCATAAAATGTGACCAGATCGAAGTGATTGAAAAGCCAGGGCCGCGATGGCGAGAACCCAGGACGATTTCCCGCTGCGTCCCAGCCGCCCAACGTCCGACCTATTAGTTGGTACCCTCCTGGGGCAGCCACAGGATAGATCGCTACCAGAGAGCCACCAAGTCCAACCGAGCCTTGCGGTGTGTACACCCGGCTCGGGTTGTACTTTTGGCCTCTCAAGACGCGCCAGGGATCAAGAGGAAACATGACGGGGGTTCCGACGTAGAAGCCAACAGCCACGGTGAGCCATGGCGCCTTGAGTATCGCGTCATAGACATGTCCTCGAGTGGCCAGAGCGTTGTTCTTGCGGAGATACTCTACATTGTCTGGCATGTATGCTGCTGAGGGTCTAATACTCTCCATGTATCGCTTAGCAGACTCCCCGAGCGATGGGTGGTCAAAGCATACTGGAAGACGCACTTGTCGAGCGGGTATCTTGATGCCTGTGGCTTCTCCGATTTGGCTGTCGAGCTGCACAAGGTGTTCTAGAAGCTTTGACCGCTCCGTGAGGGACGGATCGAACCGTACGGTCAGTGTGGCGAAACAGGGCTCGCCCCGTACGCTACTCAGGTCTGCGGCGGACAGCCCTTTCGCGAGAAGCTGCACGCAAGCTGTGTTCCTAAGGTCCGGAAGCTGATCGCCATATTCGACAATGATGCTGGTGTCGCCCCCTTGGCGAAATCTGACGCGAGGATGACTTCCTGAAGATGGGATGTGGTGGAGGATAGAACACCGAGGTTCGTCTCTGAGCTCAACGTCCAGCGAGGGTATTGGAAAGCCACTTCCTCGTGTGTACCGGACGACAGCTTCGAGGTACTCGTCCTTCTTTCGCGCGAGCTCCAGCGCAGCCTCAAAAGACACGGGACGAAGTTGTACCTTGTCTCCGGCCTTGAGTTGGCCGACTTTCCACATCTCGGCGGAACAAACTGTGGCTGGGCAGACGAATCCGCCTAGATCCGGGCGGTCATGCGCGAAAATGATGGGTGACTCGCCGGTGAAGTTGACTCCGCCGTTGGGATATCCGTACTCGAACACGTTGGACGGGTGAGATCCCCCACCGCCGCCCGAGGCCCGAGCCCACTTCAACCGTGGCCCTTCCAGACGTATACCGCTTCGGCTGCTGCTGTGGCTGACTGCCCATCTAGTTTCATATAGAGTCTTGCTTCCTTCAGCAGTTAGGATATCGTCGGAACCAAACGGCCCGTCCATACAGAATAGGCTCGTAACTGCAAAGTCTGGTACGGCCCTCGACGGCAGCGACAAGGGAGTGGCCGCTGCCGCCCAAATCTTAGACTCGGCGGTGAGAGCAAGAATGTCGTGGGCCTGTAGTTTTCTGCCTTGGACACCGCCGAAGCCAAGCTCAGGGGCGGTGGACTTGGAGCCAAGGAATCTAGGAATCTGGGGAAACCCGCCCCTGACAGCAAGATAGGCCCGGGTGCCTTTTCCGGAGACTTTTCCCAACTTGAGTATCTGACCCTTGTTGACAACGAACCTGGACCACATGGGTCGAGGGCCATTGTTGACGGTGACAGGCAGCTCGGCGCCACAAACCGCAACGACGGCTGCCTCATGAAAAAGCAATTCTGGCCCGGCCAGCGTCACTTCCAAAATCTCAACGCCAAAATCGTTCCCTACTAGGCTGTTCGCCACTCGACCACTGAGATTGTCCATAGGACCGCCCGGAGGCACTCCATGTCCCACGTCAACGCGGCCCGGGTAGTCTTGGATGGTTGTGAACACGCCAGGACGCAAGACCTGAACGGAGCAGCTTTCAAACTTGAGGGTCGCAAGAGAATTTGTCAAGGTATTCCCGGTGAGGAAGATGTCTGAATCGACGATTCTGGCTAGATATTCCAAGTTGGACTGGGTTCCCTGAAGAGTGGTATCGGCAAGCGTCGCGGCCAGTTTCGATAGAGCGGCAGCCCGGCCATGACGACTGTGGACCATGATCTTACCGATCAAAGGATCGTAAAGAGGCGTGATCCGCTGGCCGCTTCGAACCCATGTGTCGACTCGGACACCGTCGCCCTCAGGCCAGTGGACGAGCTGCAAGACACCAGGGCTGGGAGCAAAGTCGCGCAGCGGCACTTCGGCATAGACTCGGGCCTCGATAGCCGATCCCAGGGGTGGACGTCTCCCAAGGCCCATGAGAATGTCCGAAGGCAGCCCCGGCTGGCCTCCCCGCTCGTAGTCGGCCTGCTGCAGCATCAGATGGACGAGGTCGACTCCGTAGCACAGCTCGGTGATGCCGTGTTCGACCTGCAGCCTCGTGTTCATTTCGAGAAAGAAGAAACCGGCCGTGTCGTCGTCGACGAGGAACTCGACAGTGCCCACGCTTTTGTACTTGAGCTGCGACGCATAAGTGGTGGCGGCCTGGAGCATCCTCTCGCGGAGGCCGGGATGCCTCTCAACAAAGGGGCTGGGACATTCTTCAATCACCTTCTGGTGTCGCCGCTGTAGCGAGCACTCGCGCTCTCCCAACGCCACGACGACCTCCCCGTTGCCTGCCACCTGGACCTCGACGTGGCGCGAGTTCGGGTAGTGCTTCTCCAAGAAGACGCCGCCGTTTTTGAAGAGCGTGATCGCGCGGCTCTGAACCATGGCAAAGCCCTTGTCGACTTCGTGCTCGGTATGGCAAGCGTGCAATCCCATGCCGCCGCCCCCGCCGGTTGCCTTGAGCATCACTGGAAAACCCAAGCTCCTCGCAGCCTCGACGGCCTCTGCGGCAGACGCCAGAAGCGGAGTGCCCGGGATGACGGGGACGCCTGCGGCCTCAGAAATGGCTCTGGCTTCGTGCTTGAGGCCCATGGCCTTGATGGACGCCGATGAGGGACCGACAAAGACGAGGCCGGCCGCTGAAACGGCACTGGCGAAGTCGGCATTTTCGCTCAGGAAGCCGTATCCGGGCAAGACGGCATCCGCACCGGCTTTTTTGCAAATCTCCAAAATAGCCTTGCTGGGCGGTACTCAGTCATGTGATTTTCTTTGCCGATACGTGGAGTGTGATGGAACTGGTGTGCGAGAGCTTACCCGTCTGTGTAGGCAGTGCCGTCGTCTCCCGGCAGCAACACGGCCTGATCGGCCAACGTGACATGTAGAGAGGTTGCGTCAGAATTTGTGAATATGGCGATGCTGTGGACACGCAGTTCCCTGCAGGCCTTGATGCATCGCACGGCAATCTCGCCCCTGTTGGCTATCAGGACTTTGCGGATGTTGCGCAGCGAAGTCGACTCGATGCTTCCCATGGCGACGGATACTAGAATACGGGAGAGAAGGAGGGAAGGAGCTGCGTATCGAGACGAGAATTAGCACTTGGCACGAGCAAGGAAGTCCTAGTTCTATGACATAAAAGGCATGGTATTCGACCACGTAGCCTACCCCTAGGGAGTCATCAATCAGGTGAGATTCAAAGAACATCCTGCAACATCGCGGGGTTGCTCGACACTCAATACTACTGAGGGGTAGAAAGTATCACGTTGATCCACCGGGTCTACGACCTTGAAGATTGCAAGAGAGGCCTGTGGACAATCTGGTGTAACACGGCATTGAGCTAACCTTGAGCCGTCCCAGGCAATACTGCCGCAGGGTCGCAAGTCAGAGGCGATGATCTCAACATATTCGATGCCGTGCTATTTCCCCGCCTGTCCGCAAGGCTGCGTTACGTCAGGCATATCTGCGTATTTGGCCCGGTACAGACGCTGTCGGTTGATGAAGACGGATGCCCCTGGCCTGCGGGCCAACAAAAGACGTCACACCGTCACACGAGGGCTGGAATCACGAGACGTGCGGCATGATTCAGCGTAGTATGAATAGACATGGTTCGGTCATGTAGGCCTCGGGGGAAATCAAGGGCATTTAATACCCAGGATTGTTATTATAGCTCAAACGGGCTATAGCTGCAAGCTCCGTTGCCACGGCCCTTAGCACAAAGGAAGCTTCACATATCTCGTTGTGTATGTGAATACGACCACAACACTTCTCATTCCGGGCGATGGCTGAAGGCATGGAAAGTTTGCATCAGCGCACGTGCTGTTTTCCAATCTCATACCGACCGTCTCATGTAGCGGTTGGGGGCTAATTCAGTCCCACAGAAAACTTGACTTTGTTCACTTCATCAACGGCCCTGCGCACCATCCTGGCGTTCTGTAACACGGTTGGTGCGTCAGAGTGTAGGCAGATGCTAAAGGGCTTGCCTTGAAACCCGAATGTGAACTGCGTCCCATCAATGTCCCTGCCAGTGTCGGCCGTGGTCGCAGCGACAACGCGCCCGTAACATAACTCCGGCGTGACGGGGTGAGACTGCGACACGGGAACAAGCCTTCCCTCTGGCGAATAGTCAATGTCGACATATAGCTCGCCCTGAAAGGCGATGCCCATCTCGGCACACATGGCCTCTTGTTCTGGGTTTTGGCAGGCATAGACGGGGACCCGGAACGGAGCGCAGGCTTCCAAAACCGCCCTCATTATCTCCCGGTCTCTCTGCATGTAAAAGAACAATTCGCCGTGCGGCTTGACGTGCGACAGTTCGAGGCCCTCTGCGTCCAGCATGGCCTTGAGAGCGCCGACCTGGTAGAGAACCATGGCACACATGTCTCCGGGGTCGACTTCAATCTTCCTCCGACCGAAGCCGAAGAGATCTTGCAGCCCGGGGTGCGCGCCCACCCTGACGTTGTGTTTTTTGCAGAGGCGGACCGTCTTGAGCATGATGGACGGGTCGCCGGCGTGAAATCCGCAGGCGACGTTTGCGGCGTCAATGAGCGGTATCAGCTCCTCGTCGGGGCCCTGGATGTTCGTGTCAGTCAAGAGAGGCTCGGGGCGGCGCTGGGCTGTGCAGAGCTCACCATCCTCCACCGCCCGAAGCCCTCCCCTATGTCGGCATTTATTTCATATTTTTGGGCCAACCCCGACGCCATAGTGCTGGTGGGAAGGATGATACGAATCAAACGGAGCGCAACAGTGCGGTATTGGCCGGGCTTGGCGCTTGACGTCACCGTGAAGACGCCGAATTTATCATGAATTGAATTGCTGGGAGAGTTGTTTTGATCGCATGCCACGTTTGTCACGACCGGTCAGACTGACGACGTGGAGGAGCGTGCTGTGGTACAGAGTTGGGGAAGGAAAGGAAAGAGACGGAAAGGACATTGGCGCATCGGGGAAAACTGTGGAACAATGCGACATTGGGGCGACATTTATGCAATAGGAAACTGTTTTGGGTAGAGAATGACGTCCACAAAGAGTTGCAGATCCTGTGTCTTGCGCGATGTTACGTGGTCAGGATAAGGCCTCACTCTGAAATCTCGGGAGTCAAAAGAGAAGCTGGGCCGACTGAAAAGCCAAGGCTCCGGGGCGGGTGCAACAAGGGCTTGATCACGATGATTAGGGCTTGCAGCAAAAGACTCGATTCCCATGTATCGCCAAGGCTGATTTTGTCGTATCAAGCCCCCGCCCTCCCTTTTTTTTCCCCTTTGGCGTAGTACCAAGTAATTTGGCACAACTCTCCTTTGGCCGCTTCTAATTGCAGCTGGGAGGCGTGGCAAAGCTCCTTTCGATCCTTTAAAATGATAATCTGACTCGGCGCGCACATACCCTGAGTCGTCAATATGACATGACGTCAATGCCTGTTTGCCGCAACGGGCGGAGGAGGCCGACGTGGCCCGGCTTTTACTCCCGGCCTCGGCCCCGGTCTGCCGGCTGGGACCCACTCGCTTTCCGGAGCCCAACTACTATTTGCCGTCTACAGCCGACTAACCTTGTCACCGGCATCGGCCGGCTTTCGGCCCGATAGAACCTCGGAGACTGCCGCCATGCCTGCTCCCATTGGGATTGAGGGCTGCATGTGGTGGGCAGCGTAATCCGCAAGTGTGTTAAGTTTGCAAGCTTTGAATTGGTTCGCCGCCATGAGCTTCGAGTCCTCCAACAATAAGCCCTCGAGTTGGCGTTGACCTGACTTCAATGCCAGCCGGGCGCGCCGCGCGTCGCCGTTGAGGGCATCACGCAGCCTTGCTGGCTCCAAGACGGTCCGATGCAGCCTGGTCATGGCCGAAATATCGTTCGGTCCAACGGCGGCAGCCACGGCGTAATGCTTCGCATCCACGCATTGGCCGGGACATCGATAAGGCCTAGTCTTGTGGTCGTAGCCCTGGTGAAAGTGTCACGGTGTGACACTTGCTCCATTTTCTCAGAGAACATTGTAGTTCAAGGGACCATCCACCACTGTCAAGCTGAATATCTTGGCGCTTTGAATGCCGCCGCATCATCCGGATCCTTTTTCATGGCTAGTTCCTCGGCTTGGCTTCTCGACTGCAGGCGTCAATATTAAGCCATGCATCCATCTCGTGGCTTTAAGGAAACAGAGTGGCGTGTGAGTTGATTTCTAAGCCGCATTGCCATTAGGCGACTTGTCTGAGAGCATTAGCACGCCAGTCTTTCAGCCACCGGCCAAGACTTGGACCAAGGGCTACATACAAGGAGACGGCTCGGCGTGTAACCTGACCTGAATGACTGAGGATCAAGCTGAGGCCTCGTGTCTCTGTGCTTCGCTGCCGACAAGTCGGCTTCCATGGGAGGAGCCTGTAGAGGCTTCTGCGAACAACGCGGTTTCTTGGCATTAGAGGTGGCTGACGGGTTTCTTTCGCAAGTTGGTTCCAGTTTTTCCCTTTTTGGGGTTTCAAAATCTTTGCTGGTGCAATTTTTCATTCAAGCCATCAAAGAAACAGCACTTCGTCAAGTGATGGTTGCACAGAAGCAGCCCAGTCCTCAAGTCTACTAGAACAAAAATACTTTGACCAAGGTAATTAGCCTTGATATTGTTAAAGGTTTGTATGTTTAACAACTGTAAAAATCGAATCGCGAAAAAATTAAAATAGGTCTTGGGAGCCGTCACACGGACATGACACAAGGGCCAAGGTGGCGAGACGTCGGGCACAAGACTCGCCGCGTAAATACGGGTCGTTGAAAACCAAGGACCTTGATCGAGATGTTATAGTATATTTGGACCCAGGTACTACTCCAACCCCTGTCATCACTCACAGCTCTTGTCACTTGCCATACATGCCAATACGTACATTTTAACTTGTGAAATGGCAGAAATGCTCATATAAACCCCCCATCTGTAGTGTATTCTTTCCACCCTATATACATCTACATGTTGTTGTTGTCCCATATTCCGTAACCCATCTGCTCAAAACTCGGACTCTGTCTTCTACAGAACGGACGGACCGCTAAAACATGCCTGTCGAAACTCGCTCGTGATTATTATTCATCCTGCTGCCCATTTCGCCCGCCACTATCTGGATGATGAGAGCCCTGCGCTTGCGGCTCTGTACCGGAGCCGCGGCCACAGGCAGCATTCTTTTTCGGCCCTTGGCTCTAATGCGGAGAGGGTGCCATTGCCACGGCAGCCTCCTCTGGCGACGAGGTAATGATTCTGCGGCGCCGGGAGCGGCGTTTACAACGCTTGATTCCGCGGCCGTTGGTGTGTGTCAAAATCAGAATCACGGCCCAGACGAATGTGAGGGCCGGCATGACCCACGGCGACGACAGGAAAGCCTCGAGTCCGTTCTCGTTGTACCACAAGGTGGCGACCAGGCCGGTGCCCAGACCCAAGAGGAGAATAATGGCAAGGCGTGCGAGCGGCCACGGCGTAGACGGGGTGTTCCGCACGATGATGCTGAGAGCAACCATGAGGACGATTGTACATCCACCGGCTATGTAACCGTACGCAAACTGTCAGACGGAGGAACCGGTAAGCAACGAGCCAAGTCTTTGAGCTCACGATTCACTTGTGAAGGGGGAGAAGGCTCATGTCGCGTACCACCAGCCTATACCGGTTCATCGTCTTGTCCTGTACCAGCATCTGGTATCCGCCGTCCTTGACCTCGTCGGCGGCTTCGGGGTTCTTCTTGGAGACATCATTCTCCGAGTCAATGCCAAATGCCCCAAACAGAGCGTTGCTCATGGAGTAGAGCAAGGCAAGAAAAGTGCTGCCGAGTGTCGCCAAGTCTTGTGCGTGTCCCGGCGGCGCGAGGCTCCAGTTGGCCGGCACGGAGCCGTTTTCGACCAAAGGCCAGAAACTGTCGGATATCGTTGTGATGTTGTTCAAGGCATAGTTGACGGTTTCAAATGTGCTAGAAATCTTGGGCGGGTAATCTTGGAAGAAAGCCCGAACTGAGGCGTTCAAGGAATCTCGGACCCCTGCGCTGGTCAGCATGCGAGCGTCGTCGTTTGGATCGGCAATGTCGACCAACCGCTTTTCCTGGTTTATAATCTTGGACCATAGGAGATACTGTGTGAAGGCTTGCATGAACAAGACCAGCGCGAGGTGGAAGGGCAAGTGCAAGCACGTCCAGAGCTGCTGGCGGAGGCGGGGAAGATGGAACGACGACCTCAACCAGTCAAAATACACCAGCAGCACCAAGTAAATGGTCGTGGCACCAGCCGTCACGAGACCAACCGTCGTGGAATCTGAGAGAAGAGTCGTGAGAACGAGGCCGCACGGGTCTTGGTTCCCAGGAGACTGTTGGACGTACCCCATGCATCTGGATTCCTCACAATGGTCACGACTTCCTTGGCGAGCTGTTCGATGCCTTCGCCCATGATCATGACGGTCAGGAGTGTCAGTCGCTTCATGATATGCGTCTTGGTGAGGCTGACGGCGGAAGAGAGATTGGACAGCAAAATGCTGACGAGGGCTTCGGCACCGGCGATAAAGTACCACGTCCTGTACACCCTGCTCTGCTTCTCCCTTGTAAAGCGAAAAGTGATGCCGAGATAGACGGCCGAGGCCGCGGCATGGAGCGCAATTTGCAGGCACAGCGGCGTACGGGCCTTTTTGTATCTTCGCACATGCCACAGCGTCGACGCGTACTCGATGGCTAGGCATGTCCGCGAGATGCAGAGAATGAGAGCTGCGGCGGCAGGTTAGCCCGGAGCCAGGGCATGTCGGCGAACGGATTCGACTTACACATGGCTCGCATCGTGTTGAGATCTTGGTCGTTGGGGTTGAATTTTGGCGCCACAACCACGAAGCCGACCAGGACGCCGAGTTGAATGGCCCTCGTTGCGCGAGCTGGCGTATCGGCTTTGATCAGAAACGTGGACGCTTGACAAAGGTCTGCAAATCAGTGCAACTGGACGGGAACTCGAGGCCTACCAAAAATGCTATCCGTGGCGTAGCGGACGTCGTACAGCGCAACTTGGAACCAGGTCAGCCACAACAAGCTGCCGTCGTGGACATGGTTAGCGGTTTCTTTGTTCTTTTGATTTCCTTCCATTTTTTTTTTCATTTTTTTCCTCTTCCCTTTTTTGACTTGCTTTGCATGACGGTGGACTGCAGGCTTGGGACACACGAACCAGAAATATCCAATCGAGACTTTGAATTTGGCGTCGTCGGTGACTTTTTGGGTATCGGAAAAGACATTATAGCTGGCCGAGAAGAAGAGATCGTAGAATATTTCGAGGAGCGTTGGCTCTTGATGCTGTCGATGTCAACTGGAGTAAGCAAGGATGCCGGCGTCCCATGAGTCTGTCTGGACTCTGGCGAGGGGGGGAGGCAACACACTCGTTGGAACTGCGGCAGGCTGTCGTCCCATGGCCGTGCTGGTCCTCGTCGTCGTCGTCGGACTCACTGTGGCCATCCTCGAAGGGACGCCAGCTGGGCGAGCCAGTTTGGCCGCGGCGACCAAGTCTGTCTGCCCGGCGGACAAGCGGGCTGCCGAGGATGCGCAGCTTCTCGTGCCGCTGTTGACCATGGTCATGGCCGTCGCCCTCCAACATGATGTCGGCTGCACTGCGCCCGTGCATCTTGTATCCTATGCATGCATCGGCCGAGTCAATCGACAAAGAACGGCAATCGGGAGCGCTTCCTCCAACCGCGACCGAGACGACGAGGCAGCATGAAGCAGACGTGTGACCATCTGGCGTAGCCGTGACAACAGCTCAGACGAGTTGGAATGGGCAAATGGGCCTCAATGCCCAGATTTGGCTTCATGTCGGCCAGATGGATGGGCCTCATGGGCGGTTTGAGTTTGCAGCCAGACTCTGGAATCCGGCATCTGGAGTCTGGAGTCTGAAGTCTGGACAAGGGAAGGGGCGATGCCGGATATCGAATGGTCAAATGGGACGCCGTCGACGAACGACCTTGTCTCGGCGTTTCTGCAACGTCGGAGACGGAGACTGGACTGAGACTCTGCGGGTACGGCCACGCCTACGGCCATGACCAGATCCAGTCGTAAGACGGAGGAGCATGTCCCATCACGGCTCTCCTTTCTCCTTTGCTCATGGCGTGCGTTTAGACGACAAGTCCGGTGCGCTCGAGGCTTGCACCACCAACTACCAACGCTGTTGGTCCAGACCCCCAACAATGGAACAATATCGGATATAAACTACCAAAATATGATGTATACAGTGTCTAACTAGCAAGCACATGGGCATCCCGCCCAGCCCGTCAGAATCACGCCAAACTCCTCTGCACCCAACAACGCGACCCCAGACGCTGAGAAACAAGCCTTCGCAGCATTTGCACAACCAACCACCGCCCAAGGCATACGTCGGGTAATACATCTAGACACTCCCTTGAGGAGAATTACTTATCGTCGGGCAGTTCGTAGCGCTTCCTCAGTTCGTCGAGAAGGGGTCCCAGCGGATAGTCACTGTGCACGCTGTCGTGATTGCAGCATGGGGAGTGTCTGATGGGCAGGAACCACTCCGAGGGTTTGTTGCCCATTACGGACTTCCAGTTTTCCCAGAACCCGAGATGCCATGGATTTTCGTACGGTTCTGTCTTCAAAATGGCGAACGTGCGGAATGCGTCTTGGTCGCGCGCGGAAGCCGAGGCCGAAGCGTAGTCTGCTTGGACGGGCATGGTTGCGCCCGCTGCGGTCGGCAGCAATGGGTAGGTTATGGTCTGGTATTTCGGCGACGGCGGTGTCCCTCGTGGGATTCGAACGGCCAGGTTGAACGTCTGCCTCCTTCGCAGCATGTCAATGTTGGTGATGTTGGTCAAGATGTAGTGTCCGGCTGTGAGCGTCATGCCGAAAGAGAAGAGGCCGAAGATGGAGGATATGGCAATGATGGCGATGACCCAGCCGTCGACGACGATGTTACCAGAGTCGAGGTTCTTGACGAGGCAATACACGGAGATGGCACCGCACAGAGCGCAGAGACAGGCGGTGTAAAAGGTAAACTGAGTAAAAAAATTAAAGGCTGGGGACGCCGAGTTAGCCACGTCTCCTCGCGGCGCTGCATGTCTGACGAGGACCGCGCAAAACCTACAGGTTTCTGACACCATGCCGCCTACCCAGGGACAGAGATGATCCATCTTCCTCACACACCGGCCCAGTTCGCGAGAATGGTGTGCGCGGTCGGGCTTCCACTGCCGGCATTCCGAGCACCACTTGGGCCGACCGTCGGCCTCGCACGCAAACACGTCTTTGCTGTAAAAGGCTTCCAACCCGGGGCTGTCGGGACTCGAGTCGGGCGGGGCCCAAGGGGGTTCCTCGGCATCCCTGGCATGCCTCAATCGAGAATGGCGACGCTTCTCGCCAGGTTCGTCGCGGTCGGCACCATTCGCGAGGGGGACAAGGCCCGGGTCTAGCTGGACGGCGAAGAAGACTCGGGCGTACGAGACGAGGGTGAGTATGTACAGCGGAAAGAACAGCACCAAGAGACCGGCAGCAAGACCGGTTTTGCCTTGGGCGCGTAATATATTTTCCACTGGCACAGGTTCAAGTCAGTTTACCACTGAGTGTGCCGACGGCCGTCAGACCTGGAAGAGAGACATGGGCATGGACGCTCACCGCAGAGTCGACCGACGACGGCATACGCCGCGACACCAAAGACGCCGACTATCAGTACGGGGATGATGCGGAAATTCCAACGCTTGATGGCGCGAGTATCAGGCATTTCACGCGCTACAGCGGCATGGCGACCCGCGAGATGTGGACGCGCGAAGGAAACTGAAGCTGCGAGATGGGATGGGAGAGTCAATTGACGATGATGTAAGGCGGCACCCGGAGGCTGGCACGTTGGCTTGTTTGTGGCGGTGCACTGCAGGAGCTAGCTGCACAGCCCCACTCCCAAAGGCATCTCAAAATTGCACGTTCGGCCCCGAGCGACTTCAGCGCCCGTCCTCGGCTTCGATTGTTTCCTTTGTCATCTCCGTCGGGATTGGCCGTCAACCCAGGACCAGGTCGTGGGTTGCGACTACACCAGAGCTCTTGTCATTCCCTCGTCTCGTGTTCTTCCCAGCCTCGGCTTCATAAATGACAGTCTGGGTGCAGAGCATCGGAAGTGGCCGACAATCAATCGCCTCAAGCCCCAAAGAAACACAAACCCATCAACCATGAGCCGTCACCGACTACCCTGGTCCTCAACATCCGTGTCTTCCCGATACCTTATTCTACCGCTTGTTACAGCTCACTTTGAAAGTAGCCGGACACCGGACGCCTTCCAGAATCTGTAAAGATGAGGCTGAACAAGGATCGCACGCCGGCTCACGCCCCCTTGAGTGCGCCCAGTTCGCCCCAAGACCTCGTTCTGCGGTGCTCTCATCACCTCCGTCACTTTACTGCTGAGGAGGCTTGAGGACATGCATTTAGAAAATTTGCTTGTTTCCTCTGGGGCGCCCTGATCTTCCCTCCTGCGTCATCACCGCCGCAGCGGTACCGCAATTGGAATGACCACGTGCAAGTGCCCAATCCACTTATGCGCAAGAGCAGTCAAACTGCAAGTCATTTATTCTCTTGGTTCCTCCATTCATCGTGACGGTGTAGCATCGTCAGCATCCAACTAACGCGGGTCTAGACAGCCCTATATTGACAGCGTAGTCCACACCCCGGTGATCGCCTTTGGAACCAGTACGATGCCTCTTTTTTGCCGCGCAGCGCCATCACGAGAGCACAATTGTGTCGGCTCCGCGGCTACTCGTCATCAACCGGTCAAGGGCTGTCTAGCGCACTATGATGAGGCACTTGTGTTGGCTCAACTCATAATGGCCAATCAGTCATTCGAAGGCGAAGCCCTTGGCGTTCTCCCGTCATTGCTTGTGCCGTTGTTTTGAGACCGCAGTCAGTTTCGGTGATGTGAACACGTTGCCGAGCGCAGAGTACACAATACCTCAAGATTCCTATTGGGTGCTTCAGCACCCGTCGTGCTTCGCTGCGACAGTTGCCTCTTGCACCGAGGGCATAGCCGGTGCTGTGCAGTTTGAGCAGCCTCATTATGATGTACCGCTACACGATGGACATGTCGAGTGACACTCGACGGTCGGGGGCATCGTGAGGTTTTTGCTTCGTTTAGATTCGAGTATATAAGGTTGTCAAGTTGTCACCCGTAGAGTCTCTTTTGATCATGACACCCGAACCACCAGCAACTCAGGCCAAGCATAGCAAGCAATAGTACTACACCACCAATTCTCCTTCATCCCGAGTCTTGAAGGTCTTTTTTCAAAAGCACATCATCAATCCTCCCGTGATTATCACCATGGCCCATGAGAACACCACCCGTGAGATCACGTACATCGTCCAGTACTCCTGGCGCTGCTGCAGGTGCGGTCGTGCGGTGTGGCTCTGCCTCACCACGCCAGCCTGCTTGGACTGCTCGCACGCAAGGTGCGAATATTGCCGTATCTCTACCGACGAGATTCCTCACGGTCGCTAAGAAAAGGCGCTGGATGTCTCAAACTCCACCATGAACCAATACCACGCCAATACGCGGTCAACCCTACACCACCATGAGGCACGATCTGCCACGACGTCAACGGTACAGCAGCGGGCCGGTTCCATACCAATCCCGGCTCTACGTCGAGATGAAGCTTTACCGGCAGCATTTTAACGCTGATTGCGAAAGTGCCGTCTCGATTCAGCAATCCGACTCTTCTTTGTTTTGATTTTCTTGCCCCCTTTGATTCCTGTCTGTTTGTTTGTTTTTAGCCAGCTTGGGATTCTTTTGATGGATCGACGGAATAGAGCTCGCTAGGAATAGAGATACGGCTCACGTCGTGGGATGATGGCGATGTCAGGACATTGAGCGAGCGTTGTGGCTGGAATTTCGTCTCTTCTGTTTCCATAGTCTGCCTTGTCCACGCTCCTTTATGTGCCACTGCAATATACAAGTTGTCTTGACATGTTGTCTGCGTGCCGGCCCCGTGAATTCGGTATTCGTTTGTTTCCACCGGCTCAGGTGTTGCGCCGAGAGGCCACAACTAAGGGATTGGGCTAATCTGTTAAACCTTGAGAGCATTCGACCAGATCGTTGCAGGGAGACATGACTAGGTCATGATGAAAGCCTAGGACCTCGAGCCCAACACAGGGAAGTGGCAGCCGCCTCAGTCCAAGCAGCCTTTTGCCCTGCGTGTATAGGACCTCTTGAGCCTGGGGACCTTGGAGTTTGACTGCTGATGATTCAGCCTCGATTCGATAACTGTATCACGAACGTAATATTTAAAGCCCTCACATCTCATGAGCTCTTGAGCCTCGACATGCTGTGGTAATGCTGGGCATGGCCTGGACCTTTACAAGTCTTGGTAAAGAAAGAAGAACAGTAAAATTATGCAAGGTATTGCTGAAATTAGGGTTTCTAGGCAAATATATAGGCTTTTTGCCGGCTAAATACATTGCAAGTAAAATTTCAATAGAGGTAAACAAAGGCTTATGCTACATTATGCGGTAAACTTGCGCTAAAAGGTTAGCTTCTATTTAAAAAGTACAACCTAAAGATGTTCTCTTGCTACCGAAAGGCAGCAAGAATACCGACGGCCCAACTTGTAGATTCTGTCATGGTCCGAGCTAAACTCGACCTAGAGCGGGAGATGGGCTACATCTTCGCTCACCTACGCTATGGTGCCAGACGAACAAGCCGAGGGCACCTTGTCCGTGACGTACCCTTTCGACTCAACGGTCGAGGGTCCGGCGCACCACCGGATGAACCACAGATTGGAAGAGCAGGACAAAGTAGCAAAATACAGCCTTCTCTTGGTAGATGCTGTACTGACAGGGGTTAAGAAGGGAATTTTGAAAGAATAAAAAATCGATAACGCTCCCTCTTTCTGTTGGCAGATGGACCTTTTTCTTTCTCTTCTTTCCCTCCATTGTCTGGACTCTGAACTGTGCGGAGCCAACGCTTAGCACCCCTGCTGCGTGATAACAAACAGCGGACGACGGCGGGGTGTTGCGGACCATGCAGAGGTGTGCGAAATGTGAAGTGTTTTCAGGCAGCTGATAGCCCAGGCCGGCGCTTTCTGATGATGAAGGGTGAGGCCCCGGCACCATTCTTTTTGACCAGGTTGACTGACCAAGTCAGCGCGAACTGCGTGCTGCAACGAGCCCGATGGGGTCCTGGGGAGGGAACCTCTTTATTATCAATGCCGGTGAGGCTGCGTAATGCGGTCTGGTGGAGCTCCTGAGTCCTAAGCGTCTTGTTTGTTGGGCGGGCGCCTGTCTCACAGCTGCCGACGTCTGTGCAGCTGTCGAGGAAGAGAAAGTAAATAACAGTAAACTAAGTTTATAGTAATATCCTTTATAAAGCTTTTTTTATTATTATAAAGTAACTATTATTAAGATATAAGTATTATAGAGCTTATACCTTTAATTAAATTTACTAGGAAATTATACTTAAAGATATTATAAAGTATATATTTAGAGATTATTATTTTATTGCTGCCTTATAAGCTTCCTACTAATTGTGCTAAAGCTGCCTTTAATGCTGTTACAAAAACCTTGCTGTAACGTTATTAATAAGGTTATTAGGGCTCTTATTAATGCGCTCGAAAAAGAGCCTAATTAGGTTATTAAGGTTGTTGTTATTAATAATATTTCTAATAAAAGAGGTAAAATTTGTGATAAAAAGAGCGTTATTGTAGTGGTAGCGTTATTAGCTGCAAAATTTAGTTCTTACAGTGGGGGCCTAAAAAGGATAAAAACACTAAAATGGATAGTGACTAAGCCTAAGGTTAATAATATTATAAGTAACGCAACTTTACTAGGGAAAAACCTTAGATAACTGTGAATTATCGTAAAAAACTAAATATCGCTAAGATATAGGATCGTTATAGACATAGCTGTTATAGTGTGAGCTATGCTCGACCTAGCTGACGACGACGCGATGCGATGCGATGGGACATAGCTCGTGACCTATATCGGCCAGATTGAGCGAGCTTAGGGCAGCTTGTTCATTACGTACTCTTTTGGCTCAATGGCCAAGGGGTCCGGCAAACCACCGGGATGACTGCGGCTGGCACCCGCTATAGACCAATAGGGCTAGTCCATCACACTATAGCAGCTTTCATAACCTCTATAATGCTGTATAAGAATTTAGCCAGCAAAATAGTTATACCTTTAGTAAGAGCTCTATAAAGCTAAAGACTCTAATAAACAGCATTTAATAATTATAGGCAGGCTAGCTTAATTGTAATTATAGTAGCTATTAAAGAGAGCCTTAAGGTGCTATTAAGAAATTTATACAAATTATATAAGCACCTTTTTAATTAATTGGCATTTTGCTGCTATATATTTGTCTAAGAATGTACTGTGGCGCATGGCAGCAGGGCTGCTAGACCAAAAACAGGGCGTGGCGGGGTATTGAGCGCCCCGAGCAAAAATGGTGAGTGCCCCGAAAAATTGACGCCATGAGTCTCCTCCGTACGCACACACGTGGCTGTGTTCTTGACGACGACGACGCCGTGGCAATGGTTAGACTCTCACGCCGTCGGTCCTCCGCATCCATCTCGCGGTAGCTCCGGGCACACGCCTTCCATCACGCGCAACCAGTAAGTGACGAGAAGCGGATCCGCCAACTTTGCGTCTCGCAGGGCCGCCGGTCGGGACCCGGGACACGCATTTCTGATGATGGAGTAGTGTCTAGGCCCGACGAGCTGCCTTTGCATAGCGTAGACGCCGAGTCTCAGAATCGAGCTGGTCATCGGCGGGCATGCTTTGCTCATATCCAGCGCCTTTTCCAGGCCCGTCCGCCCAGGGAACATGTTGAGCCTCCCCTGGTCGTCTTTAATCGTAAACTGGAAAGGGTCATGGGAGAAATCGCTGCCGTCCGACACAAGCTCTGCGGTATCCCTGAGCACAGGCAGGATGGCCGGGACGACCAACAAGCTCGTGAGTCTGGGAGAGAAACCCTCGAGAGGCAGTACGACGACCTCGTGTCCCAGCGAGCCGCCCTCTCGTGGGCTTTGAGAGAGTCCGCCAAGAGGACAAAGAATATCCAGCGGCCTTGAGGGAAGAGAGAAGACAGGATCGTCTCGAGTGCGCAGAGCTTGAGAAGATAGTGGCGACCTGGCGGAAAACGCTGTCCCGTGACGGTGAAGAGACGTGGAGACCTGACGCCTTCACTACCGACGCCCCCGTCGGCCGAACTGCTCCTTGTGACATTAGGGACGGCGCTACATCTTCGCCCACGAACAACAAGGCTTCTGGGGGCACCGAAACCGCTCTTGCTCGGCTCAAAAGACGGTCGTATAGCGCGTCAGGCAACGGAAAGGTCCACGGTGGGCTTTCGGACTCGTCATCCGTCTGTGACAGGCGGTCTGAAAAGTTGAACGACGACAATGCCCATGACCGCCCTGGTGGACGGTCTTCGGACATGGGACTCAACGCGAGTGTGCTGGTAACGGAAACCCCTCGACGTCGAAAGCGCTGTGGCAGCTCGATTTTTTGTGAAGATGCAGGATCGCCTCGGAAACGGTCCACAAAGAAGCCCAAATGCGGGGACGTCCAACGGTCCTCCGGAGAAGCAGCTGTGCAGCGGAGGAAGACGAGAAATGCCGCTCGTCCGGACGTGGACAGACCCTTCACGGCGACTTTATCCTCCAGGTTTACCGAAGAGCCGTTGATCAACGACGATGACACGGTCGACTTTCACAGTCTGTATTATGACGGTGAAGTGGTGTCCTTCTGTGAGATCCTGGAGTTCCCGCCCGACAGCCACCAATTCTACATATTCTACTGTCGAGAACACGGCCAGTTCTTCCGGAATGCCCCCCGCAACGGAGCGGCAAAGCACCTGCAGAAACACAAGATGTGGATGTCGACGACGGTCGTGTTCAGGGTCAGTTTGTTTGGCGTCCGCGTCCTGAACGGCACCCCGGCCCTGGTCAAGGAATACAACGACGCCATATTCCCGCATTTGAAGAGCCGCACATGGACCTCCAAGCAGAAAGCAAAGGCGGAAGAGGAATTGAGGCGTCGGTCCAACGATCACGACGATCCCAGCTACTGTCCCGACAGCACGCCAGAGATACCCCACGTTCAGTCGCCGACTCTGCCCACCAGGCGCTCGTCCCGTCGGTGCGCAGGGAATTACGCCCCGGGCACGAGGCCTTGGGGCGATTTAATCGCCAAGCCCCAAGCATGCGAGGTGTACTGCGTGACCTGGCATAGGGACAACAGAAATTATGCAGTCATCATTCTGCCGTATGGGTCTTTCGAGCCGGTTGGAATCCCGGATATGAGCATCTTGGGCACGGGCTTGCTCGAAAAGGGACGGCGAAAATCCCACGCCGTAGATGCCATGACCGGAGACTACGTCTGGAGCTCCGGCTACGAAGACGGCGGGCCGAGGGAACACGAACGAGAGTACCCCGTCATTTTTTTCGACAACCGCAAGTTTCCACGGGAAGCTAGCTATGGGTGGGTAATGGCGTCGGAGCTGCTGGTGTTTGATCCGAAAGACACGAGCATTCCACATCTCAAAGCCGTGGCTCAGTTTCTGAAAGAAAAAGGACGGGGTGTCCAGGCACTCGGCCAAGAAGATGACGGTTCGTGTCCCTGTTCTTGCTCCATGGAAGAAAGTGCCCATTGACAACGTTAGCAGCTACGAGAGCATGTGTACAGTCCGGAGCGGCGACCGAGCCAACACCAAGTGTGCCGGCCGTGCGAGACAAGAAGAGCCCCGTCGCGGAACTCGATGCGTACTTTGGCGGTTCTCAATGTCGGGAGGCAGGTGATGATTTCCGATACCCAAACCGTGATGCGGATTCCTTGCCCCACGAGCCTAGCGATGACGAGAGGCCCGTGACGGAACCTGAATCCAGGCTTCGGGCTCAACAAAGAGTCCAGGTGGCTACGATGGGAACAGGTACCTGGGAGCAAGGTGCTCCGGATTTGACGCGTGACACGAAAACGGCCCACGATGACGCGGACAAGCCAAGTCGAGCGCGTCGCACGCGGCAACCCAGACCACAGGGACGAGTTCCCGCCTCCAGAGACACGTCAAAGCACGAAGAGCCCTCGCCCTCGTACAGAATTGACAGACTGCCAGTCAAGCCTGCAGCGGAAACTGTACACCCCTCATCGCCCACGGAAGACACTGGCAGGGCGTCGTCTGCGCCGCGAGGATTGGACTTTCGGGTCACCGCTTCAGGCAGATACGAGTTATACGACATTGGGTGGACGCCCAAGAGCAGCAGTCAACGTTCGAGACAGGGCTCCGTACGAGTTCAAGAGACTCTGTCGTGCTCGGGGCCTCGGTCTCATTCCGTGACCCCTCACTCGGCGGCACTCACTACCCAGCAACGCATCACCATAGATGATGTCATGCATCCTGCAGAACCACGCAAGAGATGAGCTGAGCGTTTACGAGGCCGGGCAACTCTGCGTCAAAGTAATTTCTGTCTGTCTGACCACGTACGAGTGTGAACGCACGAGTGTGAATGTGTGAGCGTGAGCACCGAGACGTCAAAACACGGGTCGGGACGGACGACGTGGCGATTCGGCAGATGTCGAGTCGTCACGGCCGCGTGAATGGAACACGGGGACATGCGTCGTCGGGACGCAAGCGCACCGTTGTAGATTCTATCCCGTTCACCGGTAAACAATCAACAAGAATAAGAACCGGCACCCATTGAACCGGAAGCCCACATGCCCAATGTTGCTGTTCGGTATCAAAAATACCCTTCTCGACGGCTGTGTCCGCCGTCCAGCCCATTCTAGAGAGTCGCGCCACCGTCAGAGACCTTGCCCGTGACGCGGCCAAGCGGACCAAGAAGCAGATCAACCACGCCAGACAGCAGGCTCGGTACACACCCCGGCCCGGAGGCGGGAGCAGCACGGCGTCAGGATCGGGAAGGCCCGACCAGGAAGGGCCCTGCGTAGCGTGCCCCGCGATGCTTCAACGCAAGACCGTCGTGTGCCGGCAAGCAAGACCGGCACGTCTAGAGCCGGGATGATACGCGGGGGCGCCCCTCTGCGTACAGTCCGTGCCGAGAACCGGGCCTGGTGCCGATCCGAATCGAGGCCGGCTCGGCGACGGGCGTCCCCGCCTCCAAACGCGCGCCGAGGGTTCCGCAATGCCCGGCCGGGAACGGGACCGGTCCAGCTTCGACACCCGACAGCCGGAACCACCTCTTGCCCTGGTCCCTGGTCCCTGGTCCCTGGTCGCCGGTACAGGGTCCGTGCCGTGCCATCCGGCCCGAGCCGAGGGCCAACACGGCGTGTTCCTATCCCGGGGCCATCTTGCTGCTCTGCTCTGCTTGCGGCAGGCCACTGATTGACCAAGAGAGAGAGAAGAGGCTCGTGGAGATGCCATTGGCCCTCAGCCCCGCTTCGCTCGAGCACCCAGCCGCCGCCGAGACCCGACCTGCCTGCCGTCTCGAGGAAAGTCGTCGACGGCACTTTACTGGAAAACTGGGACGGCAGTCGAGTGCGCCCCCGAGGCAGCACAACACGAAGCCGGCGGCAAGACTTGACGCGGGACCGACGGCCTGCAACGGACAAACTAAACCGCACGAGCAACTGTTCAACAAGCTACATACCCCCATTCCCCATCCATCCTTCAACCGACCGGCCAACCAACCAACTGTCCCCCACATCGTGTTCGCCTCCGTGACCGCTGAGCAGAAGCAACTTATCTAGTATACAGTGCCATCAAATCCTTTAATCGCCAGTGCGCCAAATACAGCCCCTTCAAATCAAAACATGTTCCTCGTAGAGAAACAAGGAGGGTTGAGGCGGAAACGGCCCTTGGACGGAACTGCTCACCCACATGCTCAATCGTCCGGCACGCAGCCTTCCTCCCAATTAGCCTAGCTACCTATCCCCCAAAGCTGCCTCTCGTCTTGCCTCTCGCCTACTCCTGCAAGACCATTCGAATCTTGGCCTTGGGGGAAGGCTTGAGGACGCGACCAGTCGAGCTCAACGACATGCGTGGCATCTTGTTGGACGCCGAGTTCGGCCGCTTCGCAGTGCCAGGCGACGCCACCTTGCCCTTCCTGTCAGGCCTGGCGTTCTCGTCAGCAACAGCCACAATGGTCATGCTGGAAGCCCGTGACGAAACGTAAGCAGCTCGGCCGCCGGGGCCATTCTTCTTGACCAGCTTCGTGGTCGTCACCTTTTTCTTGGCGACGGCCCCGGTGCTGGCGCGTCTCTGAGCGGGAGTCTTGGTCGCCATCGTCTTCTTCCCCTTGACCGTGATAGACGACACGCCCTTCTTCAGCGCCGTGGCAGCACCCTTGGCGGCCTTGAGACTGGCGCTCGAAATGGAACGCTGCAGACCCTTGGCAGGCGCAACCTTGCGCTTCTTGGCCTTCCCATTGTCGGACTCCTCCTCTCCCATGAGCTCCTTCAGCTTGCGCTTTCCGGCCTTGACGGTTGCTTTGACGGTCCTCTTGATGTCAGCCTTGGCCGGCTTCACGTCGCGTGGTTTCGGGCCCAGGACTCCTCGGCAGTTGTGTTCGCCGCAAAGGCATTTCTGCACGTTCTTGGCGGAGAAGGGGTCAAAGTTGTAGTCGTATGTGAGCTCGTCTCCCGTCATGATGGGCCGGTCGCCAGCAAAAAGAGCCATGCGAGGCTGTCCCGACACAATCCACTTGATCATGCGGCAATTGGGGTTGCAGCTGTGATTGACGAATCGGGCGATGCTGCCAGTCGTGGCATCAATGATCATGTTCTGATCGAAGCTCATCAAGTAGTAGCACTGTAGGAAGGGGAGAACAAATAGGCAGAGTCAGCAACATGTCAGAGAGGCGTCTCGCCCGAGTCCTTGTTCAGTTCTTGCTCGTTGCTTGTCTCACCTCATTCTTCTTGTACTCTTCATTCATACGGCGCTCGCATTCCTTCTCGGTGATGATTTCGCCAGTGTACTCCATGATGATTTGGTTCGCCTTGAAGCAGCGGTTGCTTCGGACGCCGTAGCCACGGTCCGACGTCTTTATCACTTCTACGCCGACTCTATACTTGCCGCCCTTGGACCGCCGAGCGGCCAGGTCGCTGAATGAGCGATTTGTGCATAGCTCCTTTCCAACGTTGCAGTTGCCGGCATCACATTCGTAGAGCATGATTCTATTTTGGCAGTTGTCGCCACAGCCATCGTCAGGCTTGCAAACACACTTTGACAAGTCGTGCATGTGAGGCATCTTGCGCCAATAGTCTTTTGAATCGCCAATAAATCGGTCTAGGGGTCATTTTCCTCTTGTCAGCCCGCCCAGAGACGACACGTCACTAGCCCGGGGGAGACGGTCTACGAGGTGCACACTCACTCTTGGTCATCTTTTTCCATTCATCTGGCTTCGGCTGGCCAGGCGGGAGGGGGTTGCAGGTGTTGAAGGGGAGCTTGAAATCCCGCCCGGCAATCAGCAAGCGCAAGCCCGTGTAGATGGGAGGGGGCATGACACTGTTGACGCGGCCCGTGGGAGCCAATTCCGGAAGGCTGGCGAGCTTCTTCTTTTCACTGGCAGTAAGGCCCTTGGAGACATCCACGGGCATTTCTTGGCCGGCGTAGAGTCCCTTGTCGAGGTATTTCTTGACACGGTTCCTCCTGGTGTTGGTGATGGGTTCCTGCTCGTCTTGGTCGGGTTCGTCGTCCTCACCGTCGTCCTCGCCCCCGTCCTCGTCCAGGGCGACTCGCTGGACCTTGGCCTTTTTGCGGGCTGGCTCCGGCGGGGGTGCATTGGGATCGACAAACTTGCCATTGGCCCAGACGGTATGGATGACGGGGCGGTCGTCGATTCCCGAGTATTCATTGGTGTCTTGCAGACGGCGCAGCTCGCGCGACATCTTGGTGAGGCCCATGTTGACAGCGTTGCGGCCCTTGTTGCCCAAGCTTGCCAGAGTGGCAGCAACAGAGGAAACTCCACTCCGACGCGACGAGGTCCGCAGGGGACGCGGCGAGTCTTGGGCCTGACGGCGTTTGCGTGGTGTATGCAAGCTCTCGGGCGACCATTGAAGATTCAACGCGTCAATGCCTGCCTTGAGGGCTTTGTCCTGTTGGGTGCTGGGGGGTGCGTCGGCGGCAACCTCGATGCTGCCGACCAAGGTCTCGCCGGAGATGGTGCGGCGGCGCTTGTCGGCCACGTCATGGCCCTTGGCGCGTCTTTTCCCGTGGTCAGCGGTGCCGCTCAACTTGGACAGGTTGTAGACAGGCTCCGAGACGCGTGCCCGTCGTGCTCGGCGAGGGGCGGCCGGCGACTGCGAAGGAGAGGGCTCCTGGGCGTGGACGGGCGCGGCGTGGACGGCATCGTCGGCCACGGTGATGACGTCGTGCTTGGGGGCGTCCGAGTGCTCAGAGTGCTGGCTGTCGCTGTCGGAGAGGGTGGTCGGCGGTGTCGAGCTCGAAGACGCCGAGGTCGACGAGAAGTCGGTCGTGGCGCCGGAGAAGCTGGCCTCGACAAACAGAGACATGGCCAGCAGACAAGAGTACGGCGCGTGTTGCTCACAAGACGGGTGCGCACACGCACATGTGCAGATGCCGCGTCAATGGGCCCTGCCGGCAGCACGGGCAGCCGGAGAAGTGAGGGGAGGCCGAGGCAGACGCGAGATGGAAGGGTTGTGAGGACCGGGAGGAGGATTGGCGTGACGGCGTGGGCAGACCAGCAAAGCAAGCGGGAGCCAAAGCGCCCAAGGAGAAAGCGAGAGACGAGACCAGCAAGGCGCGGCCGGGCGTGGCAGGGCGTATCAAGGCGCGTGACGGCGGGCAAATAGGCGTTGGAGGGCCGGCGGCCGATGCCAGAGGGAAGGGCTGATGGGAGGGTGGTGGTGGTGGATGGTCTGGTCGACGTGGATGAGTGGACGTGGACTGGACGTGGACTGGACGTGGACGCGAAGGTGGGTTTGGATTGTGGACGGTTGGATGTGGAGGCGGGATGCGGATGTGGGCTGCGCATGGCAGGCAGGCAGGCGGACGGCGGACGGCGGGCGGCGGGCGGCAGCAAGAACAGACCAGACGCCCCTGGCCAGGGAGGGACGGGACCCAAAGCCACACGTGCAGTTGCAATCTTGTCCAAGTCGAGCCTTCCGGCCACATTCGTCACTCAACGACCTCGGCTTCCTTGCCGGGTGCGCTGATCCTGCGTGAGCGGCAAAGCATGTCGATGCTTGGGCACAACTCCATCCGCGGGCCTCGCCGCCATCTCAATCGTCAACCTCGATACATCTCACGCTTCAATGCTCTTCTGCTGGCGCTTAGACGCGCCATGGTTGCTGCTCAACCGCCAACACGTGCCACAGTCAAATCAATGTCTCAATACGCTAATTGGCTCTGCACATCTAAAAAGGGCCGGGTACAGGCAACCGCTTACGCTCTCACTCCCGACAGTAGTTACTTCCTTCACTGCAACACTCCGTCCTGCTTCCACCAACCATACGCGCATAGGCCAGCAGATCGTCTCGCCCATCTCGGTGCCGAGTTCATGTCCATCTGGCAAGCAATCAGAAAAGGGTATCGTCTCCATCCAAAACAAACTCGCTTTCCTCTCCGCCAGTCGCCGTCTACGCGGCAGTTTCCTTTTCGTTGGAAGCCTCGGCCTCGGGCCCGGCAGGCTTGGGCTCCGGCCCGGCAGCCGGAACCTCAGCAAGGGGAGCAGTGTCGGCCTCGGTCGGCTCCTCCGTCTCGGGCGCCAAATCGACCAGCTTGACGGTTTGGCCTTCCTTCACGCTGGGGCCCTGACCACCATATTCGTTGGGCAGAGAGGCAGAGATGTCCTTCAACTCGGTGGCGAGCGTGGTTCCCGACGCCATGGGATGGAACTTGCGCAATGTCGCAGGGGCCAGGAAAACCTTCATAACGCCAAACATCCAGCCCATGATGGCTGGGACATTGACAAAGTACTTGTGTGCAAGTAGTTCCGGATACGCCATGGAAAAGGTCTCAATGGTCTCCTTGCTGGCAGCCTTGACGGCGGGGTCCATGCGGAAGAAGCTGACCGAAAGGTAGTCGTGGACCTGGACCATCTGGTGAGGGTCCGGGGCGTCCAAGGCAAGCGGTTCCTTGATTTCGTTGAGGCGGAGCTTTTGAACGCCAAGCTCCATGAGGGCAGTACGCCAACGAATGAAGCTGTCATGTCTTATTAGCGATATCTAGCGGTCGGCACCAAGGCGGTTGGCGGCGAGCTTACTCTTGCACATTCCCAAAGGTAGCCTTGTTGTCTTTAACGGCACCATAAATATTCCAGGTAATGACAGTCTCCCTGTCCTCCTTGGCATCATGGTGAACAGTCACGAAGCCCACGTCTTCAAACTTGTTCTTGTCAAAGGCCTCGGACACAAGCTTCCCGGGCTGCATCTTGTGGCGCCACTCCAAGGCAGAGGTAAGCTGCTTCTCGGCGGCGGCGACATTGTTGTTGTTGGCTCTGAGGAACTTGACGAGAACAACCTGCGTGGGAGCATGGGCACTGTCGGTAGAGAGATCGACACCCCACATCTCACTGTGGCCTGCCTTTTTGGTCACGTCACGCAGCCGTGTAGTGAGCTGGGCGAGAGGAGTTTTGGGGACAGAGGCAGCAGCATCAGGGGCCGTCTCTGCGCCAGTCTCAGCCTGAGTCTCCGAGGCAGTCTCCGCGGCATTTTCAGTAGCAGCATTGTCGGCGGCAGCCTTGGCTGGAGCCACGGGCTCAGTAGCAGGAGCTTGTTCGGTGGACATGGTCATGGTGTTGCGTGACCGTGACCGTGACCGTGACGGTAGCGGTAGCGTGTTAGGAGATGGGAAATGGATAAGTCAAGTCGGAGGCGGGAGCAAATCCGAAAAAGCGTACTCCATATGATTGATGTGTAGACGATTAAGGATGACTGTATCGCTGCAGACACAAGAGGGATAAAGGCTCAAAGCTCGAGCATGACGAGAAGGAAGAGGGAGAGAAAACCGTTTGACGTCCAGTGTCCAGTGTGAGTGACCACTGACCACTGACCGCGGCGCTTGGGCAGGACCCATGGGACGTCAGGTCTCGGGTCTGGCGCTGGAAGGGAAGCTTCTGTGGGTCACCTGCAGCCGTCAATCTCCAGGCAGGCTCCAGGGGTCGTCACTGCGTCAGTCCGTCAGTGCGACCCGAAATCAAGCTTGACTATTGACTGTGCCTTCTTCCATCTTCAACCAATTGTCGATCGGTCTGAATGCCCCTCCCCGACCAACCAATGAATAGTAGTACGTCTAGTTCGAGACAATCATGACAACGAACACGCAATTGACTGGTCCATTTCCAGCAATTAATAAATAATGACTGGCTCCTCCACGCCGCCGACACCTCTGCCATCAATCCATCCCTCGATCTATCGAGACTCCAGCCCACTCCAGTCGTTACCACCGTCTTTGATCGAAATACTACTAGTACTCCCGTCATCCTCAATATCGATAAGTACGCATGCGCCAGCGGCCACGAGATGACTCAGCTTCATTCATTTTATTTAAAAAGAAGAAAAAAGAGAAAAGAGAGAGAAACTACCACTAGCAAAAGCAAGTCCAATCCTATCCACGACTCTAACCAGCCCCGTCCAATTGACAAAAAAGTGTCCTATTTTCATAATCCTCCCCCCGAGAAGCCAATCATCACAGTCAATTCGCACCACAATGATCCATGCCGACGTATCGTCCCCTCGTGCAAAATAGCATCATAACTCCTCAGGACCCATCCAAGGCAACCCGTGTTCTCAAGTCTATGCCCAAGTTCTTCTCTTCTTTTTTTTTCTCCTCTCCCGCGGGTGAATCAAAAAACCCAACAATCCCTTGGTAAAATGTCAAGAGCCAAGCTTTTTGTCAAAACAACACCAACCAAACCATTTGTTCCCAAGTCTGGCGATATCCTTGATTGCCCCATTCTCCAGAATCCTTGCCAATCAATCGTTCCCAATCAGTCCTCGTCTCCAATGATCCGTCTAGAACTCCACTACTGGGGAGCCAGCGCGCGAGCGAGGATGCGCTCAACCGCAGTGAACTCTTCCTGAGCTGCCTGCGACAAAGTCATTTGGTCAAACGTCGGCCCGAACATGAAGCCAACCTCGGCCCAAAAGTATCCCCAGTACATGTCAGTATCCTGGCTTCTTTCCAGGAGAATAGTGCGATCAGCGTGAGGACGCGCCACCATGTCGCGATGCGTCTGCTCCCGAATCATGGCAATGTACCACTGGGCCTTGTGTTAGTGGTTTTGACCGCACCCGGCCCGGGGGGGAAAGAACAGAGGGAAAAGAAACATGGCAACGGCACAATCATACCTCAATCACATCGAGTGGCATGCCCGGTTTTGGAACAAGGCTGTACTGATGGCGCCAGCAGTTCGCAAATCGTGGCTGGTTGTATTGGCGCTCTTCCATCTCTGACAAGTTGGCCAGGTACGCAATGTCGTCCTTCATGAGAGCTGTGAAGCCAGGGCATTTCATGGCCGCGGTGATTAGCCGGCGATAAAGCTGATCGGTCAGGTTAACCTGATCGTCCTGCCTCTGGATGCTGCGAGACAGCAGCCTGGCAAGTTCGCAGGTGGCCTTAAATATAGACTGTCTCTGGCTGATGGTGATGCGATCCGTAGCATACCAAGGGAATTTCTTCAAGGTGCTAATCAAGCACTCATATGGACGCTGTGGGCAGTCTTTGGAGAACGGAGACTGCAGCTGGTGGTCAGCCAGAGGTTTAATGCTGAGCGAAATTGCAACAGGACTTACGCGATGAGGGACCTCGACATGCTTCACGAGCATAATCATCTCTTCCTCAGACACGAAGCCCTTGAAGTTGTCCCATGGTTCTTTGGGGTTAAATTGCCTGAATTGAGGAGACACTCCGTTCCACACAATGCCTTTGGCAAGGGGAAACAAATCCTTCATGAGACTTTCCTGGCTGGACAGCTCCACGTCGACCGGTCGATCGCCAAGCCGACTCACGCGGCCGCTGAGGAAGTGTTGTTGGTGCTTCTCTACTGCCTTGTTGGCTTCGTCAAGAGAAACAAACTCAACATATGCGTCCATGGTTTTGCTGGTCACTCGCTCCATAATAATATGGACAGGCTCGTCAGAGTCATTAAGAATTTTGGAGTTCCGTCCCAAGAAAGCGATGACTTCCGATCGTTTCGTAGCGAAAGGAATCTACAAAGGTGGTTAAACAACTACTACAGGACCTAGCACTCCGAGACTCACATTCTTCAGCTTCACAACGCCATGGTTAACGGCCACGGCCTGACGAGCACCCTCAAGAAAAGGGAAATACTGCGGGTCCAAGGCAGTATGGAGGATAGGTAACCCGGATTCTGTAGCTGTCAAACGATTGAGCGTGTCAGAGCGCAAACGCTGGACTTGGCCGTAAGGGGACACATCACGATGACTGGCAAAGGGCACAATGGCGCCGCCCCCAATATCCAGGTCAGCCTTGAGAGGATTATACGTTGTGTGCAGAGTATTCCGTTCGTTGGCAGAAAGCGTGTCGCTTTTTCGAACAACACTTGCAAGACCAAGGTCGAACTTTGGCGGCGGTTCGCTCGTAACCGCTGCAGAGAGCCCCGAGGTTTGAGGAGCAAAATTTCGCGGCTCCGTCAGTGTCCCAAGTCTGCCGTACTCAGGGCTGCTCGTGGTCCCAGAGACAGAGCCAATGTAGCTAGGTCTGCCACTGGAGCTGGGACTCAAAAGAGCCGAGGCTGACAGGCAAGACTGGCTACTTGGCAACCCTGCACCAGCTCGGGGAGGAGAAAGTGTTCTTTCGTTATGTTGGCCCTGCGAGTAGAAAGCATGCTGAGAAGATCCGGGGCTTTGCACCACAGCTGTGCGTTCCAGGTGTTGTTAGCGGGCTGATGGAAGAAACTGGTCTGGTTGTTGTGAATGACGATACCTTGGTCAACCGTCCGGGACTTGGTTCCCTCCTAGGAAACGGTGTCCCTATCAGCATCACAACGTCGCACGTGCGAGAGCAGTTCCAGTGCCACACTCCCCTCCAATGAGCCGGTATGGCTTGTGTTAGTAGAACAGGTATTTTCAGAGCCGCCAATTCTGCAGCCAGAGGATCCGTGTGAAGCCTGCAACGGCTGTGAGTTGCGAGCTAGCCCGGTCTCTTTGAGGGTTTGAAAACGACTTACCTCGCTCTCATCGCTGGAAATATTCATCTCCTGCGGAAGCCAAGCCGCAGACTTCGGATTAAGCGACATGATGGAGCTCATGGTAAGCTCTGTGGAGTATTCGAGACGGACTTAGGCCGTGGCGGGCTCGGAATTGAAATTAGCAACTAGCCTTTGATGGACAGCGTGCTGGGTTCCCCCGGAATGGGCCGTGAATATTTCGCTGATTCCCGACCAAGGCAAATAAAAAGACTCCTATCTCGAGTAAGCACAATTCCACAGCTCACAGAGTCAGAAAGAATCAACCAGCGCTGGGTGCCTGAGATGGACAGAGCGCCAGGGTATGTACTGAACCAGCCCACCTTGCTTGTTCTCGTTGCAGGTTCTACCGCAAAAGCAGAGCCTGCAAACTTTCGGTACTCCAGAAAGCGTGTTGGAACAAGAACAAAAAGGGAACAAATGAAAGCACTTGAGAGAAATCTGTCAGGACAACCCAAAAAAAAAAAACGTTTGTCAAAGCGCAGCGTTCAACAAACATTGAAACCTAGCGAGCCTATTGTTTTCAGTCGCCAGCGATGTGCAAGGATTGTTATTGTTTCGGAGGGCGGTTGAAGTGTGGAGAGGTCAACTGGTCGCAGTCGCATTTCGACATTCGCATTGGCGACGCCAGCTGGCCGACAGGTGCCGGCGTGCCTCTGCAGCTGGCGGAGCAAAATAAACAATGCGCCTCCGATGCCCGTTCGTAATTCTTGGGAGCCAGACAAGTTTCTTGATTGTTGTTGACGCCGACATGTCCTCGGAGAATGTAGGTGTCAGTTAGCATTTTGTCGAGGTCAGGATCTGCGAACCAAGCGATGGCGGCCATAAGTCCCCGTCACAAGTCAGAGTCAACAAACAATCAGCGATTTCGCATTGATTTATGCAACGGGAATTCTGTATCTTCGTTCGTGAGTAATCAAACACTTCACGGAAAATTCACTTCAAGAATGCCAGCCTAGAAACGAGTAGCAGTAATCGCGTTCATTGCGGCTACCGAGATAGCATCATATCTATTCATCGAATGCGTCCCTCTGATGGGGGATGGTTGCCGCATAGATGATCTCACAGCGGTACATCGGTCCAGCCAGTAGCATGGCGATGCCTCCACATTGTCGAGTCCCAGTTCGTCATAGCCAAGTGTGCTGTTCTTTTCTGCTTCGCCCTCCCGGCATTTAATCAAACTAAGAGCATGTCAGCGCTGCCGGTTCTCGTCCAATAATATGAGTTACCTACCGGTGTCAAGAAAGACTCCGCTACAAATCGCGCCCTGGCGTTCAACTGTTCCCTCATGTTAGTTATGGTAAGGGCCCCAAGGGCATTACCCTGCACGGCGTATCCACGACGTACGAAAAGCTTCATCTCCGAGATTTCCTTGTCTACATCCTCCATGAATTGTATAATAAAGTCGACAAGCTTGTGCTTGAGCATCTCGTCGGTGTGGAAATTTGTTATTAAAAAGGAGATATCGTAACCCTGTTTGTTAGGCACATGTCAGCAGCTGCGGTGGAAGGCTCTCATTTCCATTTGTCAGAAAACGACAAACCTTTATCGGTTTTCTTCGCAGTATAAAGAAAGACTCAGCTCTTTGCGTCAAGAATCTGGTGAATTTGTGGACCAGGATGTGCTCAATCTCGTCGGCCTGCTTGATCTTGATGCTAATGCGGATGGAGTTGATGCTGGGTTCGATCAAAACCCGCTCATTTTCGTTTCGCGCAATCGTCAACGGTGTCAAAAGGACCTCAGGCGACGTCTGGGCCTCGATCTCGGGGACGTTGTGTCGCTCCGCGATTTGTGAGGCAAAGTTGGACAACGTGAGCGCAGCTGTCAAGCTGCTACGCACGCACTGGAGGTACGGCCGCAGAGATTGAGACTATCCGAGGCACAAGGTCAGATCAACTCCGACAAGGAGATTCTCTTCAACCCGGCACTACTCACCATGATTGCTGATAGAGGCAAGCCCTGACAGCTCATGCAGAGATGGCGTTGGGTGACGCCAGAGGTGATGTCTCGAGCAGCCCGGCGGGGTCACTTGGGATGCCGTCTGACGTTGCTGCGTGGGGCCGTATGAGGCTTTGGGCTGCGCTGCCTCACGTGACGAGACTTCTGGGACTGGATGGACGGGTATGACGGACGTTATCTGCAACCGAACCACCCCTGAATGCAAGTCATATAAGCTAAAATTAAACGCTTGCATGCAGGGAACCGTCCTCCATGAATTTGGAAATGACCCAATGATGAAAAAGATGAATACGTCGGCTGTTGACGCCATTGGGTCAGTACAGAGGTAGTCCGTCATGGCACGCTCTACACCCATGCGTAATGTGTCTTCAGAAGTGGGCAGCTGTACTTGGCAACACAGGATAAAGGAAGGACTTCAAATGGTAAAATAGCCTATTACTACCTTACAACTTGTCAGTAAGTATGCCAAATACAAAGTGGTGTTGGGGCTTTGTAAATTTTGGCTGTCCAAGATATAGGGTAGGGTGCCGTCACTGTGCCGCCCCACTTGGACCAAGTGGCCGCCAGGTACCAGCCGTGACGTGACGCACATCAGTCCTGCCTTTGCCCAAAGCCTTTCTCCCGCCATCCCGCGCACTCTTTTTTTTGCCGCTCCTTTCCACAACACCGGATTTCTTGCTTCCCTCCCAAGAGGATATCTCCCACAAAGTATATATCGCTGACTGTTTGCCAACATTCTCGTGCTCTGTCGTGCAGCCATGGCGTCACTGACAGGTTTGTTTACCTCTCCGTCGATCCTCTCCGCTGGTGGCAACTTGCTGACAATGGCAACTTTAGTCGTGGTCAAGCACCAGGGCAAAAAGTACGACGTCGAAATCGACTCTTCATCGACCGGCGAAGACTTCAAGCTACAGCTCTTTAGTCTTACTAACGTTGAGCCCGAACGCCAGAAGATCCTGATCAAAGGCGGACAGCTCAAAGATGATGCCGACATGACCAAGCTGGGGCTTAAGCCTAACCAGGTAATCATGATGATGGGCACTCCCGGATCGGGCGGCGATCATCTTGTACGACCCAAGGATGGTGTAAAATTTGTTGAGGACATGACGGAAGCCGAACAAGCCCAGCAAGTTGGGGCTACCCCGGCTGGCTTGATGAACCTGGGAAACACCTGCTACTTGAATTCGACTCTCCAAACGCTGCGATCTATCCCCGAACTACAGACCTCGTTGCAGAAATATACGTCCAACGCGTCTGAGCTGATGGCCGGTATTGCTACGGCCGACTTGGCTGCTCAGCTGGCGAGCCTGTACAAGAAAATGAGCGAGACGCAAGACGCATTTCCGCCCATGAACTTCCTTAACGCTTTGAGGGTTGTGTTTCCCCAATTTGCAGAAAAGGCCAAATCGAACAACGGCTACGCCCAGCAAGACGCAGAGGAGGCCTGGTCGCAAATTGTTCAACAACTGAGCCAAAAAGTCAAGATCAAGGAATCAGATGATATGCCAGAAATCTCCTTTGTGGACAAGTACATGTCGGGTGAATTTTCTTCGACCTTGGAATGCGATGAGGACGAGGCCCGCAGTGGTGGTGAGCAAGTCATGACATCCAAAGATCGGTTTTACAAGCTCAACTGCCATATCGACGGCTCCACGAATCATCTGCGGGATGGAATCCTTGCAGCCCTGAGCGAGAAGCTGGAGAAGAAGTCAGATGTCTTGGGTCGCGACGCTACTTATACGAAAAAGTCCAAGATTTCGCGTGCCCCCAAGTACTTGACGGTTCACTTTGTACGATTTTTCTGGAAGCGAGAGACACAAAAGAAGGCCAAGATTATGCGAAAAGTCACTTTCCCCCAGGAGTTGGATATTGTCGAATTTTGCTCGGATGAGTTGAAGAAGGCGTTGATACCCGTGCGTGACAAGGTTCGTGAGGTGAGGAAGGACGAGGAGGACATTGAGCGTGCGCGAAAGCGGCGCAAGAAGAACAATGTGCAGGACGTGGGGGACATTGCCGGTGGAGCCGGGTTGCCCTCGGAAAGGGAAAAGAAGAGCAAGGGGCAGAAGGAGGCCGAGAAAAAGCCCGAGAAGTCTGCTGATGGTGACGCGGAGATGGGCGAGTCTTTCAAGACGGACGCGGAAGTCGACGCAGAGAAGGATGCCGCACTGCTGGCCGCCAAGAAGGAACTGAACGCGTTGATCGACCCGGCGCTTCGAAACGACGACGGGGCAAACCAGTCTGGCCTATACGAGCTCCGTGGTGTCGTCACTCATCAGGGTGCCAGCGCAGACAGCGGCCACTACACCTCGTACGTCAAGAAGTCAGCGCCCGTTGATCCCAAGACTGGAAAGAAGGGGGAGGAGGACGGCAAGTGGTGGTGGTTCAACGACGACAAGGTGACCGAGGTTGCTGTGGAAAAGGTCGAAGCGTTGGCTGGGGGTGGCGAGTCGCACTCTGCGCTGATTTTGCTGTACAAGGCGGTTCCCCTGCCTTCGTCTGAGGGAACCATGGAGTAGATGCGGACGAGTTGGTCACCTTGACAGGGTACAGGAATGAGAAGTACGATTAGACGAGGCGAATATCTTTTGGGGGGGGGGGGGGGGGACAAGAGGACGCAGTCTCTGATGGACATGTAAAGAGAAAAACCGACTCTGTTTTACACAGGCATCATGGCACCTGTGCACGGGTATCTCTGAGAACGCCATCCATATGCATTGTATTGTACATGTTCCCTTTGGGCGCTGCCGTGCCCTCACGTCTTGCCACCCTTGGCATGCCGTTCCCTGACGCGGTCCCTGAAGGAGTCTAGTTTCCGCTCCAATGCCAGCTTCTGCTGCACTAGATGGTCTTTTTGTGCCTCCAAAATAGCAATCTGCTCTGCCGTCGACGTCTCTCTAAACCGCTTGACCGCCTGTGCTTGGTCAGAAAAAGGCTTCTCCATGGTCTGGGGAGCCGAAAGCGCCATACTTGACCTTTTTGTTGATCCGATTTCAACTGCGCGCCGGTGAGGGCGCCGACGCAAATCACGGCAGCCACGGCCACCGACCACACGCCTCTTTTGAATTTTTCCTGGCGCGTCCACCGATGTGCCATGCTTTTGCCGCCTCTTTCTTCCGCTTTGGTTCGATATCATGGGCGAGCGGGATGGAGCGTCGGGGCAAGGACAAGGACAACCGGATTGCTTTGCAGAGGTCGAGGGGACGTGCCGATGGGAAATCAGGGTTGAAATTCGAGGTGGAGCACGAGGGAGGGATTGGATGACTAATCCACGACAGCGACGGGTAATATTATGATCAAGAATCAAAGTTGACATGGTGTTGGATGGAAATGGGAGGCATACGGTAGGGATTTGGATTCTCCTGTTCCTGTCCGCTTGGTGGTTGAAGCCATGGATGGATCGGTGTGTCCAGACAGCGCTGTGATGTACGACGCGACCGCGGCCGGAACGTCAATCGGCTTGGTTTCGCCTCATCAGGTGCCGTCTGTCTGTTGGTGGACAGTGTCGTTGGAAATGCGCACGAAACACTCGGCTGCCGTTTCGCCCGTGGCTCTTCTGGCCAAGGGGAGAAAAGGGAGAGCACGGAGCAGTGTCGCGGCCTGGACAGTTGGCGAGGCTTGAATTTCAATTCCGGTCGTATATGGCAGGCACGTGGCGTGAGTCCGGGACGAGCAGTCTGGCAGAACGGCTTGGTGACTCGGTCATGTTTAGTCACGCATGACACGACAAGAAGCAGAGAGCAGGACGACCAGTCGACGTCTCAAACACCGAGATCCACCTGATCGACTTCTCAATCTGTCGCGACTCACCAGCAGTGATAGCCCGTCCGCCCGTCCATGACCGATCCATCATCCCTCCACCGACGTCAAGCAGACAAGCACGTTTTCCTTCCTCTCCTCCTCCCGTCCAAACGGATTGGCATTCATCCAGGGCCGTCCTTCTTTCATACACAGCCTCCGACTGGCAACTCCCCCCTCTGATACATATCCTGCTTCCACTCGCCGATGCCATCAATCCAGATTCCACCCACCCATCCGTCACAACCACCACCATGCCGACGCCTCGATTATTCCTCGTCCGCCACGGCGAAACCGAGTGGTCGCTCAGCGGAAAACACACGGGCCGCACCGACATCCCCCTCACTGCCAATGGCGAGAAGCGAGTCCGCGCCACGGGCATGGCCCTTGTTGGCCACGATCGCCTCATCGTCCCGCGCAAGCTTGTACACATGTGAGCATGCGAATCCCGCATCGTGCATCCCTTTCCCCTTGCTCTTCTTCTCTCAGCTGTCCCCTTGTCTCGTCGGGACAAACGACCTGTACGAAGCTTGCTCTTGTTCAACCAGCATCCTGCGGCCTCTTTCCCAACAAGTCGCGTTGCCGCCGCCCTCTCTACGCCGCCGCCGACGGGTTGACCGCCGCCGCGGCCTGCCCTTTTCCCCCTTCTCTTCCTCTAGAAGCACACGCTGACCGGCAGTTGTAGCTACGTCTCGCCACGGAAGCGTGCCCAACGGACGTTTGAGTTGATCAACCTAGGAATATCAGGCACCCTGCCGTGGAAGGCACACGGCCAAAGTGCCGAGAAGGGCTTGGACTGCGACGCAAAAGTCCAAGTGACCGACGACGTGAGGGAGTGGGACTACGGCGACTACGAGGGCATCACATCATCCGAGATCCGCAAGATTCGCTCGGAGCAGGGAATACAGGGGACGTGGGACATCTGGAGGGACGGGTGTCCCGGCGGCGAGTATGCTCTCCCACGGTTATCCGGCCACGCTTGCTTGGTCTTTTCCCTTCTTTTCTTTTTTTTGTGAACATGTCGTGTCGCTGACCTTTTTCCCTCTTCCCCTCGACCCGACGTGTAAAGGAGCCCGGAACAGGTCACGGCGCGTCTAGACCGCCTGATCAGCGAAATCCGCGAAAAATGGCACAAGCCCGTCATTGGACGGCCAGAGGATAAGAATGTACAGGGTGACGTGTTGATTGTAGCGCATGGGCATATCCTGCGTGCCCTGGCCATGAGATGGGTTGGCAAATCGTTGCAGGATGGGCCGGCGTTTCTGCTCGAGGCCGGTGGCGTCGGGACATTGAGGTACGTGGATTCCTGTGGAGTCTGGCTTCTCCGACGCGGTTGCTCTTTTTTTCTTTTTTCCCCCTTCTTCTCTAAGCCGGTACTAACGGGCTGTAGCTACGAGCATCATAGTTTGCAAGAGCCGGCCATTCTGCTGGGCGGCTCGTTCGTCGTCGACCTAGAGGAGAAGCAATGAGATCCAGTGCCGACAAGGCCTGGCCCATGTATAGAGACGCCATTACATAGTAGAGAACACATCTGGGCTGCAACGAGCGTCACGGCGTCGTTTCCAGTCACGCGTCTAGCACATCTGTTGGCGGCAGTACGCCCTGCCGTGCATCCACTTGCGCCTCTGTGTCATGGGCGAGAAGGGACTTGATTCTTTCCAACGCCGCCCTTTCCTCGCGGCGCGGTGCGGCCGTGGCGAGGCCATGGGCCGGGATGCCGCACACGTATGTGTGTGTTCGTGCCTGCTCGGGCATGCAGCACGGTTCAGACTCTCCTCCAGTGCCCGGCCTCTGTCGACACGTACCCGTCCATCCCTGCGACGGACCTCTCAGCCATGCTGTTACCGAACCCGGCTCACGTCTTGGCCGTCCTGCCGGAGCGCACAAGTCACGGCCGGACTGGTCCAACGTCTCCGGCACCGTCGGCGGCAGCGCCACATGCCCATCAGCAACCCCCTGGTTGTGAAGAAGAAAAGCCTCCCTCCCTCCCGCGGACGCATCTGTCGAGGCGCAATCTACGATGTATCCCGCCAGCAGCCCCCTTTTCCTTTCCGTCACCGACCGCCACCGCGTCAAGCCATCTGCAAAGCTCGGGCACGCCTCTGCGGACGCACCGCAATCTCCTCGCGACTTGGCTGCGTATCCGGGTCCGGGTAAATCTTTCCACTTCATCGACCGCTGTCCATGCGGACTCTACAATCAGAGCACCCTTGTTGTCGTCCCCCCCGGCCGCCGCCGCTCATCTTTTTTGTGCTGGGCCAGAAACTTGACGTTTGCCCGTCAAAGATGTAGTCGAGACGCGAGGCTGATGATGGGGGCCTTGCCTCGTCAAATGGCGTTATATGGACCTGGGATCTTGGCCGGGACCGCTTTGCGGCGGCGGCGGCAGGCTTCTACGGCTGAGCCAGGACGAGGGCCCGGCTCGGCTGGATACCTGGCTGCATTGGGCATGAAGATGGTGTAGATGGCTTCTGCAAGGGTTTCCCAGACTGCGATCATCTTGTGGTCGTGGTGGTTACTGGGCTATTTACAATGGGCTCTTTGTTTTGACGCCATCTAGCGGCATCTTGCATCTATCTATGCCAGGGGCAGGTACTGTGCTGACAGTGACAGTTTGAACAGGTTGAACTGAAGACGAGAGTGCCGGCCTAGGCTGCCTTGTCCTCCCTGGCCAGGCCATGGCCCGAGGAAACGTCGGCATCCATGACCTCAACCCGAAGTCGTTGCCCACCCCAGCTTCGTCGAACGCGGCCCTGATGTGGTCCTCTGTGAAGCCACGGTGGCGGACACCCCTACCGCTGGACCGTCTTGGTCGAGTAGGGCCTTTTCACCTTGCGCTAGGCCTTGTCAGATTTTGAGTCCGTTCGAGGTCAGAGAATGCGTCACGAGCCCTGTGGAGGAGTCGACCGCCGGGTTGTACGCCTGGAAAACTGCGTCGCTTTTGCGGCTCCTCCTGTAGCCGGCTGACAAGCTCTTTAAAAGTCTCGTCGGACTCTGGGTGGTATGGAGAGAGCGCTTGTAAGAAACTGAAAACTACATAGGGAGCGTGGACGTCGTTGTGCGTGCGGCGCGCTGGACGGCACCGGAGGTTCAAGCATGTCAAAACTTCACCGAACTATTCGCAAGTGACTGGCTACACTGAGAGTCAAAGCAGCCGTTGTTTCAATAACGGCATTTGAAAATGTAGTGAATGGCTCCCTCAAGAGCGATAAATCAATAGCGGCGCGTGGTGCTGGAAAGCACGCCGGCGCGGGATACCGGGCCTGATTTCATGCCCTTGTTCGTTCGGTTCCCGACACTTCTCGGGACATTTTCATCTTGCTTAGTATCCCGCCGGGTTGAAAGCAGAAGTGTCCGTGATGGCAAGGCGCCGAATGGGAGTCGGACTGACTGACCTTCCGGTCCCTGCTGCGAAGTCTTTGGCTGCAACTCACCAGTCACGCTCAACCGGAGCAGAGACGACTCTGACACTGGTGAGCCAATTCGCTCAAACTCAGCCCGTCACACTCTTCATCCGCGTCTGCGCTCTCTCGCGCCACGCAAGCTCGCGTACCGCTGTCAGCAGTCCGAAGCGGTGGTCAACGTTTGATCGAGTTGAACATGGCTTCCCATCCGGCCAGCTACGCCCATTGGCCAAGGCAGACTCGACGGAAATAGTCTGGACCTGGCATTCCGACTGAACATGAAGCCCAACTGGACTGTATGGCTTATGAGCAGCCGTCAGGAATTCAACTGTGCATCAAATTCATGTCAGCTTATTACACCGACAAGGAAAGCAAGACACATGGGATCTTGCGTACATACGATGGTTCATTAATGAGTATTGGTATGTCCAATATCTGGCCACAAGTGAACAAAACAGAAGCAGCTCCAACAGGAGTACTCGCTTCATGTGGTTTTTTTTTTTTTTTTTAGGGAATTGCTACACGGGCATGACACTTTGGCTACACGGGCATGACTCTTACACGGGCATGACTTTTACCACTTCTGATTGGTCGCATACTTTCTTGGCCCCACAGATACTTCCTCGGAAAGGCGGTGTAGCCAACTTCACTAACAAGCTCCTACATCACCATGAATTGCAGTCACTTATCGTTGTGGGCGCGATTGGTCTTCTGCTATCTTGCAAGCCTGCATTTCGGATTAAACTACCGTCCTTGTACTGTTAGCCAGTAACTGTCAAATACTGGCAAAAGACGTGATGTGGTCTACTTAATTTATTGCCTCACAACGATACAATCTGGATCTTCGTCATCACTCTTAGCCAGTTCCCATTGACTCCTTGTCCTGCGAATGTTTCGTTGCGTCCTCCGTCCACTGTACCGCACGCCTGTCGTATTCCCAGCATTTAGGACTTTAGAAGGTCTACCTGGCCCTTGCTGGGCTGAGATGCCAATTTGGCCACCAGTTTGTGTGATGGTTTCTCGAGTAGCTTTATGCACTCTCCTAGCAAGAGTTGGCTTATTGAGACTTCCTGGCGGTCGACCTCGTCGCCCACTTGGTTGATTATCAGATCGGCTACTTGATGTAATAGCTAGGCTTTCTGGGATAACCTGCGCTGTATTCTTTGGCCTTCCACGTAGTGCAGTGGCAACTTTCGGGTCAAGAATTCGTCGGTATGGATCTTGAGATGCCGATTCCCGTAGTCGCCAGCGTGGGTGGACCTCCCATTTAGTGAAACGTGTGTCAGAATCTAGCTTTGCGTAGACTTTATGATAGCATGGGATTCCCAGCTCAATAGAGACCGTACAGTCGTCGTCGCAAAGTCCAATAGAGTCGGGGAAGGGATTCTTCCCCGTCGGCAGAAATTTGCGAGCAATACAGTATTGCTTGTTGATTAACCCAAGTCCTTTCGATGACATGGTTGTTCGTAGTTCACCAAGATAGTTTCCCATCGAACCTAGGTATTGTGGAGCAGTCAGGACATCATCCTGTCCACAGGCATCCTTAAAGGCACGTTCTTGGTCATGTATCATATCCTGCATTGCCTCGACGAGTCGGTAGAGGTGGCTCATGCCATTTAATAGATAGCTTTTGATATTATTGTTGCTTGCTTCTGTGCCGGACGTAACTCGGATTCCGAAGTTACGATAACGACGGATAAAGCAACGTGCCCATTGAGCACTAACAGGCATATAAGTCGAGTAGAGGTATTGTAAGATCGCTCGTTGGTCGTCGAACTCTTTACAAAGATCTCTCCATGCCTGCTCAAACGCTTCCTCAGTCTCGGCATAGAGAACCTTTTTCCACATTAAAACAACGCCTTGGTAAGTATGAGGAATCTTATCACTACTCGACCGATCTTCGATCAGATGCTTATCTGTAGTGCTCAACCCGCCATCCGCCTGTGAGGGAATGTCTTCACTGTCACTAGCGCTAGGGCTAGTAGTACTGTCCTCACGTTGGCCCGTCCACCTAGTCTTCGATTTAAGCAAAACGTTTGAAAGGATATGATGAATACAAAGCTGTTGCTGTGCATTTGGAAACTGATCATTAACGGCAGCTTTCATAGCCTTGTCGAAGTCTGTGATGATGACATCTGGTTCCCTGAGTGAGTGTTTTGTAATGAGCTTGCGAACACTCTCTGCAAGGAATTGGAACCCCTCCCTCCTCTCGTTATCTATTAAGCCAAATGCAGCATTGAACACAGTTCCAAGACAGGTTTGGCCAGTAGCCTGGAATAAAGGAAGCTTGAAGCGATTAGTGTTATATGTGTTATCAAAGCTAATAACCTCGGGGAAGCGCTTCCACATCTGTAGACAGTACGGAAAGGTCCAGACAAGACCAAGCAGTCTATCTGGATCATCATCGGCCCATTTCGCGATGTATGGGATCTTCTTCTCATCAAAGAGTTTGATCAATGCCGCAGTAGGTGTATAGCCATTTAGCTTCTCTCGGTTAATGAACGAACGGGCATTATAGATATCCTTCCGCAGGAGTGTTGTATCGGGGAATTGCTCCTCAACCATAGCAGCTACATCACTGGCTCGAATACCCGCGCGACGGCTTGCTGACTCGATGGTTGCTTTAACTGGTGTAGTAAGGCGGCGGTGGGAAACATGCGCAGATGGCGTAATACTCCGTTCATGGTTATGCTGGTGATGTTTCGGGTCTCTATGTTGTCGAAGAAGCCACTTGCCTTCCTCTAGGGCTTCAGCAATTATCATCCATTTGCAATCACACTTCCGAGACCTTCGGGTTCGAAGACCAGAACCCCCCGAGGCCCGAGATTGTCCAAACCGGTCGCATTGAATGGAGTACCTAATCAACCGTCCCTTATAGGAATATTTATTCCGCCGAATAATACCAAATCCGTTCTCCTTTGCAAATGCGTTGGTTGTTTTAAAAAGAACTTCGGCCGAGGGCGCTGGGTCGCCAGGGATTATTGGGTTCGGAATTGGCTCCGGGGCGGGAGATAGAGACTGTCGCATAGGCGAGGAACTAATATTTTCGGGCGTCGGTGATATTC